CAGTTTAAGAATCTACATTTGAAACGTCGCTTAATGCAATAACCAAGAAGTTCTTATCCATAGAGTTGTATGTTTCAGTACTAAGTCATCAACTTCAAGAATGCCAATTAAACCAACAGAAATGAACACACGTTTGTTATGCATTGGTGCTAAGGTAATTAACCAAACCTAATATTAAATACGAATAGGGTTGTAGATTATGGGAAAACCATCAAGTGTCGATGTCTGTACTTTCTGGGTACCTAAAGTCTCCTCTTACATCAAAGCACGAATATTTACAAGTAGAACAAGGACTTTTAAGAACCGTCCTATAAAGTTGCAAAACCACCAATAATCACATGACCACTACCTCTATGGAGCTTGTGCTAATGATTCTTTATACCTGGTTCTAATACTGTTGAACAGTTGTAGCCATACGTCAAAGGTATCACTAAATACGTCACAAATACGCAGCAAAGACGACTCTGTGAGTAAAGGATTTCGTAAATTATGCATTATATGAAAACAACATGTGTTCCATTTTCAGTCAATAACGCCTTCTGTCTTCGTTTACGTCTTCTGTCTATGTTTCTACCGGCCAGGGCCCTTATTCTCGAAACGTTCGTAGCCCTTAGAATTCGTAACTTTTATCGTAGCCAATGTGTTATGAATGGGCTTACGTAGTTCGTAGGGCTACGAACGTTTCGAGAATAGCTAGCCAGGATTAAGTTAAGTGTAACTGATGAAAACCTGCCAGTAATGGAGTAAACAAAAGCATAAATATAATCAGTTTTAGCACACAATGATCTATAAGTGCTCACAATGCTTTCTAGGTTTGGAGGGGCGGTGGGGTAGCCTAGAGGTTAAAGCGTTGGCTCGTCACGCCGATGACCCTGGTTCGAATTCCCACATGGGTACATTGTGTGAAGCCCATTTCTGGTGTCGCCCTCCGTGATGTAGCTGGCATATTGCTAAAAGCGGCATAAAACCAAACTCAGTCAGTCAGTCAGTATAGGTTCGGACAAAATCTGCATTATTCACGTCTTATAATGTAAGTGTGTCTGGTAATAAACCTGTGGCAAATCTAAATGAATGTAGCCTGAAATGCACCCGAAACATACGATTCTTTGAATTTCGATAACATTTCTCAAACCCATTTCTGATGTTCCCCGCCATGATATCACTGGAAAATAGCATAAAACCACCCTGTTCTTTCATGATATGTTAGCGATATCACAGCTGTATAACTATATTAATGTGAAAGAACCATGGGTCCTTTAATTGCTTTTGGAAGAATACCCTCCTTCCGCTTGAAGTAACGTATGTAAACATGTCATGCTCCAGTGAGACCCCGTCACGCGATGTTTATGAGAGAAGAGATGGCAATGTTTGCTTTTGCTGATGAACACAGCATATCGGCACCAAAATTAGCAGCAGTTGAGAGAACACGAGCTGACTTTCCAGAGACCTGGATGTGGACTAATGCCACTACTTGGTAATTAAGGATGTCTCACAGTCTTAATACTTTCTCCCCGGGTCCATGGTTTGAAATAGAGCTGACACACATTAACGCTTTTTGGTGGGCTGCATCTTAATTTAGGTTAGTAACCTGCCCGCTTGTTTTCATGACACACGTAACCATTAGCTCCTATCTTTTGTTCTCTTGGGAAGGTTTCAGATTCTAGTTTTTATCACTTTTGGGTTTTTTTTGTAACATAGTCACACGTCGAAATGACAGTCATGGATTGGATAGATTAGTTGTTACCCTGGGATAACGCAGTGAATGTGTACCCCTGTTTTGTTTGACTACATAGAGAGGCTGTTGATTTATTTAGTCAGTTATACATATCACTTTGCTTGCGGATACCTAGACATAGCAAATATTCAACATTAGTGATGGTGGGTGTCACGGGTCTACCACTATCAGATTCATAATGTAACCAGAAAGTGGTTGATGGGGTGAAGTTGCATTGAGGTAAGTGTGTTCTGGTATCTCACATACAAATCACAACGTGACCGATGCTTGTGTGTGTGTGTGTGTGTGTGTGTGTGCGTGCGTGTGCACGCGAGTGCGTATTCATCTGATGTTATACATCTTTGAACTTTCAGAAAGACCTTGCATAAAATTATGTTTCACAGCTCAATCGTTATCAAAATTTATCCACTTTAGATCCCTGCATATTTTGTGACACCCTGTTTCACGGCCCTGTGGCAATGGCAGGCCTGGTAGGCAAGACCGTGTCAGGAGTTGGTATACCTCAGTCAGTTGCTGTACCTCAGACAAACGGGGCGTTGAAGGAAGTGGAACACATCAGAAGTGTTTTTCCTGAAACCTGGCTCTGGCAGAATCAGACTGTCAGGTACCACGCTCGCATTATCAGCCATCTGATCAGTGTGCTTGACATCAATATCTTGTCTGCCCTGCACCCATACCTGCAGCATTCTTTGCCTTGCTCTCTTATTTAGCTGTTGTCGAAAGGTCTTGCCTCGATGATGCAGTGGGCGGTATCGGGCGTTGAAGGAAGTTCAACACATCTGAAGCATATTTCTTGACAGATTTAAGGTCCCTCGCTCGCATTATTCCTGATCAATGTTCTTGCATTGATATCATGTCTGTCCTGCATATTTAATACCTCAAGGAATCACCCTGGATGATGGACGAGTTTGTACAAGAAATCTTAGTTCATCTAAATTGGAAATATGTCATTCTGTTGATCAGCATCAGAAAGAAAACACAAGAAAATGCTGACGACCATCCAGTTGTGATTAAATATAACCTTTTCTCAAAGCCATGGCTCAATTACTGATACACGTTCTTTCCCTTCTGCTCCAGCTGCAGAGATGCGCGTGGCTCAGAGGAGCTGGGTGATTTGAGCCATTTCTGGCCTGGAGGTCTTGGGGAATAATCAGGACAGAATTTATAACAACATGACATATTGGAAATGGTCGAAGTAAAATAAATCTGTTTACTACTGTGAACTAAATTATCAAGCTGTGGATGTCCGTTTGAACACGGGGTCTACATTCCATCCTCTGTCACACTGCAAACCTGTGCCACATCTCCCATATTCACATAATGAATATCCAACCGACATTCTGCATCTGGACATTTGCAAAACATGTTTACTAACATATGCTCCAGTGCGTCAGAAAGGAATATTTTGTAACCTTAAAAATGTCAGTGTATGTATTTACCCAAGAATATGGTATATTTGTAATCCATACATGACAAAGAATAATGTGCTGCTTTGTGATCGTTGGTTACGGTGACTAACCTACAGACGGATGATACAAACTGTAAGATGGAAGACCCAAAACATCTTGAATTTGACCTACACGTCACATTATGTACAAATGTGTGCCTCTTGGGGAAAAGGTTCCAACTGTACATCAGGGGAAGAGGTTCCTTGACTACAGATCAATTGTGTTTCGTTTAGATCCTCCCAGGTTCCACGGTTTGGCATTGGGCCTATTGCTCATGTAGTTTCATCAGCAACAAATACACACACCACTAATCCCAAGCCGAACCTGAACCTGCAGGAGGTTGAAAGAGTTAGAAACGTTTTCCCGGAGACGTGGCTGTGGACTCACTCCAGTACAGGGTACTTCAGTACTTGCGTGTGACAGGCTTAACTCGCACAACTGACGATCAGAATACTCTCTCTTCTGCATCTTCTATCACAGTGGAACGAAACTTGAAAAACAATTGAATTTAAACAAGAATACTCTTTATACGTCAACCTGATGGACTATGACAATCTCATAATCTGATGTATCTAAATATGTCGCTTCCCCAACAGTAGTAGGATTCTCTTTGATATTAACAAGTTATATTAATCGATTAAACATAGGGCTACAAAATGGCCTTCAAAAATGCTACACTGAAATGGCTTTAACGGTATTCAAATGATCTTGGAGTGTGATCCATGACAACTCCTACTTTAAGACGTCTAATACTTCTGTAATTATTTTACTGCCACGCCACAAGTGATGTTTAGAAGTTGCCAATCTATTGTGTAATTTTACAGAATCTTTCACTATATCTCAGTGCCTACCCTAGACCATGTTGTTTTGTGCATGTTTTGTGCATGTTCTGTGGCTATTTTGTACATGTACCAAAGTTACCCCGCTAGTGTTCTTTTGTCTGCTGCTTAACGCAATGCCTTTTGTGTTCTTATTGAAACTATATAACATATTTATACCAATATGTATCTCTTAATGTGTAGTGTGTGTGTGTGTGTGTGTGTGTGTGTGTGTGTGTGTGCGTGTGTGTAATCAGTTTGTCACCTGTGCGTGATTCTCATGAGTAAAGTTTTGAAAGCGTTCTCACATCGATCGTAAATACTGTTTATATTTTTATACCACATATGCAATTCCCATTAAAGTTTATTCTGTATCAGCGGATAATTGCAGTAAATTGATGTTATATAATCTCCATTCATTTACATATTAACAATGATAGACAATCTGTTTTAATGTGTAGCAGCTCGTATAATCATTTCCTTCATTTAAATACCACAGTACCGATGGTAAAGCTATCATCTCAACAACAGTGCCAGATACAATCACGTCATGGGTGGCTAGCGCCTTCGCCGTCAATACTCAGAGCGGCCTTGGAATTGCACCAACCCCAGCTAAGGTAGGTCACTAATCTACTCCTCCTACGATCTATTAGCAGCGTGTCTTTGTCTTCAGTTCAGTATTCCGAAATATGGATTGTTGTCCCATATCTAAACAGTTCGGTTTCTTTACACACGGGCAAAGAGACCCAAATCCCTAGTGGATAAATGAGACATAAATGTAATAATACTTTTCATGACCACGGATCATCAATGACGATTGATGATGTGCATATACATTCTACTTATTCAATAAATAATACGATCGACACATACGTCCATCAAAGGCAGCCACTAGCTGTCTTCAGCATAGCCGGCGTATGATTTAAACATGGGAATATAAAAAGCTACATGGAAGTTTTCCCTATATATACACACATATACGTGATGTTCTGTGTTCAGATCCGCGTGTTCCGCCCCTTCTTCGTGAGCCTCAACCTGCCGTACTCCGTGACCCGAGGGGAACAGCTGGCTCTCCAGGCCATCGTCTTCAACTACCTCACCCAGGACGTCGACGTGAGTAGTAGATGTTGACCGTACACGTGACGGTAGTCCTCATCTGCTAAGTAGCGCAACTACAAACTATTGCAAGATGATAGTTTAACTTAGTAAACTTTAGCGTTGCCTCCAATGTACAACCTTGCAGTAGTAATACGCATTACGTGATTCACAGTGTGTGTATAGTGTACGTTAAATCAGTTTGACCGGTGATATTTGATCAGTTCGTACGTCAGTTCAGAGTGAGATTAAGTAATCAGTTTGTACGTCAGTTCAGAGTGAGATAAAGTAATGACGCATTGACTAAGTACTGAATATGCTGCTGCGATCAGTTTTTGTATCTTTTTGTTTTCTTTTCAACTGTACAGATACGTTTCTATTGCTTTACATTTAATGGGGCGGTGGGGTAGTCTGGTGGTAAAAGCGTCCGCTCGTCACGCCGAAAACCCGATTTCGAATCCCCACATGGGCACAATGTGTGAAGCCCTTTTCTGGTGTCCCCCGCTGTGATGTTGCTGGAATATTGCTAAAAACGGCGTAAAACCATACTCACTCACTTTACATTTAATATTACGTCTTCCCATTACCTTTGGAACGTCATCCCATGCTGTTCGTTGTTGTTATTCCCACGCAAGTAAAATTGTTTGATGGACTAATACCATCAATGCAGTAATACTTCAATAGGATTGACTCTTCTGAAGGAAAGGAAGGGAATGTTAGGATGTATATATATATCGTATGATGTGATTCTGAAATGCCACAGTGTAAGGGGGCAGAGTCGCCCGAAGCGCCGCAACAAGATGTCGGGATCCCAAAACATGAGTTAGAATTTCAGATTCGGTCAGATTATGTTCTTTGTTTTGTTAATTAAACACGCACGCACGCATGCGCACACACACACACACACACACACTAAAATGATTGGTCTTCCTTACAGGCTGTTGTATCCCTCCCTCAATCAAAGGACTACCTGAATGTTGTCATTGATGCCAATGGCCGGGAACAAACAGAATCTAAGGACCAAACCCAGACTGTGCATGTAAGTACCCAAGTCCAGTCACAACACAACATCATTTTACCACCGGTAAATATTGGGCAATATTAATGACACTTTCACTACAGACCGCCTCCGTGATGTAGTGGTTAGAGCGTCCGCCCGGAGAGCGGAAGGTCGCGGGTTCGATCCCCGACCGCGTCATACCAAAAGACGTTAAAATATTGTACTTGTTGGTCCCTGCCTGGCGCTCGGCATTAATGGGTACAACAAGGACTGGTCGGCTCGGAGTCAGTATAATGTGTCTGAGTGGGGTATTCATGCTTCACTGCGGCATGGTATCTCAGTGGGCTAGCACTATAAAACCAGCTTCAGTCTGGGCTAGTACAAGCAGCCGCACACACACATACACACGCATGCACGTCGCCATATGAGCGAAATATTCTCAAGCACGACGTTAAACCCAATTTCACCTCACCTCACTTTCACTACAGCTGATTCATATTCAATTTCCCAATGTGTCAAATTGTATCAGTGTTTGGTATTCAGTAAATGAATGTGTATAATCGCCTTTTCTATAGGTGAAAGCAGGCAGCGCTTCCTCAGTATTTTTCCCCATCGTCCCCGCGAGCCTGGGTACCATCGACGTGACCGTCTCCGCCCGATCAACCCTCGCAGCTGACGCCCTAACGAGACAGCTCCTGGTCGAGGTGCGGCTTTGTCTCTGCCATATCATACAAATAAAACAATTACATTGAGAAGTTTGTCAAGTATGAATAAGCAGAGTAACGATAGCTACAAGAGATGAACGTTTATCATTTGAATGTGCTTTATCAATAGTGTTAATGCGTTAAACATCAGCAGTAAACGTGTAAAGCGAACAAAATATTTGTAAGTCTGACGTGTCATAGCTTAGGAAACGGTTCTACAGAACAGGAGTAACTTTATGATAATTGTACAATTTTCATTTGAAATGCTGCCTTTACATGTTTTCACTACTCTCGGGGAATTCCTAGATATTACGATGTTCCATGTAATCTCTCTTCAGCCTGAAGGAACCCCCAAAGAGTACAGCGTCCCCATCCTGATTGATCTGAAGCAGGCCACCAGCTTCTCTAAGACTGTCCCCATCACTCTGCCACAGAACGTCGTCTCTGGGTCACAGACTGCTAGAATCACCGCCATCGGTCAGTAATAAAATACAGTGATTCCGATGAATATCCGGTTATATCGCCACAAACTGTTCATGGTAAATCAAGGGTCACAGCGCTGTTACTATAACATCGGGGGTATATAAAGTCCTGTGACACAATCACTCAATTTGTAATATATTGTCACTTTGTCATTGATTTCCATCAGATTCTTGCCGAAATTTCAATTTTTCAGTAGGTTATATGAACAATATTGATTGAGATTTCAGCTACCATAACTGTTATATATGTTATGTTTCACTACGGTATAAATAGATTGAAGGATACATAATGTAATGAATAAAATTTCTGTCAATATATAAATTGATAACAATTTAACTCGATAAACCTTTTATTCAACACATGTCTCTCTAACCCTGTCATATTCTACTAGGTGACCTTATGGGTCCAACTGTAAGTGGACTAGACAGTCTTCTGCGCATGCCTACCGGATGTGGCGAGCAGACGATGCTTGGGTTGGCCCCGGATGTGTTTGTCACCAACTACCTGACAGCAACCAAACAACTGACGGGAGACATAGAAGACAAGGCAATCAAGTACATGGAATCTGGTATGTCAACACGCTAATTTGATTGTATGCTTTTGATATTCGCCATTTGTCTGACTGTACCTATGTGTGCATTTGGATTGTCTCTATCCAGCAAGCAGGCAAAGCGAACACATGCTCATATTTGGTAGGAATTGAACTATCGACTCTGCTTATAGAGGATATTTCTTACGCATAAGGCAAGGGTTTTGTTGCTACCTATCCCTCATTTTAACTCAAGAACTCAGTATCCTTTATGTTCACAAGAGAAGGTCCCCCCCATCCACTGAGATTAAAATTAGAATTGTCGTAGCGCTATCAACGCTTGTAGGTCCGAGCTTAAATTCGGGCAAATTTCCCTCTTTCCGATTAATAGATAGCAAAAACAGGGATAATGAAACGCCATAACCTCCAATACCATTCAACTGGCCTAGTTGACACATGTCATCGGTTCCCAATTGCGCAGATCGATGTTCATGCTGTTGATCACTGTCTGGTCCAGACTCGATTATTTACAGGCCACCGCCATATATCTGGAATATTGCTGAGTGCGGCGTAAAACTAAACTCACTTACTCACTCACTCACAATAGCATTTCAACGAATTTACATGACCACCCATGTCCTCCAGGATACCAGAGGGAGCTGACCTACCAGCACAAGGACGGTTCCTTCAGTGCTTTTGGTGACAGTGACCCATCTGGAAGCATGTGGTAAGTACCGTGATACCTGTAATGAATTACACTTTATCCATTGAGTACATTTTAATTTATTCCGTCACATTGAGCATATATTAATATCATTTGACATGTTTCCTGAGATAAAGCATACAATATTCTTTTTGTAAGTACTTATGCATGACTTTGGCCGTTAATTAGATTGTATTCTGTATTTGCTCCCAGGTTGTCAGCGTTCGTTGTGAAGACGTTCCACCAGGCTAAACCATACACCTTCATCGACGACGATGTCCTTACACGAGCCATCAACTGGATGATTGAGAAACAGAACGCCGACGGTTCCTTCCCTGAACCTGGCCGGATCATCCACACAGCCATGACAGTGAGTGAAGACTCAAATTGTATTACACTGTGTTATAATGATATATGAATATGCTTGTACTGGTATTGTACAAAACCCACTCAAGGGTCCTCTACCTGTAATAGTATTTTCCGTACCTAATGGAATGAAATAACACATAATCAACTTCTTAAGTGACACACTTGATGATCTGCAATTGCTGATCGGAGATCTGTTGACATCGTCCTTTACACTCATCGACCAGTTCGTGCGACTGGAACAATCCGTGTGCATGAACCGCGAAGGTCAGGGTTTTCATTGGTGTTGAGCAACCCATGCTTGTCGAAGGAGGCGGCTAACGGGATCGGGTGGTCAGACTCGCTGACTTGGTTGTCATAAGTCATCGCATCCCAATTTGTAGATCGATGCTCATGCTGGTGATTCCTGGATTGTCTGATCTTTACAGACCTCTGACATATAGCTGGAATATTGCTGAGTGCGGTTAAACAGCAACCAAACCAAAACAATCTGCATGAGTTTGTTGTCGATATAGATATGAATATCTTAAACAGATGTACGTTCGTAAAGATTCTAATTATCAAACACTCACGATTTCTTCTCAAGGGAGGGTCAAACAAAGGTGCTTCTTTGACGGCGTACGTCCTCATCGCCCTTCTCGAGAACGACGACCTCACAGGGGTAAGTGAACACATATGAAGAAAATTGCAGAATACCTTCGATCTGAAGAAAACGTCGAAAATTTGTCTCAGTCACACATAAACAGAAACAGACAGCCTTTACGTGTTCAGTTGATGCTGTTCTTTTATTTCCTGGACCTATCATTGAACAATACTAATTCCTTTGTGATGATTCGTGAAATCAGGAATCCTTCATTTTCTTGTAATTTCAACAGAATGTCCAGCAGCGGATAAACGCGGCCGCGGCCAAGGCTGTTCAGTTCCTGGAGAATCAGACCCCGACAGATGACTACTCTCTGGCAATCATCACCTATGCTCTGCACCTTGCTGGCAGCACCCAGGCCGACACGTCCTTCGCCACATTGAACTCTCATGCTATTGTGAAAGGTTGGCATCAATGTTCTTGAACTAAGTAACGTTTAACTCAGAAACGCTATATTAAGCAATGGGTCCAAAAGTCTAAAAGTCTTCCATGCCAAGCACCAGGTAGTATCAGGGCATTTTTGGCTAACCTGATTTGAAGGACTTTAACTATAAGCTGAAAATGTTTCTATAGATATATTTCTTTTGAATTTGAAACATTGGCTACCCACGTTTTCAGATGGATTCAAGTACTGGCACCGTCCAGAGGTCAAGACGACACAGTCCACCCGCAGCTACTGGAAACCTCCATCAGCCAAGAAGGCCATCGACATCGAGATGACGGCATACGGTCTGCTGATATACGGCGAGAAAAACGATTTTAGCGGTGGCCTGAACATCATGAAGTGGTTGGCGTCCCAGCGTAACCCCCACGGCGGATTTTCCTCCACCCAGGTTAGTGTTATACCTACACAATCATGAAGTGGTTGGCGTCACAGCGAAACCCCCACAGCGGATTTTCTTCCACCCAGGTTAGTGTTATACCTACACAATCATGAGGTGGCTGGCGTCCCAGCGTAACCCCCACTGCGGATTTTCCTCCTCTCAGGTTAGTGTTATACCTACACAATCATGAAATGGCTGGCGTCCCAGCGTAACCCCCACAGCGGATTTTCCTCCACTCAGGTTAGTGTTATACCTACACAATCATGAAGTGGTTGGCGTCAAAGCGTAACCCCCACTGCGGATTTTCCTCCACTCAGGTTAGTGTTATACCTACACAATCATGAAGTGGTTGGCGTCAAAGCGTAACCCCCACTGCGGATTTTCCTCCACTCAGGTTAGTGTTATACCTACACAATCATGAAGTGGTTGGCGTCCCAGCGTAACCCCCACATCGGATTTTCCTCCACTCAGGTTAGTGTTATGCCTACACAATCATGAAGTGGTTGGCGTCCCAGCGTAACCCCCACGGCGGATCTTCCTCCACCCAGGTTAGTGTTGTATCTGTACAATCCTTCATCTCACTAGTATAGAGCTATGTTATATCCTTCATCACAGTGGTATAGAGCTATGTTATATCCTTCATCGCAATGGTATGTCGTGTTCCAGGACACAGTGTTAGCCCTGCAGGCTCTGTCTGAATTCGCCAAGATGGCGTACTCCAACAACTTCGACATCCAGGTGACAGTGAACAGTGGCAGCTTCAGCCATCAGTTCTCTGTCAACCAGAACAACGCCCTCGTGCTCCAGAGTGTCGAGGTGAGTCCCCTTCCATTTATCACTGACACGCACAAACATGTCATTCTGAACTCTCACACATCAACAAGTATGCAAACATCTCCGCACGATTATCCATCGATGAAAGGAACAAATCTCGACTATTTCAAGCGCTTTCGAGTATACTAAGGCGTTGCTAAATTATCTGAAGTTCAATCTCGGTAATGCGAATTAACTCGTTCGGATTAACAATTGAGGTTAACAAATTATTGGCAGTATCCTTTGTGCATTATCAACGTTCAAGACGGACTATTTGGCTTTCTGGCTTTCACTGTATGAAATATTTCATGTATATTTACATTACATCATCTGTTTCCTCCCCTGCAGCTGCCATCCATCCCAAGCAGCATCAGTGTTCAGGCTAACGGGGCCGGCATCGCCCTTGTTGAGGTGAGTGTCATCATAGGCATGGTACTAAGGTGCAAACGTGAGTGAGTAGAGTTTTTCGCGGTTCCAGCAATGTTCCAATAATATCGCTTCCGGGAACACTTAACATGGCTTCACATGTACGAAAGCTAACCTAGGTTTTCTACGTGGCAAGCTGACCTTATATGCATTTTCAATACATCGACCAACACTGTGAATATCATTGTACCGGCACAAGGTAACATTCTCGTTACTTAACGGGGCGGTGGGGTAGCCTAGTGGTTAAAGCGTTGGCTCGTCACGCCGAAGACCCGGGTTCGATTCCCCACATGGGTATATTGTGTGAAGCCCATTTGTGGTTTCCCCCGCCGTGATGTTGCTGTAATATTGCTAAAAGCGGCGTAAAACTAAACTCAGTTACTTAACTGGACGTGGTCGGGCATTCCGCACATTGTCATCATGTTTAAATATAAACAATCCATTTCGAACTGAAATCATTTTCATTTGTATTAGAGATAGTTGAGATACGTCTATATGTATAGTCAGTTGTGTGTTCAGCTAACCCCGATAGCATATTAAAATGAGTGTACCCTCCTTTTGTCGTTTAGGTCGCTGTGTTCTTCAACGTTGAGGCTGAGGTGGAGGAGCCATCTTTTGATGTGACCGTCAAGCTGCTGAAGGAGGACATCAACTCCATCACAGTCCAGACCTGCACCAAGTGAGTGGGACATACCTAACGTGTGTGTGTGCCTGTCCGTGTGCGCGTGCGTATGTGCAGGACAACCATCATACCTAACATACGTGTGTGTGCGTGCGTGCGTATGTGCGGGACAGCCATCATACCTTACATGCACACATGTGTATGTGCGTGTTCGTGTGTGTGTGTGCGTGGTTATGTGCGGGACAAATATCACGCCTAACACACATGCATGTGTGAGTGCGTGCGTGCGTGTGTATGTGCGGGACAACCATTATACACATGAGGGCGTGCGTGCGTATGTGCGGGACAGCCATCACACCTAACACGCGTGTGTTTGCGTGCGTGTGTGTGCGCCTCTGTGTGTGTGTGTGTGATTGAAATATAAAAAGCCAACGCTGTGGCTGACAAGTTTGACAAGCCAGTGATGCTGAACATCCTTCTACACGTCCAACTGCAGCTAGGAGGTGACTATACATTCGAACGTGTTTACAGTGGGATAGCACTGAGCGATCCATTCATTCATGTGTATCATGTTGCTTCCCTAGGTGGTTGTTAACTGGCACCAGTGGCATGGCCATCCAAGAACTTGGAGTTCCCTCCGGCTTCGATGCTGACCTTGACACACTTACCAAACTTAAGACCTTGAAGAGAATCGAGACTCCCAACAAGAAGGTGGTTCTGTATTTTGATGAGGTGAGATGTTATGCGTCGCCATCGTTTCTCATGGATTTAAGACAGTGTACAGGATTACTTGTATTATATTAGTTGAATTTATGAACACCTACAATTCATACCAGGTGTCTCTATCTGGACTCATTGGTTTAGTTGTTTTAAGACCATAGACTATATGTTGAACAATATTTGTATAAAAGAAATCCCAGTAAAATGATACGTGTTTCGGTGTATTTCTTGACAATTGCAATCCGGGTATGAAATGATTTGCAATAATATTATCAATGATATGATTATATTGTCATACTTGTTATGACAATATCCTACTGTTTGTGTTACTAACTCGACTCTGTCAATGTCACAGATCGGAACCACACCCGTGTGTCTGTCCGTCACCCTCCAGAGGACAGGTCTTGTAGCCAAGTCCCAGCCCGTCCCAGTCAGAGTCTACGACTACTATGAGCCAAGTAAGTGTTAACAGTAACATCATTGACATTGAGGCGTGACAACGTGTTTAGAGTTACGTCCCTTTGTCGTCCCAGGACCTGCTGAACATTGTTTCCAATCACACTACTGGCGCACTGATAAAATAAATTCTCCATTGTCTTGAACGTCTTTTTAACTTTCCTCGTTCCTTTAGTTCTCCTGCCATGATGTAAATCATAAACTGTAAGTATAAACTGTAAAAACATTCCATCTGTTGCATGTTTAAACATAAATGACCATCAACTGACCATGTTGCGTGCCACATGCTATTTACCAGACAGTAGAATGTGTTCGTTTCCCATTTCAGCCAACCAGGTGACAGCATTCTACCAGTCCCAGCTCCTCAAGAATTCCAACATCTGTAGCGTGTGTGCGGAATGTGAAAACTGCGCGGTGAGTTAGCCGAACACCTTTAATTTGCTAAACGACCACAGGCACCATTTACAACTGAATATCACCCGGGCTACGAAACACAGGAATTGATAGTATATTGCTTTGGTAGTACACAGGCAAACTGTAGCGCAAATAGAGCTGCGCAACAGAGAGAAAATGACCAGTCTTTCTATATGCAAGCGAAGCACTCGCATGTAGGAAAACTGGTCATTTTCTCATTTTTGCGCAACCCTATTTGCGCTACAATTTGCCTGTGGGTAGTGGTAATGGAGTTATGTAACGATAAACGAATATCACAGACAAAATTCGTGTCACATGTAATGTGGTTAACCTTTACTTGTGTGTCGCCCTATTTTTATCATCGATGTGATGCGTCAAAATGATTTCACGGCAGGAATTATTTGATTACTATGACGTCTGTATTCTAGGTCAAGGCCGGGCGATGAAAACACCGATGACCATCCCAACACACGGCAGATCACATCACATTCAGAAACATCAAGAATAAAGAATATTTACTGAACATGTTATCTTTCACCTTCGTATAATAAACTTCCATGTTAAACATACTCTTTGTTTGTACTGATTGTATTTAACGTCCTTGGCATCTGATTGCATATGACGTCAAAAGCCAGACAATGTTTTTGTTTGTACTGATTGCATATGACGTCAAAAGCCAGACAACATCTTTGTTTGTGTTGTTTAACGCCATACTCAGCAATATTGCAGCTATATGGCGGGGGTTTGTAAATATTTGAATCTGGACCAGACGATACAGTGATCATTTGCATGAACATCGATCTACACAATTGGGATACGATGGGATAGGGAGTCTGTCTTCCATATGCACCAGGCTTTTGTGTTTGGGCGTTTGAATCAAACATGGTGCGGGTTTGTTTGAGCACCCTTGTTTTTCGCTGTTTTTTGACATTGTTTCGTTTCACTCAAACTTGTAGTATAATAATAGTCCACTTGTAACGCGCTGAATCCATGCAGAGTTCATGCTCTGAGGGAACATGTCCGAGAGGAGATGAGAGAAGTTACACAGAGAAGGCATGTCTGAACACTAGGAAGGTTTTGAGTTGGGTCTTAAACGATGACAATGATTCGCAGTCTTTCAGGTACTGGGGCAGAGAGTTCCAGGCTTTAACGGCTGAATACGCAAATGACACCTACGAGTATGGTTCTGCAAAACCAAAAGACTATAATCGCTGCGATGTGGTTCGAACTTCAGCACCAACAGGACAAGAAAACAATACTTCACAAGTGAAAAAAGCATACAATTAACATTCCCTCCCGTGATTGCGCATCTTATACTTCCCTATACATTCGTAGATATGGATCATCTCCATCACTATCAAGGTATTGTTGTCATGGAATTCAAGTGATTATTGCCAGTTTGTCTACACCCAACACAACATTTGCACTAGGTAGTTTGATAGAGCATACCTGCCAACATTCACGCATTTCAGGTTAACACTCACATGTTTATTACTCGCGTCACGCTTCCACGACAAAAGTGATAGATCTCATACCAAACAGGGTTCACATTAAAACAAATATATACATCCGTTACAAATCACACAAACAGGTCTGAATACATCGTTTTCAGTGACCTTTCTTTCAGAGGGAATTTACAGTTAGGCTCTGTGTTCTGGGGGCGGCAGGTCCCTGCCGGGGAGGGCGGCCCTTGGACCCGGCATCTCAAGCTTTCTTCTCTCTTGAGAATGGATGTTCTGAATAGACATGTCACTGTGACACGAAACATGCGCATGATAGTTCAAACTGTCTGCATGTTAATGATAATCAACTTAACGAGACTTCCAAATATTTTAACTGTGTTTGTTAGCTTTGTGCGTGTCAACGTGCTGTAGGAGTGACGCAGGTCGTAGACGATTAGGGTAAACCCACGGTCACTGATGCAATTCTACCAAACGCCGATAAGTATAACAGACATTTAATAGACAGCCCTTATTGTTCTTGTGGACATCAGAGTGAAAACGCCCTGCACTATTTCCTCACTTGCCGTAACTATACTCGGATAAGACTTAATATGTATTTTTACACTACCGGTTATAACCTGGATACTATTCTTAAGGGAAACAAAGAACTTACTCCATGTGTAAACCAGAAAATAGTTGAATCCGTCCAAGATTATATAACAAAGACACAACGCTTTAAATTTTCTCAGGAAAATAATTAAATTTACTCAACAACCTTCTCATGATTGACTTATATTTCTACAATGGCTTGTGAGACACACACAACTGTAACTGTTACTCTCTAACTTATGACTACTTAGAGAATAGTTGTATTTCATGTAATCAATGTATATATATATATATATGTGTGTATGTGTGTGTGTATATATGTGTGTATGTATATATATATGTGTGTGTATGTATGTATATATATATATATATATATATGAATATATATATATTGAAAATATTATATTAATGCAATGGTCAGTATCGATGACGTCAAATCCTCGAATTTCATGTTGTATTATATGTTGCATGGGAGCGGTGTTAATATAAGCAGTAATGCTTGTTCACCAATCCCAGTTCATCTTCATGAATAAAAATATGTTTAAATCAATTCTACCAAATCAGTTCGAGTGTAAGACGGGGCGGTGGGGTAGCCTAGTTGTTAAAGCGTTCGGTCGTCACGCTGAAGACCCGGGTTCGATTCCCCACATGGGTACAATATGTAAAGCCCATTTCTGGTGTCCCCCGCCGCGATGTTGCGGGAATATTGCTAAAAGCGGCGTATAATCATACTCACTCACTCACTCGAGTGTAAGATTCGACCCCATGAGCAAAGTACTTGACTCACCTAACAGAGCACACAAATGGCGCAGAATTTCACATTTCACGCGTCCAGGAAAATCCTATTGTAAAGAGTCTGTGAAACCACGTTATGTTTTGAATAGATCTTTCAGTAATGGTTAACACCTGGAACTGGCAACACATCTTCCCATCCGAACATAGCTTGTAACTGTTCTGATACTGCAGAAACAATGAAACATCTTGAAGGAATTGCTCTTTGTTCGTCCTCAATAATATTCCAGCTGTGACATAATACAAGTGAGTGAGTGAGTTTAGTTTTACGCCGCACAGAGCGGGAGATAATACCAAGACCTTGGGTTGTTTTTTAATGTTCCATAACAGAAGAGCGTTGTTGGTCAGTTCCATACACTTTTGGATCATTCAGAAATATCCCAGCTATATGGCGGCGGTCTGTAAATAATCGAGTCTGGACCAGACAACCCAGTGATCAACAGCATGAGCATCGATCTGCGCAATTGGGAACCGATGACATGTGTCAACCAAGTCAGCGAGCCTGACCACCCGATCCCGTTAGTCGCCTGTTGTGACAAGAATGGGTTGCTGAAGACCTATTGTACCCCGGATCTTCACGGGTCTTCCCCACTCATGACATGATTCAGACAGTTTGAACTAACGTGCATGGTTATTATGAGTGAATGAGTTTAGTTTCAGGTCAATTATAACCCGGGCCTTCACGTGTCAGTGTCTATATGATCGAACGTTCACAATTGGTAATGTGTCGACTCGGCCACTCAAGAACCGTATTGCCATGAAAAAGTGTTAAGTTATTGTACATGAAATCGACGTATATCCAGTTGTTATGATGGTTATGTGGTTGGAGTTTTAATCAGCACCCAAAGTCGTCAGCTTCACGAAGTGTTAAACAGCCCGAAGCAACCTTACACTTGACTTTCGCTGTCATTCGAAGAATATGAATACAGTGGGATGTCAAAATAAGGTAATCGTCTCGTGGTATGATCAGACACGATTCATGAAGAAATTTGTAAATAATAAGAGGGTTTTGTGCCAAAATAATTTCTGATACACGTTGATGTCAATTTATATATTTCAGAAAGGATAAAATCTGAAATATGTGATGCGTTTTAGCTGTTAAAACAAGGACACGGTCAGTGAATATAAACTCTATGGTCCATTATAATCCAAATGTATAGGTAAATCGAAGCGACACAACCCTTTCCACATTCATAAGAAATCTCTGCCAAAGGCAGAATCGATTGTAAAACCTGTTGGCGATTTGTATATTTATATTGCATGTACATGCACATTAGTGCATTGCTTTGTAAAACAGTTTAACCATTTTCAAAAATTATGTCGTGAGAAATGTAGCTTCAGTTGAATTAGTGGGGGAATTACCTCAGCAGAGAAAGCTTAACGACATTGTTGTTATCTCGCGGTCTGTGTGCCCAGTCATCTAAGGAAACATAGTCAAAAACACTTGATATATGATCCTTGATCTTGTTATTTCTCTGTTTGGACACCTTATAAGCTCACCCGCTTTGGCACCGGATGAGCTGTAGGGTTGACTTTCTAAGGTGAGAAGCTTTGGGTAAAATGGCCAAATAGCATTTTCTCCATAACCTACCCTTTACATTTTAAACACTTGAAAGTACCGTGCACTATTTTTACGGAAGGTTGTGCCACATAAATATGACCACCTACTTAGACCCCAGTCTTTATGATGTCACGATTTGGGTATTAGCATAAAATGTCAGAGTGTTCCAACCTCTTATTCTTACATGACTATATAGTAAATCAATTTTATTTGATTGAAATTCAGTTACTGTGAAATGTGGGCTCAGCATGAATGTTTGTTTAATGAAAAAAATGTTTGCTATTTCTGAATTGAAATCATTTCGCAAAATTGAGCCATTGAGATTATGACAGCAATTCCTTTTATAGGACATTAAATTTAATTGATATTGCGTTTTCAATTGATGACATGTTATATAATTGCAGTTGTCTCATTCAGTAGAACAGTCACCAAATGTATTGCACATCTTGGACATGACAGAATATATTGAAGGAACATATTGCTATTCAATAAACGGTTTAACGAGACCAAGGAATGAATTCTGTCAATGACAATCGCGATATAACATCTAGTAACATCAGGCGTGGCAATGAAATAGACACAGTCGTTTACAGTATTGATTGTCAAATGTCGATCTGAACATTTCAATTCATCAAACAACAAATTATAATATCAGGTACATTTGAAACTGAAATTCACTTCTCATTTTGTTTTTGGGTAGCCACGATGCTGCAGCTCCTCGTTGTAGTATCCCTCTTGGGGGCCACGTTAGGAAAAGAGTAAGTATAAGTTGTTTTAAAAATCGGTTTCATTTTATTTACCACAAACATAAAAATGTAATTTCGTTACCATGACTGATAATGAATTCCAATGTATAAGCTATGTATAGTGACGTTGGGCAATATGCACCAGCATTAGGGTTTTGTATTGTGAGTTATCACTTTGGTGAAACTACCGAGCTCGAAGAATGGTGTTGATAAACCTAGTGGTACTATCATGATGAACTAGAACTCGAACCCACGATCAAATTACCAAGGGATGCAACTCTACACAGCTAATTGCCGTGCCACCTAAGCCCTTCTTGTATTGTGACGTGCAGTAGCCATAATCTGAAACATATAATATTATGCTTTTTCACAATGTCCAGTATTACAATGTTATCAGTATTATATAAATAATACAGGGAGACCAGAACGGGTGGCTTAGAAGTCTACGTCTCCCTGTGCTGAGTTATCTCCCTTCGGTGTTCGAATCCCAGATTCATCAAGATTATATGTACATAAACTCTGTCAAAAAAGAAACGCAACCCCTGTCCTCAGATATGAAAAATTCGTTTGAATGAAGTTATTGCTTCCAAACTAAATTTTATTCGAATGTATTGAAATGATACACGTAATTAATGAAGATTACCATCCAAACAACTGCATTTGTACGCATAAGTGTATTTGATTGCTTATTCCGTCACAACGCATGAAATGACCCTCATGGTGACTTCGCACAAAAAAAAACACATGCAAATCATGAAAATGGCAGTTAATGTAGGGGTGTATAAAAGCCCATGTGCTTCCGTATTATATTCATTCATTTGTCGCCGAAAAGCTGTGTTAAAAATGCCACGATTGAGTGCTGCCGACCGAAATATCGCCATTGGTCGTGTTCAAGCCGGAGAAAGTTTTGGAACTGTTGCACGGCACCGAAATGTTCACAAAACAACGATATCCCGACTTTGGCGCCGCTACAACAACTTCAATTTGACCAACGATCGCCCGAGAAGTGGAAGGCCAAGAATCACGACCCCCCCTTCAAGATCGGTACATCCGGGTCCATCACCTGCGTAATCGGCATGCCCTACCAACCGTGACTGCCACACAAATACCAGGTTTGAGGAGAGTGTCAGCTCAAACGATTAGGAACCGTCTGAAAGAAGCGGGTTTACGTGCCTGTAGACCAGTTGTTGGACCTGTACTACGCCCCCTACATCGACGCCGACGACTCAGGTGGTGCAACAACGTAAGGATACGGACTTTACAAAACTGGAGGCGAATCTGGTTTTCTGATGAATCACGTTTTCTTTTGCAACGTCACGACGGAAGACAGCGTCTGTATAGGAGACGTCATAAACGTTTTGCGCCCATCTGCGTCCGACAGGTGGACAGATTTGGCGGAGAAAGCGTCATGGTTTGGGGAACCATCTCATACAACCAGAAATCAGACTTGGTGATCGTTCCAGGGAACCTGACAGCCCAACGTTACATCAACCACGTGTTAGAGCTTCACCTTCTCCCGATTATTGACCAACAGACACAGATTTTTCAACGGGACAACGCCCGGCCTCATACTGCACGTGCAACAATGAACTTTCTGCAGAATTCCAACGTCAATGTCTTGCCATGACCCTCTAAATCACCAGACCTCAACCCTATTGAACACCCGTGGGATACTCTGGATCGACGCGTACGTCAACGTCAGCCGCCGCCACAGACGCTGCAACAGCTCGCCGTTGCACTGCAGGAGGAGTGGAGAGCCATTCCCCAGGAAAGAATCCGGCGTCTTATCCGTTCTTGTCCAAGGAGATGCCGTGCAGTGATTGCAGCGCGTGGTGCTCATACGAGATACTGAGAAAGACGCCCCCCCCTGGTGACAAACTGGTGTCTGTGAGATGACTTTTGAAATGACAATTTTAAACATGCCCATCTGGGTTATTATTCTGCCAAATTTCAGACTTCTGTCTTAAATAATAAAAATGCCGTGTCGTCCTAAAACTTCAGATCAAAATCTCTAAAATACAGGGGTTGCGTTTCTTTTTTGACAGAGTTTAGTATTAGGAGAACCATAAGTGTTAAATCTTAGGCTTGCACCACAAGGGCTTTCCTTCGCAGAAAGCGGATACAATGTGATTTTACTGAAATGCTCATCTCAGATAGTAAACATACTGACTAAAAATCTTTAAAACCGAGTTCACCCATACAAAACAAACTCACTCAAAATATAAGCATGTTATTAATCCTACAGTAACGCTTCTTTCTTGATTAATGGCGTTACTTCTCCTTGGGCTCGCTTAGCAGGTGGTGTACTCGTGACAGACATCTTGTGATGAAAACTCATGACGGTTGTAAACATTTTATACAGCTTGCTCTTCTGTTATTTCTTGATTAAATCGTCTCAATTAATTACCCTGTGTTCCTAATTAACAAGTGTGTGATGTTCACCGACGTCGGTGTCAAGCATCCAGTAAGGCACACGCTAATCACCACTCACGTGTGATTGTCGGATTAACGAATGATTTTACAATGTAATTACAATAATCAGTTGCTAGATTGCTGTGTCGGAGTCGGAATGCGAGAATGTCGGATTAACGAGAGTAATTATCACTGTTTTAAATGGTTCCATAATTTCTTTCCGGATTAACGTGATTGTCGAATAAATGAGTGTCGGATTAACGAGAGCTGACTGTATATAGTTTATACATGTGTCGTCCAAGTATACATCATGTGGCATTTCTGTTCCAGTTCCTACGTCATACTGTCCCCGACATCCGTTAGACCGGGTATGGATTTTAATATCAGTGTCAACATCCTCAAAGCGCCCTCTAACGTCAATGTCACCGCAACGGTCTATAACGGGGTACAATCCATCGCTTCTACAAGTGTAGATCTACCACAAGGTAGGTAACCTTTCAGAATAACCATACTTGGTGGTGTGTGGTCCTGTGCATAGGGCTCAGGTCACAAAATCAGTTGAAGTGAAGCAACGCTGGGCGCGGAGAGGTTTTCGGTGGGTGACCGTGTTATGCAGCCTGTCTCCTCAGTTTCTAGGACTTCAGACCTGCCTCACAACGAAGCACGTGTGATGCATGTTGTCTCACCTTAGGTTTTGTTTGTTCAAGATTGCCTCTGTTCACCCAGCAGTAAATGGGTACCCGGTGGGATAAGTCGTGTGACTATTAGCTTCTAGCGCCACACTGGCAACTTGGCTTATCCGGGGTAATAATGAACTGTGACTTGTCTGCGCTTAGAGCATGTCGCTCAGTGATGTGGATGAGGCGCTATCAATTACTCTTATTATTATGTTCTACCAATTAAAGATGAAAATGCAGCAGAGAGGGTTCGGGTGATCCTGGCACAGTCCGACTTTTAAGGCTCATCATCAGCTCAGGGCCCTCGCCCCCTCTACACGCAGCCCAGACAGCAAATGGGAAGTCTCCATGGAAACGCTGCCTAGTCGAACCCACCAAGAACTTTCCGGAGAATATGAAGACTCTCCAACACTGTAGCCTTCTGCATTACCCAGGGAGTGAGAAGGGCTGTGCTCCCGGTGGAGAACCCGGGCACTCTCCTGATCTGCGCCAAGAGATCAGGCGGTACCAAACCAAGGGCACCGATAACAATGGGGTGCCTGACGACAGTGTACTTGGGATGCAAGCGAGACATTTCAAAGGCGAGGTCCGCATATTTATCATGCTTTTCCTGAATCTTGCCAATCACATTGCTGTCAAAAGGGACAGAAAATTCAATGATATAAATACATTCATTGGCTTTATCAAAAAGGACAAGATCAGGTTTGTTGGCAGGAATTCTTCTGAGGCTGTATATGGGCCCATTCCACAGAAGTTTGAAAGCATCATTTTCCATAACGCCCTGGACATGTTCAGGGTCGGACCATGGATGGACCGCGGAGTCAAAGCCACAGACATGGCAGAGACGGTAGTAAAAGCAAAGAGCCATGCCATCATGTCATTTAAGATATGCTGTTTGTGCCAATGAAGGGCATCCACTGACAAGGTGTTGGACACTCTCTGTAAATTCATTACATAGTCGACATTTCATATTGATATTTTCTTTAACAATCACATTTTGGCGATTGCGAGTGGGAACTGACTGGTCTTGAGCAGCAAGAAGGAAGCCCTCAGTTTCACAGTTATGACCAGCTGACTTCATCCAGGCGAAGGAGTCGGTGGGATTGCTATTCTGTTACACACACTGCATGTACACACGATGCAATGGCTTCTCAGAAAGCTTCTCCACAAAAGACCGACTCTGGGCAGACTTGGTGAAGGACTTCACCTGGTTTACTCCCATCGCTGTACCGTCCAGCAGTACAACGCCATCAACAAAATCAACCTGAAATTTTAGATTCTGTCCAATAACTTTGGCACGCTTAAAATAGCTGTGGAATTGCTTGCTTTCATCATGAGTCTTGACATGCATCACCAGAGGATCATCCGACAAATAAATATGTGCAAAAAGTACACACAAAAAAACTATCATGAAGAGCCTCCACATTCATCAAACCCCGACCTCCAGAATTGATTGGCATATATAAACGATTAAGAGAGGAACGAGGGAAGTGGGCTCTGTTAGCAGACATGATCCTTCTGGTCAGGCGGTCAAGACTGGATGTCCTGTTTTGTCCAATCATCTACTCCAAAGGAATAGGAGAGGACTGGCACAGCAAAGGTATTGGTGGCTTTGATCTTGTTTCGAGCATTTAGCTCTGAGCTCCAGATTTTTTTTATGCGAGATTTGTACTCGGCCCGAAGTTTTTCTTGAATCTGGGCATTCTGGAGCTTGTCTCGAACTTGCACTCCAAGATAGGTGTAGGCCGGATCTTATACAAGATGCTCAATAACTCCTCCCCTTGTAACTTGACCAATCCATCATTAACTACCTTGCCACGTTTCAGATGAAGAGTATTACATTTGTCAAGCCCAAATGTCATGCCAATATCATTAGAAAAGGACTCGACAAGGAGAACCTGTTCGTTAAAATTGGTATCTCCTTTCGCAAGGAGCTCAATATCATCCATATAAAGGAGATGAGTAAGCGGTGTTGTGGATCTGTGCTGAGGAGGTCCGGGATGGTAACCCTCCTCTCTATTCAGCAGAAAGCTCAAAGGATTTAGAGACAAATAAAAAAGTAAAGGACTAAAAGAGTCCCCCTGGAAAATTCCCCTTCTGACTGGAATAGATTCCGAAGTCTGCACCTGCCCTTGCTAGTACATCTCAAGTTGAGTCGACCAGCAACTCATTAAAGACTTGAGTAAATCAAGTAGTCGCTCCGGGAGGTCAATACAACAAAGAGACTTCAGAATCCATTCATGAGGGACAGAGTCGTCTGCTTTTTGGTATTCAATTCAGCACATAGAGAGGTTGCGGTGATATGTTTTAGCCTCTTCCAAAATCATTTTATGTACAAGAAGTTGATCCTTGCACCCCCAACATCTCTTTCTTGCTCTCTTCTGCTCTCTGTAAACTATATCATTAGCAGAGCAGTATGATGACACAAAGTTTGTCAAACACTCTGTGAATAATTTGTATTGTGTATTTAAACATGTGATAGGGCGGAAGTTTTGGGATCAGTCAAGTCTCCTTTCTTAGGAAGGAGTATTGTGCGACCTTTGCAGAACCATGGAGGAACATCACCTGTGTTCACCAGAAAACTGAAACAGTGAAGTAATGGTGTTTGGACACAGGGAAATAGTTTCCAGTACCGGTTTCGAATGCCATCAGGCCCTGGAGCTGTATTAGATTTTTATTAGATGTATATGACTCCTTTATAACTCTCTTCAGGAAATCTGGTGAGATGTAACAGACAAACGACCTAGTTACTTTCTCATGCATTGCATGGTCATAATCACGGACCCATGGTGCCTCAAGGTTACAGTCGCCGGGTATAGACCACAACTGTTTCCAGAACCTCTCATTGGCATCCACGAGAGGCCGCTTATCATGCTCACCATCACCATTTGTTTTAAGTTGCCTGTAGAAGTGTTTTTCATTATTTCTAAAAAGTTTATTTTGTTTGATGAATATATTTTTCTTTTCCCATCGGGAATTGGCAATTTGGAGAAGTATCTGTTCTTTGGTTGTCTTGTACTGTAATTTTAATTTTCTCCAAATTGACTTTTGACGTTTTGACATTGGACTCCCTGATGATCTTAACTTCAAGCAAAGCTCTATCCAGGAAATGTATTTTCTATTTTCTGTTAGTTTCACTTGAAACCGGTTTTTCTTTGGTGTATTGTTCTTAGTATTGGATGTGTTTTTTTTGGAAACTGTGTGAAGTTCCTCCAAGGTTCGAGCGGCAGCATAGACACAACAATTCACTTAATGTAACGAACAGTCCGCAGAGAGTTTCATAGAAATAATGTCATTTAATAAATTAATTTAATTCTTCAGAAAATATTCAGTTGTTTGTTTAATTGGCCTCCGTTTTTCTAAAGGTAAATCAGATATCTCATCAAAAATAGAATAAAACAAAATATTATTATTATTAACATTCCAACTGTATTCTAATGTACCATAACATATGCAGTGTTATTTCTTGATTCCCAAACTGAAATTGAAAGTTATACGGCAATCAGCTTGCTAAAGAACTCGATGTGAAACCAACAAAAAACAATGCAATTTGAAATAATTAACAATTAAAGATTAACTAAGTAAACAAATTAACACAAATAACCACAAAGGTATCACTGTAGCAGTACAAATTAAAATTCAGTGAAATACAAAACTAGTGATAGTAACAATAATTCAAGAGTTAATTTATGAAATAATATTCACCTCAATAGCATTAATTTGTGATTTGATTTATGAAATAATATTCACCTCAATAGCAATAATTTAAGATTTGATTTATAAAATAATATTCACCTCAGTAGCAAGAACTTAAGAGTTAATTTATGAAATAATATTCACCTCAATAGCATTAATTTATGATTTGATTTATGAAATAATATTCACCTCAATAGCAATAATTTAAGATTTAATTTATGAAATAATATTCACCTCAATAGCAATGATTTAAGAGTTAATTTATGAAATAATATTCATCTCACTGCAACAACGGTAAGAAGTTTCAAATGAAAGTAAGCTTGTAACTTGAGATGTAATGGAAGATGCAAGCTGCTCCTCTTATATTTATCAAATGAAGAGTAGAAACCAGAAAATAAGGTTTGGTTAGGGTTGCTGGTCTGAAATTTGTAACTTGAAGATGTAATAGGGAAGATGTAGAAACAAGTAAAAATACAAGTTGTAATGTTTTAACATTCATATATTCATTTATTTTAATCAATATTTTACAGGTGAGGCCCAAAGTATAACCATCAAGGTGAATAGAACCATTTTATACATTATATCCTTTTATATGTTTTGTTGCTTTTCTTGGGACTTGCAGACAAAGAGGCCTATGACGAACGGTCGTTCTCTTACACAGCATCAGTCCAATGGAACCAACTGCCAGAACATCTGAAATCAAGTTTTAAAATTCTACCCAAGACCCATTGCTTCCGCGTGGCATACCTCTAAAACTCTTTCCTACCTACTTCAAAACGCTTTGAGCATGACATTGAACGTGGATATAGACTTTATTTAAATATATTTTTATTATATGTGTGTACAGATAGTGTTATTCATTATCAATAAATGCCTATCTTGGAAATTGAGAATCAGGGACCAGGGTGATTTAGTCATTGTACCCCGACGGTGTGGATCACTGCCAGCTGTCATCGTATCCCAATTGCGTAGATTGATGATCATGCTGTTGATTATTGGATTGTCTGGTCTAAACTCTATTTTGTACAAACCGTTGCCATAGTTAAAATATTGCTAAGCGCAGCGTTAAACAACAAATACACAAAACTTGGAAATTGCTGTTTGTTTTGCTAGGGGTTCGCGTCCATCGATATCACTTTATTGATTGGTTTGGTAGGACATTACTTGATGTAGATATAGACATATATTGTGGAAACGCTGTTTGAAAATTGGTACCACAGCTGCTTTCTGACATGATCAGATACCCAACGACATTCCCAGAGGAAGCTACAGGCTGAAAGTGGCAGGAAAGGGTGGTTTGACCTTCGGAGGCGTGACGTGGCTGACCTACAAGAGCAAGAGCATGTCCATGTTCATCCAGACAGACAAGGCCACGTACAAGCCAGGTCAAATAGGTCAGTCAACGAAACAGACAATGCTGTGGGTCCTACTATTAAACGTCCGACAGAGGCCTGGGAGTCCGAGGATTACATAATGCATCTTAGTGCGTTAAAACAAATTGAAGCTTACTTGGAACCAGTGCCGTAAAGCCGGGGGCCATAGCTGCTTTCTGTATGGTTTACGTCGTCTTCTTGTTAATGATTTCATCGGTCTGTTATACTTTGTGATGGATTTTTCTGATGACAGTTACCATTGGTTATTTCGGGGCTTACACTGTCTCATTTTCTAGCGCGTTTTGTGGTCCCATTCGGGATTAGAGCCCATTTAATCACCAGCAGAAAAATTCACCGATCTAATCAACCAAGGGACCACAAAATGGAAGATCAAATACTTTGTGTACCCCTCTGGCAAGTGTAAATTTCTATAAGACTCCCAATGTTACGCTGTCTCAATTAAAACAGATTTTAGTACGTTTTTGGTTTGAGTCTCCTACGGGAATCGGACCACCCTTTAGGAGTGAGGCACCTAATCTGCTTTTGTAGGTAGAAAGATGACAGTGTAAATAGTTTCTATGCCTATAAGAAATGTAGTCAGAGGAATCAGGAACACTTGTTAAAACATGGTCTTCTACTTCTATTTGAATCAGTTCGATCTGATAACAGTCAGTCTGAAGAACTTAAATATTTTCTGATAGATATGTGCTTCGTCTTGCACGACAAAATGAAAAATATATTCCGAAACACAAACAAAATTACCGTTTACAATAAGCACGGTTGATAACCGAAACAGGCTGCTCATTACTCTCCGGACGTTCCCTGAACTTTCTGGACGTTCCCAGGAGTTCCCGGAAGTTCCCGGATCCTCCAACACGTTGTTCTTCCCCAAAACGTTAAACGGTGCGTTGGGGTAGCCTAGTGGTTAAACGTTCGTTCGACACGCCGAAGAATCGTGTTCGATTCCCACATGGGTACAAAGTGCGAAGCCCAATACTGGTGTCCCCTGCCGCAGGAATATTGCTAAAAGCAGCGTAAAACCAAACTCACTCACTGAAAACTGATTTCTTATATAGGCCGGGTTTTCCGTCATTATAACAGTTTTTTGCAGTTTTTTTTCAAAGAGAAATAGTTAGTGACACAAGACACAAACTGCACGGTTAAAATGCGAGTACATAATATCGGTACCAGTTCGTAGGTTCAGGTTCGTAAATGGTGCCAAATCTTTAATTACTATTTTGTGTTGCATCTTAATTTAATTGTTTCGGTAATTTCAGTACATTTCCGGGCCTTTGCCGTGTTCCCCGACATGAAGCTGTACACCGGCGCCATGGACATCGACATCGTAGTGAGTAACATCTACAGCTCTGCGACTTTATTTATTTTAAAATTTAGCACACAAAGTTTAAATAACTGTTGACAGTAGACAATGTGCCAATACACGATACTACGTAGGACATAGATTTTAAAATGTATAATAATAAACAATAAATAACAACATTATAAATAACAAATTTATAGAAATTCACATCTAGTCTCTGATAATATCTCGGAAACCCTCCATCGTTTTCGTAAGTACACACAGCATGTTTCTGCAATGGTTTTAGGACCCGAACTCCAACAAAATCAAGCAGTGGGTGGGGTTGAAGGGCGCTAGCGGCGTCATCACCAACTACCTTCCCATCTCCAGCCAACCTGTACTCGGTGACTGGAAGATCAAAGTCACCGCGGGTGTAAGTGTTGCATGTTATACGTAGATGACACTTCACTGATAGAGTGAGTGAGTGAGTATGGTTTTACGCCGCTTTTAGTAATATTCCGGCAATATCACGGCGGGGAACAATTGAGTAGGCTTAGCATATGTTTATGACAGGTGCCACTGGTGGGGCAGGATACGCTCTTACCTTTTCGCGAACATCTGATATCATCACTATTTCATAGTGATTCATAAACACATGTTGACAATCACTAGATTGTCCGGTCCAAACATCGTACATGCTGAAACAAATATATACTCATGATATAGTCACAATTGTACAATCGACCCTGCTTTTAGCAGAAAATTCTTACACATTGTACCCATGTGGGGAATCGAACCCGATGCTTCAGCGTGACGAGCGGACGCTTTAACCTTTAAGCTATCCCATGGCCCACTTCATACCCATAGAAGGCCTACATATATTCATTGTCCATATATGTACATGCCTTTGATGATGCATTTATTACATGATGTACATTGTATAGTCGTTAACCTTGTGATACGTTATGGATCTCATTACAGAAAACGACCGCAGAGAAAGTTTTTACCGTCGCTGAATACGGTGAGTTTCATGGAACAAGATATGTCGTCAATAGCAACCGATTGAACTATAGAGTGAGAGAATGAGTACAGTCTGTACTCCGCGTTTACAATATTCAGATATTTCTTGTCGGGGGAAAACATAATAAACTCTTGTGTGGAATCGAAGGCGGATGAAGAGCGTTACGAGTAAACGCTTTATTATTTTTTAATAAGGCCACATAACAATCAATGCGAGTGACTGACTATGCAAATACAAACGTGACACTCATATCAAAGAGGGATAGGGAGACCAGGCTCCGTCAATGGTTGCCAATGTTCTGTGATTCCTTGTAACTCCTACCCGTGAAGATCAGGGTTAGAATTGGTCTTCAGTAACCCATGCTTGTCGTAAGAGGCGACTAACTGGATCGGGTGGTCAGGCTCGCCAATTGCGTAGATCGATGCTCATGTTATTGATCACTGGATTGTCTGGTACAGACTCGATTATTTATAGACCGCCGTCAAATAGCTGGAATATTGCTGATACATCACTCACTCACTCACTCACTCACTCACTCACTCACTCACTCACTCCTGCTTCCAGCCACTGGTTTGCCTGGTCCAGACTGGATTGTATTCCAGTCGCGGTGGATTGAATATTGCAGAAATGCGGCGTAAAATGTTATTCACCCAATGATGATTAATTTGTCATTGTATATGATCATTACTAAAAGCTATCCGTTTTTCAGTTTTGCCTAAATTCGAAGTAACAGTTGAACTGCCATCATATGTACTTACCACTGACGATGACATCACGGCCACAGTGAAAGCCACGTAAGTGAAGGGTGTGCTAGTATTGATATATTACAGGATCTTATGGATTCAAACTGGAGAAATGTTACATACAGCAGATACCAGTTGATCTTATCAGCCAATTAGATTTTTTTGTGATGGTAAACCACAATCACCCTGTTTCCAAATATGTCATGAATGCCTGCACGTCACTTCCGGTTAACTGCATGGGTACCCAACGCAATGGGTAATTTGGTGCACTAACACCCACGCCACACCTGGATCGAGATCAGCTGACTCTCACCACTGACGGGGTTTGCTGTGGACAACCAATATGAGGATTCCGAGTTTCCAGCAAAACTACCCCATTCGGGACCACGCCTACAATGTGTCTCCATGAGTGAGTGAGTGAGTTTAGTTTTAAGTCGCTATTAGCAATATTCAAGCAATACCACGGCGGGAGACACCAGAAATGGGCGCCACACATTGTACCCATGTGGGTAATCGAACCCGGGTTTTCGGCGTGGCGAGCGAACTCTTTAACCACTAGGCTACCCCACCGCTCGGTATCTCCATAATATCATTGCCAACTTTAAGAGACTATTGTCACAAAGAGGAGTCTGGATGGGAACTGCTTAGTAGCAGTGTATTCTGGTCGAATAAACAAGGTGACGGGATCGGAAGGTCAGGTGCGGGCCTGGTCTGTACCTAGACAGTGTGAATCGCTGCTGTATAAATCACTGGATTGTCTGGCCCAAGCTCGAGTGTAAATGGACTAGAGATGAGGGAGACTGTAAACATTAAATACAAGGAACATTTCTGACCCACGGTACAAGTTTTGGTTACCTCACTAAATATTTCCCTACCTGTGTTCCGTCAAAATTATCCTCTGCGAAAAAGTTGAACAGGGTTTCATTCTTTGATTCACTGATAGCCACTTATTCAGGTACACCTATGGCAAGCCGGTGAAGGGAACAATCAACCTGGTGGCCAAGGTGGAACCGTACTATAGACCCTGGAATTATCATGGGGAGGAACCGAAGGTCATGAAGACAGTAGCCGTGAGTGTGTACTGATATATACGATGGGGGTGTGTGTACGTGCGTGTGTGTGTGCGTGCGTGTGTGTGAACTTTCAGAAAGAGCTTGTATAAAATTATGCTCATCGGTGCATCGTTGTCAAAATCGGAGATTTAGTCCTATTTAGATCCCTGTGTATTTTGTACCCGGCATATGGTTATAGCATTCATGGCAGTCCATAGGAATAGGAGTTGCTATTCCTCAGCCAGTTGCTGTACCCCAGGCAATGGGCGTCGAAGGACGTAGAACACATCAAATTGACTATATAACCTAACAAGCAACGATGTCAGCAGTTTCATTAGTAGCAATAGTAACAAACGGCATCAGTTAGAGTAAACGTCATCATAGTAGCATACGTAGTTGTAGACGTAGTCCACGTACCGGAGTTCAGAGCCTGCCTGGTAGAAGCAGCATCCACAATAGTCACAGTTGTAGCTGAAGTTCAACTCACCCCAAATTTGGCCATGCCACTTCATTCACTACCAAACGGATTTCCACTTGCAACATTGTTCCTTTTCACAAGAGTTTAATCTCTCGCATTTTTCGGGTTCATCTGGCGGTTTTCAGCCCCGTGGTTTGTTTAACAACTGCTCAATAAATTTTACAATAAACAATCAAAAATAAATAGAATACAACAACGAGATCTGCTTCCTATTCGCCACGCCGCACAACTTCGAAGTCGGTCAGTGTATTTTTACGCGATCAAACGAATCCGTCATAGTGTAAAGGTACAATAACAGTTTGTTAAAATAGTATTGTTATTGTTAGTGATATTTGTTTCTGTTAGATAATTTATTTATGTTATACTTATTAAAGCAGTTTCTACCCTAATGACGAATTTGTTGTTATATTTTAAGGAATGCTTTGAGAACTATTTCTTCAAGGGTTCAAATATCGCTTAGTATAGAAATACTGCAATACGGTCTTTAACAGAATGGCATTACAACATTTTACAGGCATTACAACACACCACTGAAAGTAATGATCATGTAGAAGTGGGTAAAAAAACGTTTGTGTAAAATTCAAAGTACGAAATGTCAGTTTGTGTGTTTGTACTGAAAAATGAACGATGTCCAAACGTTATTCAAACTTTCGTGTGAACTGGCTCAACTCTTGTGTGAACTCGCTCGTGCACTTTAGATTGTGCAACGCTTTGACATCGTTCATTTATAGTGCAAACACACAAACTGGCATTCAGTTTTAAATTGATGATCCGCCACTGGGCCTATCACCCGTAGCTGAAAATCAATTACATTCTTATAGCAGAAACGTATGAGCCATTTTTTAGAATATTTAGTTTAACAATTATTATATGTACTTTCACGGGTAAGAAGGTGGAAATTCACACGTCTATAGACAAAGAGTTCGCCAACACAACAGCCGGCTTTATTGTTGTGTTTCTGTTTACTTGAGTCAACAAAATGGTGTCAAAGTCAGTACTTTGTATGGTCACCATTGGGAGCAGTTTTGCTCGGCACCGTCTGAAGTCGAAGTCGCTCTTGCGGAATTCTTCCCTATTCTTCCTGCAATGCGATGGACAGGTGTTTTGACGTTGACGTACACGTCGATTGTGTTCATCCCATAGGTGTTCTATCGGGTTTAGATCTGGTGATCAGGAAGGCCATGGCAAGACACTGACGTTAGCATCTTCAAGGAAGCGGACCATGACGCGTGCTGTATTTGTAGTAGCGTTGTCATGCTGGAACATTTCCCTCTGTCGGTCCATGATCGGAAAAATGTGACGTGCAATGACTTCGTTGACGTACAGATTTGCTTTGAAATTCCCCTGTGCCACCACAAGTCGGATCTTTGTATGCTGGATATCTCACCCCCCACACCATGTCACTTCTTCTACCGAATCTGTCTGCCTGTCGAATATAGCGTTAATGTCTCCAACGGTAAACACGCTGTCTTCTATCTCGTCGGTGAAGAAGTAATCGTGATTCATCACTGAACAAGGCTCGCCCCCAGTTTCTAAAGTTCCAGTTCCGGACGAGATCATCACAAGCTATTGCGCCGATGGAAGTCTCTCAAAATAGGGGCGACAACTGGCCTTCTTGGTCGAATCCCCGCTTCACGCAATCGATTCCTGACAGTTTGGTCGGAAATTCTTCTCAAACCAGGGAACGTTTTTCACTCTCCACGGCTGTGGCAAGACATTGACGCAAGTGAGCAACCCTGATGTAGCGGGCTTGGATGATAACTCTTGGACGGCCGCTTCTCGGGCGATCTTGGGCGGAATAGATCTGAAAGAAACGATCCCAAAAGCGAGGTTTAGTGCTGTGATGAACGTTGAAATGTTGACAATGGAAGACTGAGAGTCCCCAGCTTCAAGGCGGCCTATGGCTATGTTTCGATTGGCGGCACTCAGTCGTGGCATCAGCTCTCAACTTCTTTGGCTGTCTGCGCACCTTGTCTTTACCTTGTCAAAGTGATGCTTTAGCTAGCATTTGTTATTACTGATATACGGTTTAGCTAGATAACTTGTTCACTTCTCTTAGTTTGTGTAGTCAGTGATGTGTTCTTGATGTTGTGTGTGGGTCTTTCATTTGTCGCTTCTGATTGAAATTAATTGACAGTAATATAATTGTGAATTTACACCATGTTTACCAATCATGACTCTATTCTCGTTTATGACTTTCCGGTTTGAGGATCGTCTCCGTGGCAGTAGCAGTAGCGGTAGTAGTCTTCAACGTGTTTCTAGTGGTTGCTGTAGCTGCAGCAAATGACAGCGTACCTTTCACCAACTGTGGTCGTACAGGTGTAGTGGAGATAAAGTATTTATAGCGGTAATCATTAATTTCATCCATTCAATGATTTCCTATTGAATCCTTGGCAATTTGCTTCATTTCTTTGATCGCTGTCTTTATCCGAACATCATGTACCTTTCCAGACTGATGGCGATTCCCGGTTGACCTTCTCTCTTGCTGATATAAAGAAGGTGTTCCCTTATGGCCTCCTAAATCGAGAGATCAGGGTGTCAGCTGATGTAACCGACAGCTTAACTGGGATAACTCTGAATGGAACCAGCAAGGTCAAGATCTACCAGGACGCCACTAAGTTGTCCTTCTCCCCATCAGATCCCAAGACCTTCAAACCCGGTCTCAAATACATCGCCTATGTGAGTTAAAACTGCCCTTTTATAGAATAAAGTTTCTTTCCTGTTGATCTGAACAAGAAAGAGATCCTTTCTTCAGGTAAACTGAATTCATATTAGATGACACGTCTCTCTCATAAGACGATTTATTGCCTTCACATGTCAGTTCTATTATATTATAACGAAAATGACTGACAATACCAACGTAGCATATGTTATATTTGGGATAATACTGTTTTATTAAAGTACAAATTCTGGTACTTTTGGGGGTTGAGTCCCATCTGGGATTCGAACCCACACCCTCATGGTCAGGTACCTAATCGCCACTTAACCAGCTCAGTCGCGGTGTCTGAGCGGGTTAAGGGTTGACTTAGGTGCCTGACTCCGAGGGTCTGGGTTCGAATCCCGGATGGGACTAAACCCCCAAACGCTCTAGAATTTGTACTTTAATAAGAAAGTGTAATCCCAAATATAACATATGTTACATTTGACCACTTTCTAAAATGGCATTGTGTAATCATGACAATACCAATGTTTCAAACACAAAGCTCACTGCGAACAAAATGTATTCCCGTAGCTACAAGTCAAGCAGCAAGACGGGCGTCCAGTCTTGTCAAGCACACAACGAGTGACCATGACCACTAGAGTGACGGTGAACAATAAAGTGACCGTAAGCAATAAAGTAACCGTTAGCAATGCAGTGACCTGGCCGATTACAACAATACCACCAACTACAACAATCTACGATGACAGTTATGGCTACGGTTACGGTTACTATCCAAGAACGTCCACCTACACTCTGTCGGGCCAAACTTTCTCAGTGCCATACACAGGACTTGTCCCAATTGAAGTTGAAATCCCCTCCAACGCTCTCAGGGCGACTCTCACCGTACGTATGATCATACCAGTACAATACCATACCATGCCCGGATTCATTCCATCAAAATAATTATAACAAGTCCACCACAGAAAATCGAATAACCGTTATCAACTGCCTCATGGAAACATACAGTCCAACATACAGATTCAAATGTTCAGTTGATTTGAAAGTTCTTCTGATGTGACCTCCTGTCGTGATAGTTTTCTTGCATTAAATTGTTCAACAAACACATGTCTACGTTCTCTGTTGAAGGTGCGTTATGGCAAGGTTTCCGCCTACAAGAGCATTGAGAAGAGCTATTCGCCGAGTGACAACTACATCCAGCTGTTCCTGAAATCACAACAACTTACTGTAAGTATCTCACGTTACCGTCCTCAACTTACTGTAAGTATCTCACGTTACCGTCTCCAGCTTACAGTATGTTTAATGCCGCCGTATAAGGGATTTTAAGAACGTTTTTGCTCTTTCTTGGAAGGTTGGTTGGTTGTTGATCCTCGCACTCAGCAATATTCTACCTACATATCTGTAAATAATCGAATCTGGACCAGACAATCCAGTGATCAACAGCATGAGCATCGATCAATTCAACTGGGATTCGATGACATGTGTCAACCAAGTCAGCGAGCCTGACCACCCGATCCCGTTAGTCGAATATAAAGACAAGCAGGTGTTGCCGAAGACCAACCTCATAGGCGGATCCAGAGGAGGGGTGCAGGGGTGCGCGCACACCCCTACCCTCCACCCAACCCCTGCCCTTGTGCTGGAAGTTTTTACAATGACCACTGAAACTCGGATGGAAATGAAGTGTGCACCCCTACTTTTCTCAATAGTGTGCACACGTGTGCACAGACACACCCACCCCTATTTCGCATACCTATTAGTATTTCATGTGACTTCATTCACGTATGTACCTGTATGGGGACAGGCCGGGGGACGCAACTTGTGAACATCACAGACAGTGACGCGCACATAGAGGCCGTCAAAACATACATAAGGAACTTTAATGATAAAATGTGTTGATTTACAGGCTAGAGGCATTGCGAATTTCGTAGTGAATGTCACTGAACCCATCAGCGAGCTGGTCTACCAGGTATGTCGTCTGTATACATATGTGTGTGTGTGAGATATATATATATATAGAGAGAGAGAGAGTGAGATATATATATAGAGAGATAGAGAGATAATGAGATATATATGTAGAGAGAGATAGATATATAGATAAATATAGAGATAGAGAGATATATATAGATAGATATATGTATAAATAGATAGATATATATATATAGAGAGAGAGAGATATATAGATAGATATATGTATATATAGATATATATATATAGAGAGATATATATAGATAGATATATATAAATATATATAGATATATAGATAGATATATAGATATATATATATAATATATATATAGATATATATATATATATATATATATATATATATATATATACATACATATAGAAATATATAGATATACATGTATATATAGACAGATATATATATATATATATATATATATATATATATATATAGAGAGAGAGAGAGAGAGAGAGATAGATACAGAGATATATACAGAGATATATGAAGATATAAATATATATATATATATATATATATATATATATATGTAGATACATACATATATGTAGAGAGAGAAAGAGATATATAGAGAGATATAAAGAAAGAGAGATTTATATAAGATATATAATAGATATATATATATGTAGAGATATATATAGAGAGACATATATATATATATATATATATATACTATCCCCAAAAAGACACGCATAGGCGTTTTGTATTTTAAAAAATCCATTAATTACCTATTGTGTTCAAGCAAGCGTCAAAATATGTAACAAAAGTGCTGATAACATGATTTTACACAACTGCACAAGTAAAAAGTCGACTTTACCTGAAAATGTTGATTTTGATGAGATTTCTTACAAGGATTAAAAACGCATGGCCACAAGGCAACAAGAATCACCTTCCAGTTGAAATTGTGCTGCAAAGAGCATACACAGTCTGGCTATAAAATCCAGATTACTTTCGGAAATCGGCATTCGTTTTGAAAGGAATTCAAACGTCAAATCACTACGCCACGTCTTGACGCTGCGACACGGAACATCGCCATTGAAAGAATGCACGCTAGAGATTATCAATCTTCTGTTGCCAGGCGTCTGAATGTTAGTCTGAGCACGATATCACGTCTTGCAGCGGCTTGTCGTCACCATCGCGCTCAACGTCTCCGTTATCTAAAATTATTCACTTTGTGGACGAGTTATACCTGTTTGAACATTTTCACAACAGATTTCTGGCCTGTGTGTTTCTCTTTTGGGATCGTATATATATACAGAGAGGTTTTAATATATTTATATAGATATATATAGATATATATAGATATATAGAGAGAGAGATATATAGATAGATATATATAAAGATATATATATATATATATATATATATATATGATAGAGATATATATATAGAGAGAGAGAGAGAGAGAGAGAGAGAGAGGGATAGAGAGTAAATTTAACAAACGCACGTTGTAGAGTTGCATGAAATTAACAGGTAAGGAGTTTCAGGATTCACTTGAAGCCTTCTGTGTTGTTCTAACATTTCTCATCCTCTTGCCTGAACACTGTTCTATACATGTGTATATATGCATATCGTGCAAAAGTGTTGCCCAATCCCCGTGAATGGCCGGTGGCTATATTTTTGACATTTGTTTTACAACAACTGAAGACCATGGAGGAAAAAATATTTTTGACAGTTATTTTCAAAAAAAACTATGACAAAATAATAGATGTCGTTTCAGATAAGAGTAAATCGAATAGCAAAAGAAAAGAGAGAGTGTCGATTACTGCAAACCGTTTACATTTTGCATATCGGTGGTCTGAAGAAATTAAGGAACACAGAGAGTTCCCATGTACTAGGAACCATTTGAGGAGTTATGTGATCAAAGAGCCATCAGAACTGTGGACTCGGTGGAAAAAACCCCCAAGTCAATGAATGTCTTTATAGTTTTGTCTTATAATCCTAATGTATTTATCATTATATTTTTGTGCATTTTTCAAACTTCATAAAAAGTAAACAATCTGTTCCAGTGAAAATAAAAGGACTGTAATATCTAGACATTTTATACATTGCCAACGTGGATCATATTTCACACACACGCACTAAGTGCGACCTAGTGTATGTTGTCTGTCTCAACAAAACAAAACAGCTAAAAAAATGAAGTGGAATGATTCTGCTGAATGCTACAAAAAATTGATAACAAAATACATATGTTTGAAGGAAGGGCGTTGTTTTTACACGGGCACTTAACGACAGAATACATTATTCAATCATTGTGTTATCGGTTAATCCTTTGATAGATTTGTTTTAAACCCAACTGATGGTTCCTCTTGCTGCACTTCCAAGCGCACATTACATTATGATAACATGTAACACATTTGTCACATCAGACCTTAATTTATAATATGTTGAGTACTTACTTACGTTTTTGTCAAAATCACTTGCTCTAGCTTTTTCATCCTTAATGTCTTCTCAAAATGATAATTATATTCTTAATCTGTCATTATTTATCAAACATAGACTAAGAAACGTACTGTTAAACAATTTAAAACGCAAGAACGAAATTTTACAATAGCCTGTCATTTTGTTCTCCCCATTATATGTATTGTATACTGTATATTGTATATTATTTACAAATGCATATTTGTAGGTGAGTCGGAGGCCTTAAATACAATAAACGCTTTTGACTTTGACTTGAAAGGCGTGAAATCCGGTATCCTCAAATGTGTGGTGGTCAGGGTTTCCAGAAATGTAACTGTTGTCCTAACCAGTGTAAATCTAGAGGTTGTGAATGTTTTGAAATGGGACTGAAGTGTAATAGCCGATGTCATAAGTCTTTCTTGTCCAAAAAATGAAGTTTATCAGAATATACTCTTTACTCGCATCATAAATTTGGTGTTCTCTATTTCAAAAAAGGCTGCCATGGGGTTCATGAAATCCCTAAGCCAATGTTTAAGTAATTTCATGAAATCCCTTGAAAGTTTAGGGAATACATGAACTCTCTGGGGGTCACAGGGATTTCACGAAATCACGAAATCTCTGGGGGTCACAGGGATTTCACAAAATCACTGACTCTTTTAGGGATTACGTGAAATCCCTGGTTTCACACATTCTCTGTAACATACATAAGTCAATAAAACAGAAATATGTTATCAGATAAATATGGATACATATTATATTCATCATAGTACTGGAAATGAAATGTTCTATTTTATTATTTTTTTTGCATGGGGCAGCGAAGTTGCCCAGACCCAGGAAATTGGCACGACATATATAAATACGTGCCTGTGTGCGTGCGTCCTTGTGTAAATTTAACAAACATATGTTGTATGATCGCAAGTTACAAGAAATCAACAGTAAAGGAGATTTAATGAATCACTTGAAGGTTTCTGTGTTGTTCAAACATTTTTTTTCTCATCTTGTTACCTTGATGCTAAAATATATTTTGCTCATTCTAGGTCATGTCTCGTGGTTCTATCGTGGACACTGGCAAAATCAAAGGTCAGCTCAATTGCAAACTCACATCATTCTCCATCTCGCTTACATCCAAGATGGCGCCTAATGCCCGGATCATTGTGTATTACGTCAGGACAGATGGGGAAATTGTCGCTGATAGTATCAGCTTTGACGTGGATGGCGTTTTCGAGAACAGGGTATGAAAAGCAACAGTTTCATCAAATATATTATCCGGAAAAAGGTAAATCCGGCATACAGAACTGTGATTGTGTTGACTACTGAATCAACTGATTATAAGGCCACTTACGAAATCAGTGTCATACAGTTGTATTTTCGATTATAGGAAAAAAGTCCTCGGAAAAAAGTCTTTGCTAAAAATGTACCGGAAAAAAAGTCCTCCAGATTATTATTGTGAAAACAGATTAAATTGATGTTGACATCAAAGTTATAGTAAAGAAAACATAAAGTGCTTGTGTATAATGACTATAAAAGACATGGTTTAAAATACCTGAGTTAACCAAGAACGAAAATACCTGAGCAGTCTAACCAAGAACGATGTTTTTTCAAGATACTGAGCAGATCTACTGGGAGGAACCACCAATTCTCCATGGAGCCACCAATATTAGACTGAATACAATTCAGTAAATGCCAGCAAATTCTTGCAAATGTATCAGTGCAGATGCACATTTTTGTTAATTTACATTGTTGTATGTGAATAAAGTATTAAAACAATTAAAAGTAAGACTTTTTCCCTTGTTTTCCTAGGCAAATTTATTACTTTTTCTCCGAGGACTTTTTTTCTGAACACCGTATTTTCCTCCCCAGGTGTCTATCTCTATGGACAAGACCTCTGCCCAGCCTGGTGACAATGTCAATGTACAGGTCACTGCTGACCCTCAGTCCCAGGTCAGCCTCCTGGCCGTAGACCAGAGCGTCCTCCTCCTCAAGTCCGGAAATGACATCACACAATCTGAGGTAGGTAGGTGAACATGTGATTTACACATTCTCGGGTTGGTCAAAGAGTAAGTTTATATAACTTGATTCACATAATCTCAGATACGCCGTGGTTAAGTCAAGTGTTACACACCTTTACATAAATTCTTCATCCTCTGGTATCTCGAATGACAATTTACAATTGATTTGTCAACAGGTTATCAGTGAACTGAAGTCTTACGACACCATCAATAACGTAGGTGTCGGATTTGGAGGCCCCATTCCTCTGCGTGCTGTGGCTCGTCGCAAGAGGATGGCTTTTTGGGTATGCCCCACCTACTATGGCGGAAGTGACGTCAGTCAGATCTTCAAGGTATGCAACCATTCAGTAACATTATGACCAATCTGCTGTCACTTCACACACATACACATAACTAAAGTGAATGTTATTTTGGTTTGATACCATTGATGCCATTTCGAAGTTACATAATAACTAATCCACGAATGGAAATATATATTCCTTTCATTCTAGAATTCCGGCGTGGCCGTCATCACAGATGCTCTTGTGTACAGATATGTCCCGCCCTACATGGCTTTTGGTAAGTAACCTTATGTTAACTTACTATCTGGAAAAACCCCTGCAAGGAATAATTAAATTACAAATATAAACACAAAAAGAACAGTCATCACATTACGTAGCCCTGTTAACAACATTTTGTACTGGCCATAACGATAATTTGGAATCTTAATGAAGTGAAGGAGCATGCGTGATCGAAACCGTATACCACTCACAGAAGTTGAGAAGATACCTTGACTTTCTGGGAACCCTTTTCTGGTCTAGCCAATGTACTGGTACTATAACAACAGTAGTTAAATTCTCGACAGTTCGACTGTTCTGGCCATCTTTGTTTCTTTGTGTTTCCCTTGTTCGATTTGTAATCGATAAGCTTGTTGTGAGCTGGTACAAAGTGACAAAGGGAGGTTTTAGGGAAATGCGAGCACATTGAATACATTTTTTTCGTTAAACTAGTGTTTGCGATTTCGTAACGAATGCCAGTTTTTCCTTCATACATTAAGGCAGCTCCTGGGAGAAAAAAAGGTAATGACCTGAGTTGAAGATATTAGTTGATTAAGTGAAATAAAAGGTTCCCTAAAATATTGCAGGGCGGGGCCTGAAGCCACGAGATCAATACCATGGTGATGCCCGACATTTATTTTCATTGGGTGATATCTGAAATTAGCGCTAGATGACATAATGACATAGAGTCTTGGAACGGCGTTGTGAAGGACACAGTAAACAATTAATAGATTGGTAAGAGTAATAAATGGGTAAAATCAGCCCCTTAAAACACTAGGAACCTGTTTTCACCCAAATGGCATTATTCTTTTTAGGGAAGGGTATCAAATGTCATTGTCAACCATACGCCATTTTCTATTTTTAACATTTGTTGATTTTTCCCAATAAAAGTGAAGAATAAAATCTGTAAAGTTGTCATGTTGTGTTCACTTGCCAGTAAACGTTTTCAACCGAGTATGACCGCAAGTGGAGGTTGGCCGCCGTGCCGGCAGGCATGCAGTTCTGTCCAAAATGTCGGGTCTCTACGTGCATGTTGTCTGAAAAACCTTGGGTTATTGTGCTAATATTACTCATATATATACACTCTTGTTCATGTGAATTAGTCCAAAATATAGCTTTTCATTGTAAATTGTCCTCCTCTCATGTGTGTAAAGGAAGAGGTAATGATCCATATTTCAACATCGGGGTAACACCGGAACGAGGAACTAGTGGTTTGATCATGTAAGTTTTGATGTATTATCAGATACTCCTTCTGGAAGTGAGGATTGGGATGGTCATGCTTGATGACTTTGACTGATATATGTCACCGTATCCTAACTAATAGAGAACTACGTCAATGATTGGTATTTTCTTCAAGAATCTGTTATTTACAGGCCGCCACCATATATCTCGAATGCTACTGAGTATGGCCTTTAACAAAACTCAAATAGCATTCTTCGTCTTTGCAACATTTTCCCCAATTTTAAGTTATGTATGCTACGCAAAAGAAGTGTAGGACCACCCTGTGCTTTCACGTTATTTTCGCCATACCATGGCTGTTTAACATTAGCAATATAAAATAAATCGGGTGATCCTTAAAGGCACCATTCCACACCACACTTCTCTAAAATGAATAATGCAATTCTCTCTATACTATCAGCCCTCAGGGAAGCTTCCAGATAAATTTAATTTAATTTATTCCCAAACAAATTACACATTTAGGTTCCAATGAATTAATGCAACGTTGCATCAACTTGACTCTACCGGCCGAACGCTATTTCAAGCGAACCCCATAGAGTTATGTCTCTTGGAGCGCTCTTAACGAATATCATGTTACTATCTTCGACTTTCTCTCAGCACCAGGTCACGTATTTCCACGTATTTTCTTTAACGTTTTTGATGGTCCAGGTACTACGTTGATGTCTACTTCTGGGCCTTTGTTGAGGCCTACTTTTGGGACAACCGTGAGCTCTCCAAGGAGCACGCCGGCACCGAGATTAGCTGAAGTTGAGAGAATACGAGTTGACTTTCCAGAAACCTGGATGTGGACAAATACCACTACTTGGTAATTAAGGGTGTCTCACAATCCTAAGCCTTCTACTCGTGGTTCATGATTTGAAGTAGAGCTAACACTTTAACCCTTTCTGGTGGGCGTAGTGATGCTATCCCCTTGTTTATATGCGAATACGCATCCCCATTACTTACACTCTTCATGAGGAAATAACTTCTGTTTGTTTTGGGAAGGTTCTTGTCAGATTCCAGTTCTTTATATTGATATAATCCTTATACCAATCGCCTACATCCGCCTACATCCGTCTACACCCGCCAACATCAAATTCATCCATTTTCCACGCATCGAGAATCTGTTGAAACTTGTGTGTGTGTGTGTGTGTGTGTGTTTGTTTGTGTGTGTGTTTGTTTTGTTTTGTTTCAGCCTCTTTTTGTGTGTGCATGTGTGTGTGATCTTTTAGACAGACCTTGCACAAAATTAGGATTATTCGTGCATCGTGGTCAAAATCCTATTATTCCTGTGTAATTTGTACCCGTGGCATCTCTGGCAAGCCATGCCATAGGATCAGGAGTTGCTATACCTCAGCCAGTCGTTGTACCTCAGACAATGAGCGGCACTGGGGCGTTGGAGCAAGTGGAACACGTAAGAAGTGTTTTTTCCTGAAATTTGATTCTGGCAAAATCAGACTGTTAGGTTCTGCGCTTGCATTATCAGCCATCAGATCAATGAGCTTGACATCGATTCTTTGTCTGCCCTCAGACAATGCTTTAGTTCTATAGAAGGTGCTTGCTACTCCAGAGAACCTGGTTTGGTATGAAATTCAGTTATTCAAAGCCTCGAGGTCTGGAGAAATGGTACTAATCAGGACAGAATGTCCTGACATTTGTCAGGTTCCTCGCTTTTATTATTCCTGATCAGTGCTCTTGCCATTGATATCTTGTCTGTCCTGCATATTTAATGCCTCAAGGAGTCACCCATGATAATGAAATCTTAGTTCATCTAAATTAGAAATATCTATACTGCTGACCAGCATCATAAAGAAAACCCAGGAAATCATGATTGAATGTCACCTCTTCTTCAAAGCTGTTAATTTTCAGCCATTCAAGCATAGAGAAATAGAACAAATTTGGATACAATTTACGACAACATGACAGTGTTGGAAATGGTCGAAGTAAAATACATCTACTTCACACTGAACGAAATTATCAAGCTGTGGATTGTCAGTAAGAACACAGGGTGTGCATTTGATCCCCTGTCACAGACTGAAAACCTGTGCCACGTCTTTAAGGCTCATGAATATCAACCAACTCTAGACCTCGGCATGCTTCTTGATATTTACAGAACATGTTGGCTATTAGATACTTCAATGCATAATAAAGGAATTTGTTATAGTACACAACGTTTCTGGGCTATTCCTTACCCCTTCGTCAGGTAAATTGACCTGACGAAGGGGCAAGGAATAGCCCATAAACGTTGTGGCATACAATAAAGGAGACGTTTTCATCCATTATTTTCGCGTTTTACTTGAACACCAATTTCTAAATGCTCTGAAGAACCTCACCTTTTATTGATATCTTTAATAACGTGTGGAGAACATAAATATTTTATTTTGTATTTTTTAGAAATTCTAGAAAGGTTTTTCCATTGTTCATTTTGTGTTTGGTTTCTACCCCTAGCAGAACCTGTCTCTGTGGATGATCGAGGTAATCTTTTCTCTGACATTGACGCTACATGTTATGTAACCTTCATTTATTTATTTATTAATAATGATAGACAATCTGTTTTAATGTGTAGAAGCTTGTATAATTATTTCATGTGCATGCCACAGTAACGATGTCACAGCCACCATCTCAGCAACAGTGCCAGACACCATCACGTCTTGGGTGGTGAGCGCCTTCGCCATCAACGCTCAGAGCGGTCTTGGAATTGCACCAACCTCAGCCAAGGTAGGTCACAAAGATGTTGAATCAATTGCCTTCATCTATTTCGAACATGCGGAATCTCAGATTTTCCTACGCTTGTAAAACTGTGCCATAGATAATCACTTCACGTTCCATATTCATGGTGACAAAAATCCATCATGTTTAATGTCGATATTAATGTTTTCCATGACCTTGAATTCGCTCGACGAGAAAGATGAATGAAAAATACCAATCTGGTGGATTGGACTTGTCGAGTGGGTAACAACTTATGAAAAGAACCAGGCAGTATCAGACAGCGTTTCTGTTAGGACATATCAGACAACCAAACACTGTTCTGCTTGCTCATACAATATATGGACATCTGAGACGGGTTTTTATGTACATTGTAATTATCCAGTGAATAAATGGATCGAACCATTTTTCTAGTGAAGGTAACGTTTATCAAAATATGTGGGAAGGGGGCGACTTCAGCCGGATTATTAGGAGGAGGGATTGACGAAAATACAGATTAAAAATTGTATCGCAAAACCCTGTATTTTTTATAGCAGAAATAAGTTACCAGTAATATTTAAAAAAGAACTTCCCATCGAGTTCATTTTCTAAATCTACACACAATCCTATAACTTGATTTTTACAACAAGATCCCTTACCTATTTAATAACATACGTGATGTCCTGTTTTCAGATCCGCGTGTTCCGCCCCTTCTTCGTGAGCCTCAACCTGCCGTACTCCGTGACCCGAGGGGAACAGCTGGCGCTCCAGGCCATCGTCTTCAACTACCTCACCCAGGACGTCGACGTGAGTAGTAGATGTTGACCTACGCCAGCAGCAACGAAGGACTACACACTATCACAATAGTACTGCAAACTTCACTTTAGCGTTGCCTCCAAAAATAGAAGCTTACATATCGATACTGATAAGTGTCTTTTATTTTTATATGATATCAATGAGTCACATGGCATGTCAGACAGGGCTACCTTAAGGCAGGGACATGCTGCACACTAGTGGTGGTCCGATTAATTGAAATAATCGAAGATTGGTCGCAGTGACTAAACGACCAAGCAATCGATCATAATTTCTCATAATCGAACACAACCAATTTTGGAACACTTGTTTTCATTAACAATATTTGTCACATGGTTGGTTTTGTCTGTTACATTTTGTAAGCACTACAAGCTCGTTTCAAGTCATGATTGAATTTATCTTAAAGGCTCCAAGAAATTTATGTTCCTAACATACTAGTCATCCTTTAAAGATGTGAAATTTTGCTAAAAAGCCCCAAAAGAACTACATGTGCATTAACAAATTTCATAAATGACGCTAATCAATTATTTTCGATGATTGATCGGTTGTAATGAACCAATCATCAATTATGAGATTTTAACCAATTCCCAACACTAACAGTGCACACGCTAGGCATTTGCCCGAGCGCCGCTTGAATATAGGTGTTCCATGCTAATCTATATATTATGGTTGTGCCGGTAGGGGCCCCAATATCCTTTAATGCTGTATCACATGACTCTTCTTCTACATTAAACTGCCAATGATGAAATACAAGCTACAGAACTTGAAATCTGTAGTGATTAATCTAGTTGCACATGCTCTACCATGCTCTGTCTTCATTACAGGCTGTTGTATCCCTCCCTCAATCTGAGGACTACTTGAATGTTGTCATTGATGCTAACGGCAATGAACAAACAGAATGTAAGAACCAAACCCAGACCGTGCGTGTAAGTACCAAACACAACTGGCACATATTACATTATTTTGTTACATCACCACTGTTTATTACCACTTTAAATACAAAAGTTTGAAATTAAATCAGATCTTGAACTTGATCAATGTTTGTTTTTCACAAAAAATGTTTATGTATAATTTCCTTTTTTTCAAGGTAAAGGCAAATGACGCCACAACAGTATATTTCCCCATCGTACCAGAGACCCTGGGTAAGATCGACCTGAAGGTCTCCGCCCGATCCACCCTCGCAGCTGATGCCGTCAAGCGACAGCTCCTGGTTGAGGTACTGCTGTAACTCTGCTATATCATACCAATAAAATATCATGTCACTACGTTAAACCCTTGAAGCACAATTATGATTATCCTGTTAAAACGTTGAACGTTTACACTGTAAAACATGTCACTGGAAGGTAACACATTACGGTGAAACTAGGCAAGTTTATGATGATTGCACCAGGACACAAATGTGTAGTATCTGTAAGTGTGTTATGGATACTGTTAACAATGACAATACCTAGGCCTGGGACCCCGCGACAGTTATCTTACTTATTGCCGTTCATGGAGACGGCCTGACACTTCCACTGACATGGCCATTATTGAATCAGTGAGGGGTCGTATGACCAGGACTCCTATCAACACGTCAGTTTGTTGGGTTCTTCTTGTTGTTTAACGCCATACTCAGCAACATTTCACCTATATTTCAGCAAAAGAAACGTCAGTTTGGAATTTTCCTTCGGCGAAACGGATAACTGTAAACTCATTTGATGTTTTGATTGTATATTTTTGACAACATCTCCAACTTTACCTGAGCAAAGACATTCCTTCCCAAACTCAGAATGGAACCCAGGAAATGGTCTCAAAAACGCAACTTGATCTCGGAGATGGTACGGTGTTCTCCGTGTTTTTCATGCAACTCATGCTGCACGTGCTGTTCACAAGGACCAGCCCTATAAAATGCACCCCAAACCTGGTTGAAACATTCATATTGCAACGTCAGCAGGATGCCGCGACTCACGACAGCTCAGAGGAATCAGGCGCTAGGAAGACTTGAAGCTGGCCACACTGCGCAAGCCGTTGCCAATCACTTCCAGGTCAACGTTCGGACCATCTACAGGCTGCAGCAACGTTTCCGGGCCACCAACACCACAAATGATCGCCCCCGTACTGGCAGAGACCAAGGGTGACCACAAGACGACAAGACCGCCATGTTGTGCGACAGCATGTACTGAATCCCTTCATGCAGGCACCTGAAACAGCACGCCAGACAGTGATGATACTGATCAGTACTGATACAGTACGCCGACGTCTTAACAGCGGGAACCTCCATTGCCGTAGACCTTGCCGTGGTCCCCACGTCATACCACATTTCGCACGTCACCGGAACAACATTTTCCAGCATGATAACGCCCGGGCCCATACTGCCAGAGCTACACGGGACTTCCTACAGCAGAACGGTGTCAACATTATGCAGTGACCAGCCCTTAGTCCTGATTTAAACCCAATTGAACATCTTTGGGATGAATTTCAGAGGAGACTGAATAATGTCATACCAAGGCCGAACACAGCCGATTTCAGACTCTTGACTTCAGTATCTAGTATGACCACCACGAGCGGCAATAACTGCAGCACAACGTCAATGCATGGAGTGCACCAATCGATTGATGAAGGCCATTGGCACCTTGAACCACACTCTGAGAAAGGCCTGGCGCAATAAAATTCGAATGGACTGCAAAATGTTTACGTAATGTCTTGAAATTGTCCTGAGTTATTCATTGATGTGTCAAGATATTGTACACAAAAAATGTGTTTGATCCGCTTATTATGTCCATTTCTGTAATGATTAGATTACAGTGCCTATCTAATCTTGAATTTGTACTGACGGGTTTTTTCCTGCTGAGTATATATGACAGTAAATTGTAAATATTCGAGTCTGGGCCAGACAATCCAATGATCAACATCATGAGCATCGATCTACGCAATTGGAATAAGATGACATACGGCAACCAAGTCAGCGAGCCTGACCACCCGATCCCGTTAGATGCTTCTTACACGCATATGCTGCTGAAGACCAATTCTATCCTTAAATCAAGACATCAGTCATGGACTGGCGCACATTCATTCATTGAATAACTTCAGTCAACACAGATTCTACACACAGATAACTGTTTACTGTGCCTCAGTACCACTCCTCACACAAAGTGACTAGGACAGGACGGGACAGGTTCTTCACCAAATTTGGAACTACAACGATCTAGGTCCCATTGTTCTGCTGAATTTAAAGCCCGCACTCCTTTGCCAGCTTTGACCTTATCTTTTTAAATTGTTCCAGCCTGACGCTTTATTCACATGTCCCGATACAACACCCTTGATTCATTCAAAGTTATATCATTCCATGGTATCATGTCTTCTTGATGGTAGTTTATAAGTTGGGAAGTACAATACTGAAATATTTATGGATAACAGCTTCCTATACTTTGTGAGTGAGACGATTCGATGCAGATTAATTTCAAATCTCCTGTCAAAATGTATTGTTAATAATAAATATGTCAGTGTTGTCTCATGTCTTGCCTCGTGATTGGAGAATTAGTGGTGATTCACCGTTAACTAATACCTTAAGAGTCCTATGCATTCTGTTGACCGTGATTAATGTTCTGTATATCTTGATTTATTAAGAAGCAGCGATAGCATTGACTCCATCACAAAATAACCGTTATTCTCAATAACAGATCTCTTATATGTTATGTTTCGTGGATGCATTTTTACCTTATAAGTTTCTGTGGACAGTGTTATACATTGCGTGCAACGATTCGATGTGCATTTAATGTGTAAACATAGATTATTAGTACACGATACTATCCACACATAGGCGTGTAAAGAGAAGAATTCTAAGGAAACCATTCTATAGAGCAATACTTCATGCTATCATGACATGTTTTCACTATCTTATTTCTCTCGGACAATTCCTAGATATCACGATGTTCCATGTATTCATAATACCATTTCTCTTCAGCCTGAAGGAACCCCCAAAGAGTACAGCGTCCCCATCCTGATCGACCTGAGACAGGCCACCAGCTTCTCTAAGACTGTCCCCATCACTCTGCCACAGAACGTCGTGTCCGGGTCACTGAAAGTCAGGGTCACCGCGATTGGTCAGTAATGAAATGCGTAAGAGGCGTCTAACGGGATCGGGTGGTCAGGATCGCTGACTTGCTTGACACATGTCATCGTATCCCAACTGCGTAGACCTATGCTCATTCTGGTCCTGACTCGATTATTTACAGACCGGCATCATATAGCTGGGATATTGCTGAGTGTGGCGTTAAACAACAGTCATGAAATGTAATGACACCGATAAATATCAGGTTTTATCTCCAAACTGTTCATGGTAAATAAAGGATCACGGCGGTGTTACTGTAACTGAAGGAATATATAAAGCCATGTGGTCGAATAACTCATACAAATAATACGTTGGCACTTTGTTAGATTCCTTTGGAAATATCGGTTCTTCAGTAGGTTATCCGAGCAAATATTAACTGACATTTTGTTTACCAAATCTGTAATATATCTGTTTTGTTCTCACTGAAGTAACCCGTGAAGATCCGGGTTAGAATTTATCTTCAGCAACCCATGCTTGTCCTAAGAGACGTAAAGCTGAAATATTGCGGAGTGTGGCGTAAGACTAAACTCACTCACTCTCACTGTGGTGTAGTTGTAATTTGACAAAATATCGTGGAATGATTGGAAGCGTTTTTAGGGCAATATTTACAATTTTTTAGCAATCTAATGAGATAGCGCTGCTGTTTTGTCCAACTCAAATATATCTGACCCTGTCATCACCGACTAGGTGACCTTATGGGTCCAACAATAAATGGGCTAGACAGGCTTCTGCGCATGCCTACCGGATGTGGTGAACAAACAATCCTGAGTTTGGCCCCGGATGTGTTCATCACTAACTACCTGACAGCAACCAATCAGCTGACGAGAGACATAGAAGACAAGGCAATCAAGTACATGGAATCTGGTATGATTGTATGCTTTCGATATTTGCCATTTGCCTAAGCCAAGTATATGTGTGGTTTTGTATTAATTTGATTCTAACTCCAGTCTATTCCTAACATTCACCTAGAAGTTCCCATAGAAACGTCCGTTGATCCGCTGTGATCATCTGGCAAAGTTTCAAGCTTCAATAAACATCGTAGCGCTATCGTGGATCGGGGTCCAGATTATAGAGAAATAGTACCTTTTCGAATTCTCTGAAGTAATGGATAGCAATAAAGATGATCGGGGGAAATGCCATCACGTCCAAATTCCATAAACTCCCTTGGCATTACGGCATTTCAACGTTTACTATGAACTTACATGACCACCAATGCCTTCCAGGATACCAGAATGAGCTGAAGTACCAGCACGCTGACGGTTCTTTCAGTGCATTCGGTGGTAGGGATCCATCTGGAAGCATGTGGTAAGAAAATATTACCTCTGATTTAATTTTATAGTAATATATATTCATTTGTTAAGCATTATTATTTCATTGTTTTGTAGCATTGTTGGCTTCAGTTCGGAAGTTAAGTTGTGTCTGGTGTCTGCTGCCAGGTTGTCAGCGTTCGTGGTGAAGACGTTCCACCAGGCTAGACCATACATCCTCATCGACAATGATATCATTACCCGAGCCATCAACTGGATGATTTCGAAACAGAACGCCGACGGCTCCTTCCCTGAACCTGGTCGTGTCATCCACACAGCCATGACAGTGAGTGAAGACTCAGATTGTATTGTTATAATGATGTACTGATCTTGTACAAACCCAAGGGAATGACCCTATGCACATAATATCATTTTGCTATCAATAATCGACAATGCAATTACAGCCAATCAGCAGTAACAAGTGAAAGACCTGCTACCGCTTAGCAACTGTCAGTTAGGTTTGTTGTTCATAATCATGACAGCCTTTTTCAAACTCTTGTTAATGAGATATCTCATGAACTGTTGTACCAAATGTCTTCACATTTGCTGACAGCCTACATTGGGGCATTACGCAGACACCAATCGATTTGGGTGACCCTGACCTATTCGTCAAGGTCACCACGACACTTTGTCCGCTTTTCAAACTTATCTCATAAAACATTGCGCCCATTGTTTTCAGTTATGTTGTCAACATACATTGGGTGATTATGTAGATTATATAGATATTCCTTTCTTTAGCGGCGGGGGACTTTGCCATATCAGTGGCAAACACTTGTTTGACATATATTTTGAGCAAAAGTAAATATTCTCGCCCATGAGTCAACAAAAAAAATGTTATTTCTTCATCCTTAGCATATATTCATGATAACTGCATGTTGAATTTTGTCAAATCTTTGTCAGAAACTGGCCACAGGGCGGAGAGTTTCTGGACTTTAGAATAATATTGTGACGTGTTATGTGTATATTGTGGTCATTTACAAAAATATCTTTAAACATTTTTTACGTTAAAACCGACACTAATCTTATTATGACCGTCATTTCTTTCAAGGGAGGATCAAGCAAAGGTGCTACATTGACGGCATACGTCCTCATCTCCCTTCTCGAGAACATCAACCTCACTGAGGTACACGAACCTTTATATGAAGAAAATGGTTGTAAAGCTTCGACTCTTGTCAAAAGCAAATATGTGTATATGTCTTTATTACTGACAAACAAAAGCAACACGTTGTACGGGCTCTAAACGTTCAGTTGAACTTGTTCTCATATTTCATGAACCCATAATTCAACATTAATAACAATAATTCCTTTGCGATGGTTCTTGAAATCAGGGTCTCTTAATGTGCTTGTAATTTCAACAGAGTGTCCAACTGCGGATAAACGCGGCCACGGCCAAGGCAGTTCGATTCCTGGGGAATCAGGCTCCGACCGATGTCTACTCTCTGGCAATCATCACCTATGCTCTGCAACTTGCTGGCAGCACCAAGGCCGACACTTCCTTCGCCACATTAAACTCTTTTGCTATTGTGAAAGGTCGGCATCAATGTTCTTACTCAGACTGTTTATATATTTATCAGTAGATCCGTAGTCCTAAAGCTTCCACACACACACACCCCACACCCGACGAGGTATATCAAGGTCATGTTTGGTCGACGGTATCTGAGAAAATACCCTGGACAACATTTTCAAAGTTAGCAGATGTATTCATATGAGTAAGAATGTAATTCATGTCAACACTTTGAACTAAAAAGGTCCTTGAGTCGCAAGGATACGTTCTAATACTTGACTGACTGACTGAGTTTAGTTTTACGCCGCTTTTAGCAATATTCCAGCAATATCACGGCGGGGGACACCAGAAATAGGCTTAACACATTGTGCCCATGTGGGGAATCGAACCCGGGTCTTCGGCGTGAGGAGCCAACGCTTTAACCACTAGGCTACCCCACCGCCCCTTTCATACTTGAATATATATTTGATCAGTGCTGATTTTCTCACCGTATGTCAAAAGAGTATACACCTATCTCATAAACAATTCATCGTTGGTCACGGATGTTCCCTAGACTAACATCTAGTCTCTGAAATGAACATATTTTACAGAAACCGGTTTCTAAATTATGTGTATGAAATGCAATACAAAGAAGCACAAAAAGCAGACTTTCTTCATTTTCAGAAACTTTGGTAATCTATACTTGCAACACATTCCAGACTTGTATGGGCTTCATTGGGTATGTTAATGCCAGGGCCCGTATGGGAGATAAGTATGTTCACATGCGTTGCACTTTCTTTTGAATTTGAAACATTGGCCACCTACGTTTCCAGATGGATTTAAGTATTGGCACCGAACAGAGGTCAAGACAACACAGTCCACCCACAGTTACTGGAAACCTCCATCAGCCAAGAAGGCCATCGACATCGAGATGACGGCATACGCTCTGCTGATATACGGCGAGAAAAACGATTACACCGGTGGCCTGAACATCATGAAGTGGTTGGCGTCCCAGCGTAACCCCTACGGCGGATTTTCCTCCACCCAGGTTAGTGTTATACCTACACAATCATGAAGTAAACACAGGCTCTTGTATATATATCGCCATGATTCAATACCGAAAGTAAAAAGTAACTTTACGCGTGATGGAAAGCACCAATCATCTCCCCTTCTATATCTAAGGAAAAGGAGAGTCCAAACGATTCTTCAACTGCGTGGGTCAGAATATAATTACAGTACCTTCCAGAGCTATATGGACCTGTGTTGTATCCTTCATCACGCTGCTACAGAGCTACGTTATATCCTTCATCACGCTGGTACAGAGCTACGTTATATCGTTAATCACGCTGGTTCAGAGCTACGTTATATCCTTCATCACGTTGGTACAGAGCTACGTTATATCCTTAATCACGCTGGTAGAGAGCTGCGTTATATCCTTAATCACGCTGGTACAGAGCTACGTTATATCCTTCATCACACTGTTACAGAGCTATGTTATTTCCTTAATCACACTGGTACAGAGCTACGTTATATCCTTCATCACGCTGGTACAGAGCTACGTTATTTCCTTAATCACGCTGGTACAGAGCTACGTTATTTCCTTAATCACGCTGGTGCAGAGCTATGTTATTTCCTTAATCACACTGGTACAGAGCTACGTTATATCCTTAATCATGCTGGTGCAGAGCTACGTTATATCCTTCATCACACTGTTACAGAGCTATGTTATATCCTTAATCATGCTGTTACAGAGCTACGTTATATCCTTCATCACGCTGGTACAGAGCTATGTTATATCCTTCATCACACTCTTACAGAGCTACGTAATATTCTTCATCAAACTGGTACAGGGCTATATTATATTCTTAATCCCACTGTTACAGAGTTACTTTATAGTCTTCATCAAACTGTCACAGAGCTATGGTAGATCCTTCATCACACAATTACAGAGCTATGTTATATCCTCCATCACACTATTACAGAGCTATGTTATATCCTTCATCACGCTGGTTCAGAGCTATGTTATATCCATCACACTTTTACAGGGCTATGTTGTACCCTTCACGCTGGTACAGAGCTATGTTATATCCTTCATCACGCTGGTTCAGAGCTATGTTATATCCTTCATGACAGTGTTACAGAGCTATGTTAAAGCCTTCATCATACTGTTACAGAGCTATGTTATATCCTTCATCACACTGGTACAGAGCTATGTTATATCCTTCATCACACTGTTTCAGATCTATGTTATATCTTTCATCACACTGTTACAGAGCTATGTTACAGCCTTCATCATACTGTTACAGAGCTATGTTAAAGCTTTCATCATACTGTTACAGAGCTATGTTATATCCTTCATCATGCTATTACAGAGCTATGTTATATCATTCATCACACTATTGCAGAACTATGTTATATCCTTCATCACGCTGGTACAGAGCTGTTATATCCTTCATCACGCTGGTTCAGAGCTATGTTATATCCTTCATCACACTTTTACAGGGCTATGTTGTATCGTTCACGCTGGTACAGAGCTATGTTATATCCTTCATCACGCTGGTTCAGAGCTATGTTATATCCTTCATCACACTGTTACAGAGCTATGTTAAAGCCTTCATCATACTGTTACAGAACTTTGTTATATCCTTCATCACACTGTTACAGAGCTATGTTATATCTTTCATCACACTATTACAGAGCTATGTTATATCCTTCATCATACTATTACAGAGCTATGTTATATCCTTCGTCACGCTGGTACAGAGCTATGTTATATCCTTCATGACAGTGTTACAGAGCTATGTTAAAGCCTTCATCATACTGTTACAGAGCTATGTTATATCCTTCATCACACTGTTACAGAGCTATGTTATATCCTTCATCACACTATTACAGAGCTATGTTATATCCTTCATCACACTGGTGTGTCATGTTTTCCAGGACACGGTGCTAGCCCTGCAGGCTCTGTCTGAATTCGACAAGATGGCGTACTCCAAGAACTTCGACATCCAGGTGACTGTGAACAGTGGCAGCTTCAGCCATCAGTTCTCCGTCAACCAGAACAACAGCCTCGTGCTCCAGAGTGTCGAGGTGAGTCCCCTCCAATTCTCGTCCTTCAGTAATTAAACACTGACACGCACAAACATGTCATTCTGAACCCTGGGACCAATTATCCACGTGTGGAGCAGTTCTGGGTGCCGTTGTACAAAGCAACCATAGCGCTTCAACAGTCGTACGTCTATGTTAAGGGATGAGACTTACGATCACTTTGTACAACAGCATCCCTAACTATATCCAGCACTTTAGTCTAACTAAACTTAGGCTCAGTATTATTCATGACGCTGCTATACTGAGTCTAACAAACCCTTGTAGAAGGTTGCGTCAGCTAACCTTTTGAACTGACCAATCAGAACATAGCCTACCAAATCGCGAATGTTAACATTCGCACATACCGTTTGAACTTTTACCTCGAAAACGTTTGTACTCGAACGATTCCGAATGCTATTTTCCGCACGATCGCTTCCAAGTGATACACATGGAGGACGCCATTATTCACAACAGTGAGTAAACAGTTGCTGAAAATAGCGTTCTTCTCAATATTCCAGGATGTCATCTTGCGGAAATATAGGCTAATAGTAAGCATGTCATCAGAAGCCCCTAAGCGTATATACTGCAGGTCAAATATCTGTGTTTTTTGTGGATTTTCGTTTGTCAGCGACGGGGGAAGAGAAAGTCCCGCCAAACCCTAAAATAGTAGCTGTTGTCTGATTGGTTAAATAGTTCGGCCGTCTCGCGTTTGATTGGACGGTCATAGGTCGCTCAAAGGTTAGCTGACGCGAACTTCTACTGGAGTTTGTTAGACTAATATAGCAGTGTAACGAATACTACTGAACCTAAGTTTACTTACACTGCACTTTCAAAGATTCTAAAATAATGCTAAATACTATGAAATCTCGTTAAGTCCTTTCTCTTCCATATGCACTCGTCCTGATTTATGAACTGTGGACAACAAATAATGGGAGGGATTCTTTGTAAATTATTATCGCTGCTAGGTGTGTCCGGACGTATTGCTTTTCAACCTGTCTGTGTAAGATATTTCACAGATAAATATTCACGATTTCGTATCTACAGCTACCATCTGACCCATGCAGCATCAGTGTACAGGCTAACGGGGCCGGCATCGCCCTTGTTGAGGTGAGTATGTATAATACTAACATGCAAACGTGAGTGAGAAGATTTTTATGCCGCTTTGGCAATATTCCAACAGTACCAAATAAGGGGAACACTTGCAAAGGGTTTCATTAATTGTAGGCATATGAGTAAACTAACCCGGGCTTTCCGCGAGGAACCGACGCAATATGTTTTCAACACGTGGATTAACACTGTGATTCATAAGGTACAGGGTTACATCCTTGCTACTTAACTGGGCGTGATCGGGCATTCTGTACATTGTCATAATGTTTAAATATAAATATTCCATTTCGAAATGACATCATTTTCATTTGTATTATAGATAGTTGAGATACGTCTATGTGTATAATCAGCTGTGTGTTCAGCTAACCCGATAGCATATTAAGATGAGTGTATCCTCCTTTTTGTCGTTCAGGTCGCTGTGTTCTTCAACGTTGAGGCTGAGGTGGAGGAGCCAACATTTGATGTGACTGTCAGGCTGCTGGAGGAGGACATCAACGCCATCTCAATCCAGACTTGCACCAAGTGAGTGGAACAACCATCATACCCAATACAGTCAAACATAACACTTGCATATCATTCCACATCACACTCAACTCTGTCGGCAACTACCCGTGAGTAGCACATTTTCAGAAGCTAAAGGACAGCCTGTATCCAAGACTCATGACCAACAGTGGAAACATTAAGATGAACGACCATTTGTGAGATGTCTTTATATCCAACTGTATGACCAGTATGTATTGCACAGGGATTTGTTACTGCAATGGAGGAACACAGATTGATCCGTACATAGTGGTGTTATGCTACCGTTACTTGTTTAAAACCTGATTTCGCAATCACTGTCTTGTATACACCTGATGAAGTCGTCTTCCCGGCCAGTATCAAGACATCTTTGGGAGATGTTTTTGTGGATCATGTCACAGGTGACCCAGCTCACACATTAGTCCACTTGTCTTATGCAAGTATTTTACTAAATAATACAAGACAAATCTTATGGATAACAACTCCGTTGATCCAACTGAAGAAAGGACAAGAACTAGCCCAGAAACGTCGTAACAAATAACGAAGTTGTTTTCCACAAGATTTGTCTTGTATTATTACACCAACTTCTAAATGCCTTTGAATAATTTTACCAGTTTTGTCATCTTCTAGTGAAACCTTAAAGTCTACGTTGTCGTGGACACGTTTGACAATGCCATGCAGTTTGTAAAATGCTGAACACTCTTCTTCAAGACCAACTGAAGCATGGATGGGACCATACACTTGATCGTGTTTAAAGTGAGATAGCATCATGAATTGTCCTTTTATACATTAGCAAGACGTTGCTTCCCCAGATGGTTGTTAAATGGCACCAGTGGCATGGCCATCCAAGAACTCGGAGTACCCTCCGGCTTCGATGCAGACCTTGACACACTTACCAAACTTCCGACCTTGAAGAGAGTCGAGACTCCCAACAAGAAGGTGGTTCTGTATTTTGATGAGGTGAGATGTTATGCGTCACCATTGTTTCTCGTGGATTTAAAACAGAGTACAGGATGAGTTGTAGTTAAATAAATATATTATGTATAAACTCCCGACAATTGATTTCCTAACGGCCCATTTGCTGTGTTTTTCTTTCCCACCAAAGACAACGCGTAGAACAATATTTATATAAAACAACTACCAAAATGAACGCAAAGCCTGTGTCTGAAAGTCTCTGTAAATATGGTTGGAACACATTACAGTGAACCTTTTGACAGTTACGATCAAGATGTGAAATAATGTAAATTAATATTATTATATTATATATGATTATATTGTAACACTTTCCTTTGTGGAACAGAGCTTAACCCTATACAAGATCCTACTGTTTGTGTTACTAACCCGACTCTGTCAATGTCACAGATCGGGACCACGCCCGTGTGTCTGTCCGTCGCCCTCCAGAGAACAGGTCTCGTAGCCAAGTCACAGCCCGTCCCAGTCAGAGTCTACGACTACTATGAGCCTAGTAAGGGGCCGTTCATAATTTATAGCTCGGGGGGTGATGATTATTTTCATGGAAAGGCATGTACAAAATTAATGACCCCACACCCACACACACACACACACACACCCACACCCACCCCAATTATTAAATCATAATCTTTCTTAATTCTCCGTACAAAATGCTGACTCCCCTGTACATGTGTACAAAATTAATGCCCCCTACATCTCCAGAACAAAATGAGTACACCCCACCCCGACCCCCTTTAAAATCATCATCATTCTCTTCCCGCCTGGTTGCTTGATAACGTCCCTTGGTCGTGCTTGGACTTCCATGTACGTCCCTTGGTCGTGCTTGGACGTCCCTTGTTGGTCGTGCTTGGAATTCCACGTACGTCCCTTGATCGTACTAGGAATTCCATGTACGTCCCTTGGTCGTGCTAGGACTTGCTTGATAACGTCCCTTGGTCGTGCTAGGACTTCCATGGACGTCCCTTGGTCGTGCTAGGACTTGCTTGATAACGTCCCTTAGTCGTGCTAGGACTTCCATGTACGTCCCTTGGTTGTGCTTGGACTTCCATGTACGTCCCTTGGTTGTGCTAGGAATTCCATGTACGTCCCTTGGTCGTGCTAGGAATTCCATGTACGTCCCTTGGTCGGGCTTCGAATTCCATGTACGTCCCTTGGTCGTGCTAGGAATTCCATGTACGTCCCTTGGTCGTGCTAGGAATTCCATGTACGTCCCTTGGTTGTGCTTGGACTTCCATGTACGTCCCTTGGTTGTGCTTGGACTTCCATGTACGTCCCTTGGTCGGGCTTGGACTTCCATGTACGTCCCTTGGTTGTGCTAGGAATTCCATGTACGTCCCTTGGTCGTGCTTGGAATTCCATGTACGTCCCTTGGTCGGGCTTCGACTTCCATGTACGTCCCTTGGTCGTGCTAGGACGTCCATGTATGTCCCTTGGTCGTGCTAGGACTTGCTTGATAACGTCCCTTGGTCGTGCTAGGACTTCCATGTACGTCCCTTGGTCGTGCTAGGACGTCCATGTACGTCCCATGTTCGTCCCTTGGTCGTGCTAGGACTTGCTTGATAACGTACTTTGGTCTTGTTGGGACTTGCTTGATATCGTCCCTTGCTCGTGCTAGGGCCCGATGAACATGATTTCCAGTCACAGGATTGAAGTCGAATATGAATCGTGATCTGTCAGCAGCATACACCCGGTCATCAATTATGAACGTCATTTTTCACTCATTTTGTTCACATGCCATGATACAAATCATATTCAGTTAAGGCGTTACAAGCACACCCAACCAGTCATCTTGAGTAGTACACAGAGAGTTAACTGCAGTATAGTGTGTAATAAACTGTACAGTGCCTATTTAAGCATTCTGCAAATTGACTATGTTGCATGTTATACAACAAAATCCTAGTTACCAGTCAATAGAATGTTTTCGTTTCGCTTTTCAGCCAATCAGGTGACAGCATTCTACCAGTCCCAGCTCCTCAAGAATTCCAGCATCTGCAGCGTGTGTGTGGAGTGTGAACACTGCCAGGTGAGTTCTCATTTGATGTCAGCAACTCAAGCTGAAATCATTGAATGATGGTTGGTTGGTTGTTGACCGCCTGGGTGTTTAACACCGCACTCAGCAATATCCCAGCTATATGGCGGCGGTCTGTAAATAATCGAGTCTGGACCAGACAGCCCAGTGATCAACATAATGAGCATCGTTCTACGCAAGTGGGATACGATGACACGTGTCAATCAAGTCAGCGAGCCTGACCATCTGATTCCGTTAGTCGCCTTTTAAGACAAGCATGGGTTGCTGAAGACCAATTATAACCCGGATCTTCACAGGTTTGCGGAGGTTCAATGAGTGAGTGAGTGAGTGGGTGATTATGGTTTTACGCCACTTTTAGCAATATTTCAGCAATATCACAACGCGGGACACGAGAAATGGGACTTGAAACAGGTTTTCGGCGTGACGAGCGAACGCTTTAACAACTAAGCTACCTCACCGCCCCTGAACGAAGTAGTATCACAGCTACCATTGATAATTCATGGGTTGACCTTGACCTACAAAACTAGGCTTCCAGACGACCCCCACTTAATAATCACAAGGGTCCTTACAAGCAATATGCGGGTCCTATACAGTACTGAAATGGTAAAGTGTACTATAAAGTCCCTGTAACCAAAATAGTTACAAAAGTTTACACTCTTATTAAGCAAGTGATAACAATATTTATCTCCTCACATATGAATTTCGTTTTCTGATTTGCTGAGCGCTCTTCTATTATTTTCAATGTAACCCGTTTACAAGCGAGTAACATTTTCTATGCACCCCGCTGTAAATGCCGAATATAGAAGATGTTGATCCATGTGTTGTTACCCTTCCTTAGGGCAAATATATACCGCGGTGTATCACAGGAAGCCTTACCTTCACATGGTTCCTTAATTGTTCCTATCAGTAAAGTTGACGTCGTTGATTAATAGTGGCAGTTCAAAATGTGTTCACATTTGTTCATGTTATCTTCCACACAAGATGTGTGTGAATAATTGTAAGACAATGTGTGTAGCACGTGTGACGTGTTTGACTTCATGGGGGACATTTGGCCTCGACTGCTTGATGTGTGAATGGTTGCCCGAAAGTACGGTGACTATGTGTCCCAGTCCACCCAGCTGTGAATGGGTGCCTCGTTATGATGGGAAAGCCACATTAACTTGGTGCGCCTAGTGGCTGCACGAGATGAATGATCCCCAGAGAGTTGTGATTGAAAATACGATGTGCCGTTGAGATTGACATCCAATGATCGAGGGAAAGAACAAAGCGCTTTGAGCATGCAAGTAGATGGGATGGACTATAGGGCTATATATGCCCATATAATAATATAATCATAATAATAATAATAATGATGACAGAAACCGTCTCAGCTGTATGACAACTTTGGCGTCTGTATTTCTAGGAGAGCCGGTGATGAAGACACTGATCCCAGACCATCCCAACACAGAGCAGATCAAGTCATTTTCTGAAAGATCAAGAGTAAAGAATAACTTATGTTTCACCTTGATCTAATAAAACTTTGCAGTTCAACATACTCTTTGTTTGTATTGATTTTGTTACGCCATCGATATATCGTTTTGCAACACATTAATGTCTCTGTTCAAATATTTCTTCTGTAGCTACCGAAGCACAACTGATTAGTGAGGTTTTAGTCTTCAGGAGAAACATCGACCCAGTTTAATTTAAGAAAAAGGATATAATGCCAAAGAATAACCCTCTGAAAACACATTCCCAAGATCCACGATATTTCAAGTTGATCGTGAAACGCCTTTGAATAGAAAAGTTGTCATAGAATAGAAGCGACAGAACCCTTTTCACATTCATAAGAAATTTCAACAAACCTGCCCATCAACATAAGAATTCTCTGCGTGATTGTTATGGAAGACGAAGGGAACAATGTCTGTCTGTTCACAACACAATGTTGCAGTTGATAGGTTGACATATACTTGTCCGTATGACACTAAACATGCACACGATAATACAAACTGATGAATGTATGTTAATGGTCAGTCATTACAACTGTCAACAAAGAAGGTTCGAGTTAAAACTGAGATATCTATCAATCTTTATTCATACTGAAGGCCACATATCCATAGTATACAAGAACATAGTACACAATATCATAGAAAAGAATTATATAGTCACATCACAATACGTCATATCACATCAAAGTGTACCACATCATATAACATCGCATTACACATCATATCATAACACACCATATTACATCATATCATACCATGTATCATATCATATCATATCGCACCACATCATACCATACCATATCAAATAACAATATAAGTACACACATTCTATGAATTATTATGCTTATATCTTAGAGACAATGTATGATACATAAATATTGACAACTTACGGATAAGAACATTGTCATCAGTACTCATTAACAAAGAAAATTTCACCCTATCGGGATATACAGAATAATATGTTGGGACATTTTTTTTCTTAACTCACAATAGAATTTGGCAAATTAAGAGGAAGTGATATTCATCTTCTACACAATTAAGATCACAAAATGTCCAAATTCTATCTTCTCTCTCTATTTTATGATATCTCCCTGTTTCGATTGCCAAGTCATGTGAGGAACACCTAAACCGAGCAAATGCCTTCGGAAATTTCTTGATATTTAGTGAAAACAGATAACTCCTTCTGTATATATGGGATTTAAACATTCTATAATAGAAACTGAGATATATGAACAGTATCTTAGCTTACTCAGACGTTTACCCGTTTGTCACAGCTACTGATCTGGGTCCCGATCCACAAAGCGTTCGTAACGTTACGACCTGTCGTAACTCTAAAGTTTATCATAGGCTTACGAATGATATAGCGAAACGAACGCTTTGCAGATCGGTACCCTGGTGAACAAGAACGAATGTTTATTGATAGACAACGTATTTACTGCTATGAATGGATGCGACGTGTTGGTGTAAATCGTTCCTGTATATCATACCAGCTAGCGTCCGCTCAGAGAGCGGAAGGTCGCGGGTTCGATCTCCGACCGCGTCATACCAAAAAGACGTTAAAAATGTCTAAATAGTTCGGTCGTTATTTGATACTGTACTTCTTGAAATTCTTGTGCCTATAGTTTAGAAGGCTCGGTCTTGATTAGCTAAAAAGGTTTGTCTAAATCAGGGATAGGACTGTCAGATCTCATACTGATAGCCAGCACACAGAGACAATCTCTCATATTAGTGAGTGAGTGATTGAGTTTAGTTTTAAGCCGCTTTTAGCAATGCTCCAGTTATGGGCTTCACATATTGTACCCATGTGGGGATCGAACCTGGGCCTTCGGCGTGACGAGCGAACGCTATAACCACTAAGCTACCCCACCGCGCCACATCTCATACTAATTAGATTGGCAGGGTCTATCATATCTATTAGTAATACTTGGATACGTCTGATATGACGCCGTCTGAGATAGTTCCCCGTTGGGATTCCGAGTTTTAATCGCTAACCTGAGGTGGTCGATAACTATATATCATAATCAGTAACTCAAAGGGAGGCAACTCAGGTTTAACAGACAATTCGCCTTTTCCAGTTGATATTTTGAGTTATGCTACTTGACCAAATAGCCCCAAATTAGGTTTTCCCTCTCTACGATTAACATTCACACGTTTACGGTGAAAAACTAGGTACCTCAAAATATCCAGCCAATGCACAGCTAAGGTTTTCAACGAGGAAACTCGGGAATATTTACTATTGTAGATCCGGGTTTGTTTAAATGTCATCCAAGTGCACGACTACCTCCATGGAATAGATTAACAGCACCTGCCATGTTGGAGTGGTAATTGGTTGAACTGTGGACATACTATATAAGAAACAATCGCTTTGCCGAGGACGTGTTGAGGGGCTGACTTGTCAAGGTGAGAACGTTGATATTTGTCTAATACGGTGATTTCTTCATATTTTCATGAATCCCACGCCTTTTTAACTTACGTCAACTATTCTTTAAACGTTCAAACTTAGCACCATTCTTAAATGTGGTGGTGTGTGATCATAGAGCCTAGGTCACCAGTTTAAGTTAAGCAATGTCTGTCACTGAGAGTCATTGTATGGGTGACCGTGTGCGGCACCTTGACGCTTGGAAGTTTCTAGGACTTCTGTCCGCACCAACAACGAAGCACAGATGTGGTTTGACCTTATAATTAGGCAAGAGAGGCTGTTGAAAAATGACTCTGTTCACTCAGCAGAAAATGGGTACCCGTTGGGATAAGTTATATGACTATTAACCTCCTAGAGCCTCAGAGGCAGTTTGGGTTATCCCGGATAAGGATGTCTTTTATGTTGTATGCGCTTACAGCATGTGCCTGCGGCGTGGATAAGTGGCCTTATTATTATCATCATTATTATCATATGTATTTGACCTGACATGCTCGTCACGATATGGCTGAAATATTGCCAAAGCGACGGTAAATATTAACTCACTCACTCACTCACTCACTCACCTGACATAAACTGGCCTTGGTTATAAACTTTGATAATGGCCATCGTTTTTACTATTTTATCAGGCGTTACCGGGATACATTATAAGCCCCGAGGGACCAGTGAACAACGTATTTATCTTACCGAACACCTCATTAATTTTGAATTGTTTGAAGCACAGGTACAAATCATTTTGTAGCCATCGCTAGATTTTGCTGACAAGCAAAACAGATTTAGAGTTATCTCCCTTCTATCGATTTGCATTCGCAAAACATCGGTAATTTCCGTACATCATACGTGATTCAATGTTATTCGAGACAAAGAATTACTACCACAAAGTACCAAATGAGTTGCCATTGACAGCGGGGTACATTGAAATGTTACTCGCTTGTGAGCGGGGTACATTGAAAATAATAGTAGAGCACTCAGCCAATCAGAAAGCGACATTTATGTGTGAGGTAAGATAAATTATCTTGTTTCAGATCTGTTAACTTAATGTCTAAGTATTCATCAAAACTATTTTCACAAAGCTGAGAGAACTATGAAATGATACGGCCTTAAAGTAGACCATGTTGCAGTTTCATAAGCAATAAACTGGTTTTGTTTGCCTAGTTGTTGTTGTAACACGACTAGACTAGCACAACTGACTCTTTCGAAAAATTACGAAAATGGTTTTGTCGCTTTTGGTTTCTTTTTAAATCAGAAGTAAGAATATACACGTTTTAAACATTGTGTATTTGATACATAAAACTTTACTACCACTCCTTTATGACCCCGTGAAGATCCGGGTTAGAATTGATCTTCAGCAACCCATGCTTGTCGTAAGAGGCGACTAACGGGATCGGGTGGTCAGGCTCGCTGACTTGGTTGACACATTTCATCGTAGACTGGGTAGGCTGATGCTCATTATGCTGACCACTGGACTTGCGGCGTTAAACAAGGAATAGACAGACACAACTACTACAAGTTTACATGAAGATTGTCAATCATACTGACACCAACATATCTAAAGGCGTCTCTGAAAAAAAAGGAGAATTTATTTCATGCATTAGAAAAACATCGAACTACTTGATAACATGGTGTCGACGTCATAGTCTCAACTGTCACTTCACCTGATGAAGGGATCTGTAATGGTCCCGAAACGTTGTGTGGGAAAGAATAAAGAAGCTTAAATCCATAAAAATATCTTGGACATACTTGATACTTCTTCCCAGTTTCCCAATTAGGTGATTTGGGTTCAACTGTTATATTTTTTCATGCAATCGGTTTGTGTTGATGTGTTTATAAACTTCAGTATTATCAAAAAGTAGTTTGCACATATTGGGAACAAAATGTCCAGAATCTTATGTTTGAAGCAGATATTTTGTTTAATTCTTCAGTTCGCCACGATGCTACAGCTCTTTCTGTTAGCGCTCTTGGGGGTTGCGTCCGCAAAGGAGTAAGTACACATTTTATCTTGTAGTGGTGGAGGGCTGCGGTTTGTATACTTTGCGACCCGTGAAGATCCAAGTTAGAATTGATCTTTAGCAACCCTTGCATGCCGTAAGAGGCGGCGAACGGGATCGGGTGGTCAGGTTCGCTGACTTGGTGGACACATGTCATCAGTTCCCAATGGCGTAGATCGATGTCATGCTGTAGATCACTGGATTATCTGGTAGGGAGACGATTATTTACAGACCACCGCCAAATAGTAAGAAAATTGCTGAGTGCGGCGTAAAACTAAACTCACTCACACTCAATTTTTTTAATACGAAATTTATATAGTGCACATCTCCAGGCAACTAGTGCTTGCTCAAGGCGGTGGGTTTTTTCCCTCGATCATTGAATGTCAATCTCAACGGCACATCGTATTATCAATCTCAACTCCCTGGGGAGTATACAACTCTTGCAGCCACAAGGCGCACCGAGTTATTGTGGTTTTCCCATCCTTACGAGGTACCCATTCACAGGTGGGTGGACTGGGATACATAGTCACAGTACTTTGTCCAAGTTCACTGCACGTTGCTGTACCCGCAACTAGGTGTTTGCACGTATTCATGTGGCCACCATCTGGTCATATACCAACGGATTCGTGGGTTCTTTTAAGTGCACAGGGTTGTGTACTGTACACTAGGGGTTGTGACAACACTGAAAGAGTCTGCACACAAAGTTGACTCCAAGGTTTTCACAGCCAGTCACAGGTGGGCTCGATCCTGACACCTCAACCTCGCTGGATCACTAGCCTGGCGCCTTAGCCAGCTGGCCCACCGCGCCCCCAATTTGTATACTTTGTTATGTTTGATTTCGAACGCTTAGTCCCATTGAGCAAGCGAGTTAGTGAATAGGGTTTTACACCGCTTTCAGCAATATTCCAGCAATATCACGGCGGGAGACATCAAAATAGGTTTCACACATTGTACCTATGTGGGGAAACAAACCTGGGACGAACAAACGCTTTAAGTACCAGGCAACCCAACTGCCACCGTAATGCAAGGCAAATACAGCAATGCACTTAATGCTTTCAAGTTCAAGCAAACAAACTGCTGAGGGGCATGCATGACATACGTGCATATTGACCTATCGCAATGGCACGCGGACGTGATGTATTGAAAAAAGGGCAGCATTTTGAAACACTCCGCTGTTCCCTCTGTACATAACACTTCACCCCTCCGTACACCCATTATCACCCTCCGTACACCCCACTATCACCCTCCGTACACCCCACTAACATCCTCCGTACACCCCACTAACACCCTCCGTACACCCCACACCTCACTATCACCCTCCATACACCCCACTCTCACCCTCCGTACACCCATTATCACCCTCCATACACCCCACTATCACCCTCCGTACACCCCACTAACACCCTACGTACACCCCACACCTCACTATCACCCTCCATACACCCCACTCTCACCCTCTGTACACCCCATTATCACCCTCCGTATACCCCACTATCACCCTCCGTACACCCCACTCTCACCCTCTGTACACCCCATTATCACCCTCCGTATACCCCACTATCACCCTCCGTACACCCCACTATCACCCTCTGTACACCCCACTATCACCCTCCGTCCGTATCACCCCACCCCATTATCACCCTCCGTACACCCCACTATCACCCTCCGTACACCCCACTGTCACCCTCCGTACAACCCACACCTCACTATCACCCCCCCACACCCCACTATCACCCTCCGTACACCCTCTCTCACCCTCCGTACACCCCATTATCACCCTCCGTACACTATCACCCTCTGTACACCCCTATATCACCCTCCGTACACCCCACTAACACCCTCCGTACACCCCACACCTCACTATCACCCTCCATACACCCCACTCTCACCCTCTGTACACCCCATTATCACCCTCCGTATACCCCACTATCACCCTCCGTACACCCACTATCACCCTCCGTACACTCGAATATCCTCCTCGGTGCACTTTATTGTCCTCTCCGTGCGCCCCACTGTTCCCCTCAGAACAGCGGGATGTCCCTTTAGTACACCCCGCTATCCCCCTCAGTGCACCCCACTATCCCCCTCAGTGCACCCTACTATGCACTCAGTGCACACCACTACCCATCTCAGTACACCCCACTATGACCCTCAGCACACCCCACTGTGCCCTCAGTACACCCACTATTCACCTCAGTACACCCCACTATCCCCCTCAGTACACCACTATGACCCTCAGTACACCCCACTGTGCCCTCAGTACACCCACTATTCACCTCAGCACGCCCCAGTATCACCCTCAGTACACCCCACTGTGCACTCAGTACACCCCACTATTCACCTCAGTACACCCCACTGTGCACTCAGTACACCCCACTATTCATCTCAGTACACCAAACTGTGCACTCAGTACACCCCACTATTCATCTCAGTACGCCCCACTATGCCCCTCAGCACACCCCACTAAGATCATCAGCACGCCCCAGTATCACCTTTAGTACACGCCACTATTCACCTCAGTACACACCACTATTCATCTCAGCACGCCCCACTATGCCCCTCCGCACACCCCACTAAGATCATCAGCACGCCCCACTATTCACCTCAGTACCACTATTCACCCGACAGGTTAATCTGACATGATTATGTATTTATCGCTGAGTACACTAGCTCCCTGTAGATATCGCTGACAGTTACTCTTTACGGGTTTTGAAAGTACCGTGTGTCCCTGAATTAACACCCAGATTACTGTGTTTGGCATTCGGGAGCTGTCGAATGACATTTCCTGGTAGAGGGCTATTGGCGAAGTATTTTTGTTGACCTTTTCCGTTAACGCCAACAGAATGCTCATAGATTGACTAAAATCAACTAAGCAACATTTCGCAAAGTCCCGTTCACCGGTATAATTAAAAACGGGCGAGCAGAACTTGAATTTACCTCAACCGGAAGAAATCATGTACTGTAGTTAGTTTAGGGCTCAACATATTGATGTGGCTATGAGAAAAGAAACGGGATTCGTGTATAGACAGGTGGAGTTTCCGTGTACACAGTATCGGACATTTTAACAGGATTACTGCGCTCATTACATCTCCAAACATTTAGCTTTCTCGCCTGGTCTTGAAAAAACGACACACTTGCCCTGGTGTCAATAAACAGATCCTGGTACTGCTTCCCCCGCGAAGCAATGATGTAAATCACAGTTCTGTTTAAGGTTTTGTTGAACGCTTACTGAGTTGCAACAGTCACAGCAGATAATGAGCCTGATTATCCAGTCCTGGTTTCCACGGCATGTCGCTTGTGAGATCAAACAATAAAAGTTTTTACTTTTGTGATCAACCACTGGTTGACTGACATGGGCGTTAGTTTTGGGTTAATTTTTTGAAACATGTCACAAAAGAATCTATTTTACATATTTACATCAAAATTTTGATTTACATAAATACATTAGTTATGCAGGGGAATTCCGTTCGTTCGTCCAGAGACTTTTGTTCAATCAACAACTTGAAAACTATTGCTTGGATTGTTTTCAAATTTGTTTTCTAAAGTAGAGGTGCAATGCAAAATATGATTATGATATTTTAACTTTTTCAAGAATAACAGCAATTTAAGAATTTTGTGGAGATGCTTTCTGAGCATCCCTTGCATCGTGTGTACATGCAGTGTGTGGAACGGAATAGCAATCCCACCGACCCCTTCGCCTGGATGAAGTCGGCTGGTCTAAAATGTGAAACTGAGGGCTTCCTTTTTGCTGCTCAGGAGAAGTCACTTCCCACTCGTATTCGCCAAAATGTGATTCTTAAAGAGAATATTAACATGAAATGTCGACCTTGTCAGTGGATGCCCTTCCTTGGCACAAACAGCATATCTTAAACGACATGATGGTATGGCTCGTTGCGTTTACTACCGTCTCCGCCATACCAGTGGCTTTGACTCCGAGGCCCATCAATGGTACGACCCTGAACATGTCCAGGAAAATACTACTTTCAAACTTTTGTGGAATTGGCCCATATACAGCCTCAGAACAATTCCAGCCAATAAAGTCCTTTTTGATAAAGCCAATTGATTTATATATTATAGAATTTTCGGTGCCTTTTGTCACCAATGTGATTGGTAGGTTCAGGAAAAGCATGCTAAATATGCAGACCTCGCCTTTGAAATGTCTCGCTTGCATCCGAAGTGCACTGTCGTCAGACTCCCCTTTGTTCTCGGTGCCCTTTGGTTTGGTACCTCCTTTTCTGTTGGCGCAGATCATAGTGGAGCAGATAAATGCAAAAATGACCGAAAATAGTTCACTTAATCATACAATTTGGCACATACATTCTCAAAGGACCACTCTTTCAAAATTGGGCGCTAGATACGCAAAAATCCAAGATGGCTGTCTCCTTTTTCAAGGTGGCAACCATCCATTGGCCAATTGCATCACCATCGAGAATAGGGATGTTACTGATGCATTATATCATGGTTTATAATCCCATTCAATAGCCAGTTTATTCATTTATTGAAGTTAAACTTTGTCACGCTTTCAATTCAAAGTACTAAAACAAAGATGGCATCTGTCACTACGAATGACTTTTTGCATCTACAGAGTTTTTGGGATCAGAGATTCTAATTGATCTAAAACTTAAACAAAGGATGTAAACATTACTTACAAGGTGTTGGTATACTAATACAGTGAATGTCAGTGCACAACCAGGGCACACCGGTGACTTCACTGCTGTGTAACTCAGCATGGGGTTCAGTGTCAGCTGATCTAGCTTTACTAATGCCGCTCCCAGCTTTACTAACTCTATTGTAGTAGAATAGTATCAGGTGTTGTGTAGCTTAGATTAGTATCCCAAATGCTGTCTAATAGTCCCATATCAATTTGCTTGTATAAAATAGTTAGTAGATAAAGTTAGACGGTCGCGCCTGAATTGACAGGGTGTGCTGACGCGGGAGAGCCGAGCCAAGGGTAAGGGTGCTATACAGGAGTTGTTCATGGACTTACCCGGAAAGAACAAGCAACTACCAATCGACATTCTAAGGATAGGGAAACTCCCTTTCCTTTTCATGGATAACATTGACCACAACACTTCTGCAACCACTGCTAATACCTCTTTCCATGGTACCAGTCTCTGTCTTCCAGCATCCTGCTACAGACAACTATGGGGAAGAGCGTCAACCAGCAAAATCCGGGCCAGAGAGGATGAAATCTGTTCCTGAATTACCTGATTCCCGTACAAATATCCCTCCTGCTTCATTGAAGTCAAAGAACCCAACACCGCCAAGTGTTACAGTGTCAATGTCAACCACAGACCTGCTTAGACCACAAATGGCCCTGGAGTATGAGTGGCTGGAGAAGGTCTTTATCACTGAAGAGATAGATGAAGCTGTTAACCTCACAAGATCAGCTCATCACGCATTTCAGAAAAGAAGAGTTTGAAGTGAGTATCACTTCTTTGCTGCCACTTCTCAGGGACGAGACTCACTCTGCAACTACAGTGAAGCACGTAATGCAGAAGGTGTGTGACACCTGTACCTGTCATTACAGTAGACCAGCCAATCTATGCCTTGGCAAAACAGGTGCAGTTGCAATGACCAGACAAGTTTGGAGGGGATAAATACCTAGTCATGTTTGGAGGTCCCCATATCGAAATGGCTGCATTTTGGTCTCTGGGTTCTCTGCTGAAGGACAGTGGTTGGACCTAGTAGAAACAGGTGTGGCATCTTCTTGCACGGCAGATTTACTTCTGGTAGCTTCAAGTGTCACAAAGACACGACAAATGCACCAGGTCACTGTCTGCAGCCTTTACAAGTTGCTAAAATGTGCCTACAACAGTTATTGCACAGAACAAGGAGAGATCAATGAAGACGTATTGGGCTTTGAGGAATGGTGTCAGAACAAAGGCCAACAAAGTCCGCAATTTCAATTCTGGCATTTGGTGTTGTCAATGGAACTTTCAGTCTTCGTGCTGATCAGATCATTCCGTGAAGCCAACTTCAGCCTATACTGTCAGGCATTGAGGGAGTTGATCCCATACTTGTTTGCCAATAACAACACCAAGTATGCTCGATGGTTGCCTATTCATCTGAGGGACATGCTGACTTTGGAAAGTATGCACCCACCATTGGCGCAGGAATTCAAGATGGGCAACTTTGCTCTTGAGCAGGCCCATGAGCAGGCCAATGCTGCCATTAAGGCTGACCGTGGAGCCAATGGGCTTACTGACACTCCATCAGCCCTGAGGAGATGGATGGTCTCTGGCCCTGAGGTGAGCCACCTGGTGTTCCTCTATGAAATGGAGGCACAAACTAAAGAGGCCAGCGAGCACTGTCTTCACCATGAGCAGACACCACATGCCCAGAAGACATTCCTAGAAAGGGTCCAGAAACTCTCTCAGGTCCTGCAAGACTCGGGAAACCCTTTCGAGGAAGACAATGTATGGCTGCGTGTAGCTGGGGCAAGGGCCCTGAGCTGATGATGAGCCTTACCAGCCTGACTGTGCCAGGGTCACCCCAAACCTCCCTGCTGCATACTATTTTAATCTGTAAAATATAATAATTAAACTATTATTCCGGTGATGTTATTTGCACATCATAGCAAGATGCTGATAAGATAAAGAGAATATTTACCAGTAATCTGCTTGATGATGTATGTTCTAACTGGCACACTAAACGTCCGTTCTCTTCTAGTTCCTATGTAGTACTGTCCCCAACTACCATCAGGCCTGGCATGGACTTCGAGATCAGCGTCAACATCCTCAAAGCCACTTCTCGCGTCAATGTCAAGGCCACGATAGTGAAAGGGAGACAATCCGTCGCTTCCGCAAGTGCTATAGTGAGGCAAGGTACATGCATCTGAGGAATAAATCACATTCTGGAATTACTTTTGTTGGTATTTAACATAGAATTTACTTACTTTTTCTTCCACAGCTGTATAATATGCATTTCTGTCTCAACTTATGTTTTCTTTATTTCAGATCAGCCCCAAGGTATAACACTGAAGGTAATAAGATATTCTCTGGAAATGTTACAATTTATCATCTGATCAATCTATGCATAATTTCAGTTGGTCCACCATTCGGGTGTTTCATCCATCTCTGTTTAACATCATTTCATGCTTAATGTGTGAACACATTTTGCTAACTAAATACCTAAAGTCTACTGCACTATTGTTAATGTATCTTATCAGGTGCCGAGAAATCTGAAAAATGGAACGTACAAGCTGACGGTGGTGGGTAATGGTGGGCTGACCTTCAAGAACGAGACGACGTTGAGCTACAGTAGAAAGGGAATGTCCATCTTCATCCAGACAGACAAGGCCATGTACAAGCCTGGTCAAACAGGTGATGCTTGTTCAGTCATATCCAGGGTACTATCTGCCTGAAATGATGAAGAATGAGGACTACTAGTATTTTTATAGATATAGAACTTCTTATTCTGTATAGGCAACGTTTCAACATAGATTCTTATGTCAAGCAAGTAGTGACGAGCAAGTGACAACGACATGTCGAAACGTTGCCTATACAGAATAAAGAAGTAAAGCATATCCATATATTGTCCTCATTCTTCATCTACCAATCAAAGAAGTGAAGTAACACATGCTCTATTTCGTGTAACAATTTATCGGTAACGTACAGATTCTAGTACAGCGGTTTTCTAGTACCGCAAACGTTTTACTAAGATCGAGAGATCGCTTCCGGTTCATGAGGCTAACTCCGCTCTTTCACGGCGGAAATACGTTGTAGACAGAAGTCATAACGTATGGAGGATAATCGCCCAGAAGTGAAAAACGTGGTTAACGGAACTAAATTGTTATTTTGATCAATTAATATACTCGGGAATTATTGTTATTGTAGATTTAATCTGAAGAAAGGTTTCGCTGCCATGGTGATGCGATGCATCAACAAATTTCTTGCCATAATGCGACTGCACGGTTTTTTCTGCGGCAGTAAATACCCATTTAAACACTCGGGCAGTCCCAATCATGGATACTTTCCAAAGTACGTGAACCGTGAAGATCCGGGGTAGAACAGGTCTTCAGCAACCCATGCTTGCCACAAAAGGCGACTATGGTTGTCGTAAGAGGCGACTAACGGGATCGGGTGGTCAGGCTCGCTGACTTGGTTGACACATGTCATCGGTTCCCAATTGCGCAGATCGATGCTCATGCTGTTGATCACTGGATTATCTGGTCCAGACTCGATTATTTACAGACCGCCGCCATATAGCTGGAATATTGCTGAGTGCGGCGTAAAACTAAACTTACTCACTCCAAAGTACGTTCGACAGGTAAACTACTAATAACATCCACGCGATCACTCTAAGGTGTATAAGCACATTCGTGTTGCATGTAATTACTCTTGTTGTTTTACATTTCAGTAAATTTTCGGGCATTTGCCTTGTTTCCCGACATGAAGTTGTACACTGGAGCCATGAATGTCGACATCTTCGTGAGTAACATCTTACACGTCCACGTCATACACTTAGTTGTATTTCAAACTAAGCATACTACGATTAATTAATTCGTGAGAATAGACATTGTACCAATACATGATTCTGTATTTTAAGGGGCGGTGGCGTAGCCTAGTGGTTAAAGCGTTCGCTCGTCACGCCGAAGACGCGGGTTCGATTCGTCGCATGGGTACAATGTGTGAAACCCATTTCTGGGTTGCTGGAATATTGCTAAAACAGTGTAAAACTAAACTCACTCACTCTATGTTTCAATACAATTTTAACAGCTTTAAAACTTATTTTTTAGAAATAGGGAATTCATTTTGAGTTCCTGATACATACCCTGCTGCTGTCGTCGTAAGTACCTACCTAGTGTGTGTCTATGTTGCCAGGACCCGAACTCCAACAAAATCAAGCAGTGGGTGGGGTTGAAGGACGCTAGCGGCGTCATCACCAACTACCTCCCCACCTCCACCCAACCTGTACTCGGTGACTGGAAGATCAAGGTCACCGCGGGTGTAAGTGTTGTTGGGAGTGAGTGAGGGAATCGCGTTGCGATGTTCTTGTAGTAAATTTCATTGTCATGGGGTAACTATTTAATATTGTGCATTCAACACTTCATACAGTAATAGTTTAGTACTATTCGTATAACTAGATCTAACAACAACAAAATGTCTTAACCTTTTTCATTAAGTGATTTGTTCTCACATTAAGCTTATGAACGTTCATGAGCTTAATGTGAGAACAAATCACTTAATGAATTCATTAAATCACTCACTCATAAAATCAAGTCAATAACACGGCTCTTTTTACATCCTATTCACATAAAAACAGTAAAACTTTAACTTTCGAAAATCAATATATATTCAATTACATTACACAAGGATATACTTATACCACTCAAAGCAAGTTAAAGACAAAACAACAACTGTAAGAGGGTGTGTTACAACACCCATTAGCTATGACATGATCATTTCATGATCATATTCATGATCATTTTACCCGTGAAGATCCGGGTTAGAATATTGATCTTCAGTAACCCATGCTTGTCGTAAGAGGTGACTAACGGGATTAGGTGGTCAGGCTCGCTGACTTGGTTGACACATGTCATCGTATCCCAATTGCGCAGATCGGTGCTCATGCTGTTGATCACTGGATTGTCTGGTCCAGACTCGATTATTTACAGACCGCCGACATGCCGTTGCGCCGTTACATTCAGTAACCCATGCTTGTCGTAAGAGGTGACTAACGGGATTAGGTGGTCAGGCTCGCTGACTTGGTTGACACATGTCATCGGTTCTCAATTGCGCAGATCGGTGCTCATGCTGCTGATCACTGGATTGTCTGGTCCAGACTCGATTATTTACAGACCGCCGACATATAGCTGGAATATTGCTGAGTGCCGCGTAAAACTAAACCCACTCACTCACTTATTCATAATCATTTGACCTGTTCTTAACTTCTTTGGAGTAGTATATATTAACTATTACGACATTGTGCAACAGTATCAGTTGTATATTGATTATATGTACATCTACTTCTGACAGAAAGAATCCAAGGAAAAGGTGTTCACTATCGCTGAATATGGTGAGCTACTGATCACGTATATAAGGAAACTGAAAGTATAGCATTCCCAGAAATTATTGAGAAAGTTTCGACAAATATCTAATAGATGTTAATAAACTGAAGAAGCTTTACTTAAATGAATATGTTGAGATATGATTCTCTTACAGTCGAAGGGTCTTTCCAGTACTTTGTGAGACCTCCTTGCCCTGCAATACACGATTGAATGCACCTAGGTACACAACCGATCAAAGTTAGTGGTTTACTTCCATTGGTTAGACGTAAGTAGGAAAAATCGTGTGACAGCGTATGCCAATATTCGACCACTTCTTTCTTCATATCGTCAATATTTCTAAGTTCATTTTTTGTTTATTCTGTCCTTCATTAGTCCCCACACATTCGCAATAGGGTTAAGATCTGGGCTGTAGCTGGGCCAGTCCAAAACTTGAACATTTTCGTCCGACAACCACTGTTTTGTGTAGCCCGCAGTGTGATTTTTGGGTCGTTATCATGCTGGAAAATCATATATCTTCATACAGTGTTCGGGAAGGGAAGGAGATGATCATTTAAGATGTCCACATATCGTTCCTCTGTCAAATTTCCAGTGAAAGTACACAACGGTGTCACCCCACGTGATGATACCCAACTCCACGTGAAATTTAGGCTTATGTTTTGGGCGTTAGTAGATAGGTTTCACGGTATCTTTTGTCCATATTTTCACGCAGTTCGGAAAAAGTCAGCCTGAACTTTCATCAGAAACGAATACATTATCCCAATCTTGATTTTGGTGAGCCCTACACCAGTTTAAACGTTTTCTTTTTGCGCCTCTTTTATCAGTGGTGTGGGAATTCCGCACTTTTACGTCTTTGTAATTCTTGTCTAAGGGTTTTATTACATACCTGAGGACTTCCTCTGTTAATCATCTCATTTTTGATATTCGCAACACTTTTAAATTTTCTCCTACTCACAATCTGACCAAGTCGCCAGCGATCCGTAGTACTGAACTTTCTTGTCCTCCCTGCCCCTGTCTTGTGTTCGATCCCAACTCCTGAATGAATATTCTTCAAAGTTCTGCATCCTGTAGACAGAGGAATGTCATGTCTACTAACCTTTTTGCATTAGTCACACCCCTTTTAAATCATATAGAACCACCGTTCTCGGTAATAGGAAACAAAGATTTTTTGAATAATTTCTGGGAAAGCTGTACAAGTAAACTGTATTATTTATCTTAATCGTTTTTCAATCATTTTCTTGTCTTGAAAGAAATATATCTAACGTTTCGTATTTTTTTAACAGTTGCAAACTTGGGTCACTGTCAAGTATTCAAGCCTGATTTAATTATATTTTCAGTATTGCCCAAGTTTGAAGTCACAGTCGAACTCCCACCATTTGTCATTGAAAATGACAACGATATCACTGCTACAGTTAAAGCCAAGTAAGCCAATTCTTACGTTCGTTCGTCCATACAGAGAGAGAGAGAGCTACCTCACGGTGATCTATATGATCTGAGTCACCGATCCTGACCACCCGAAACACGGTCAGGTTTTTAGTATTGACAATTATAGAAAGGCGTGAAATCCGGTATCCTCAAAGGTTTGTTCGCTCTCCTCGAATGATCTGACAATGGACAAAGAAGTATCTCTCCGGACTGCTGTGATTTCCGAATCGAATTGTGGTGGTCAGGGTTTCCAGAAATGTAACTGTTGTCCTAACCAGTGTAAATCGAGACGTTGTAAATGTTTTGAAATGGGACTGAAGTGTAAAAGCCGATGTCATTAGTCTTTCTTGTCCAAAAAATGAAGTTTATCAGAATATACTCTTTACTCGCATCATAAATTTGGTCTTCTCTATTTCAAAAAAGGCTGCCAGGGGGTTCATGAAATCCCTAAGCCAATGTTTCATTAATTTCATGAAATCCCTTGAAATTTTAGGGAATACATGAAATCCCTGGGGGTCACGGGGATTTCACGAAATCACTGACTCTTTCAGGGATTACGTGAAATCCCTGGTTTCACACATTCCCTGTAACATATACACGTTCTATTGGTATGAAATAGTTTCTTTACGATGGCTGTCTATCCAGGTACACATATGGTAAGCCTGTGAAGGGAAGAGTGAACCTCGTGGCACAGCTGGCACGTTTCTACCGTCGATGGACCAGGGATGGTGAGGAGCCGATGGTAAAGAAGACTGTGGAGGTAAGTAACTGCACTTAAATCACTCATACCTACACCACCACGAGATAACGCCGGTGAGTGAGTGAGTGAGTGAGTGAGTTTAGGTTTACGCTGTTTTTTCGTAATATTCAAACTATATCACGACGGGGTCACCAGAAATGGTCACACATTGTAACCATGTGGGGAATCGAACCCGGGTCTTTGGGGAGACACAAGAACGCTTTAACCACTAGGCTACCCCATAGCCCCGGAACATCCAGAGAATTTGATGAAGTCATTGCAGAAATAGCAGAAGGGCAAGCACGGGATCTCCAATAACACTTATGAAAACAATTTGGACATTATACGATAATGTTGTGTTAAGATAGACAAATGTAAGGGAAGTATCTGTGAAGAGTTACTGTGAGCATACGTGGTTTCTCGAAAATTGCCCTATCTGTTAGTAATTGTGGCCATGTTCAAGTATTAAGGGCACGGTTTGTTTAGGTCTCAAAACACTTTGGCATCGGTTTCCTACAAGTAAGGTGGATAGAAGTGGTACATGAACTGACGAGAGGTTGTAGAGGCTGTAATAGTTGCCACAGATCTGATGATGCATTTTGTTTCTGTCGCGTCATCCTTTCCAGGTTTTCAAATACTCTATGAAAGTGTTATAGGGTATTATGAACCGGTAATGTGTTATCCGAAGCCGCATTGGTTTCCTTGCTGTCATTGTCTACATTCGCCTATCCAATTCTTCAGATTGATGGTGAGACCAAGGTTACCATCCCACTGACGGTGATGAAGAAGGCTTTCCCTTACGGCCTGTCAGGGCGGGAGATCCAGGTGATTGCTAATGTGACAGAGGACCTGACTGGGATCACAATGAACGGCTCCAACAAGCTTACGATTTATCAGGATGCCTTGGAGCTTTCCTTCTCTCCGTCTGATCCCACCACATTCAAACCTGGACTCTCGTACAACACGCATGTGAGTATCTCCCCGGACTGGGTGGATTAAGATCATCCGTACCTACTCTTCCCAATGTCCCAAGCAAACTGTGCTTAACAAGAGAGCAGTAGAAAGACACGATCAAGTTTGTCATGTGATTGATGATTAATGATGGTTCTATTAACTTAGCCCCTGTTCTCGAAAGGATCCTAGCCTTATGATAGCCTAACTTTGATCCTAGGGTCTAGGATAGGTGTCCTACCTCATTCTCGAAAAGCATCCTAGCGCTAGGCTATCCTATCTTAGGACAAATACTTAGGACAAATGTACTAGGGTAGGTTCTGACTTGTCCTAAGTCTATTTTAGTGGAAGTCAACATGGTGTGGTTATGGTTTGTTCACCAATTTTGACGTTGTCAAACAAAATAACTCGCCTAAATTACATTTGAATTAACAACAGCACACAGTTTTGATGAGTTTTTTGGTGTTTATATTATCAATTTATCGATAATGAATAGACACAATTGTTGCAATGCACATTTTCTTTACATCTTCAAAAGAAATTTGTTCAATTCTTACCTTTTCTCGAACTTTGTAATAACAACATTGCTCTTTTCTGTCACATTGCTGTGAAATGTCAATGTCAAGGCCAACTTGAGTAACTCCTGTTTATTTCCTGTTTGTGAGATGACGCATAATGAAAGTTAATTCAAGTCATGATTTTCATTAAAAAAAGAAATAAAATGAAAATATTTTGTGCACATATCTTTTTGCTTTTTTGGCAGACTTTCAAACTCTGAAGTAAAAATCTCCTTGTCAGATAAATGAAATTTTCAAAACCTTCAGAAACTACTATAATGTGAAGAAAATATCGAATATATTAACATATAGCAATACTTTTTTTGTGGAAGGATGGTAATTCGAACAAATAGATATTACAAAATCACATTAAATATGTCAAATCTATGCACTATTCACTCTATTTTTCTGGATACAAGATGTGTATTTTTAATTATAACTATAATTAATTATAATTTCTTCTAGACCTACTAAGTCCACCAAAAGCTGAATTTCACCGCATTCAAGCTTTTTACTTCGATTTTTAGTCTTACCATTTATCTTGTAAACGAGATTGTAGTTGCCCTTATATATGTGTTTTTTATGGAATGAATCATGGGTAATATTTAGGTGAATCTTCAACTTAATAAATGTTTTCTATCTCACCTACTGAAGAGCTCGCTATCCTAGCTAGGATCGGTAGCTCAAGTTAGGACAGGGATAGGATCGTTTCGAGAAAGGTCTTATCTTAACGGTAGGATGTCCTAACTCCTGTCCTAACTAGTTAGGATCTGTCTTAGCTGGGACACTTTCGAGAATAGGCACTGGTCTTGGCAGGTTTCAAGTTGGAATCTGGAATCTGATTCAGCACATATTTGAGCTTGTTCTTTGATATTGATTTGTTGCTGTCTGCAGTGAAATCAAACAGACCCGACGGCACAGTTTCTAATGAATAAACAAATGTCATGATAACATGGGCCATGACATATTGTAGGCGTTCCAGTAATAGAAATCGTCTGGAAAGCTGATTTTTTGGAAAGGATCTGGGCTTGTGTGGTATATACGAGTGTCATGTATGTACCAATTCCTTGTATGTTTTAGGAATGAAGGTACAGGATAGTTCCAACCCTAGGCGAAAGTAATTAAAGGATGTCATTTGCAGTATATCAGTGGCACTTAAACCAAACTAAAGAAGCACTTAAACCAAACTAAAGTAGCACTTAAACCAAACTAAAGTAGCACTTAAACCAACTAGCACTTAAACCCACCTAAAGTAGCACTTAAACCCAAACTAAAGGAGCACTTAAAACCCAAAACTAAAGTAGCACTTAAACCAAACTAAAGTAGCACGTAACAACCTAAAGTAGAACCTAAATCAAACTAAAATCATCGACGGGCTTAATTCATTCAGTGCTTTTCCACAGCTACAAGTCGTGCAGCCGGACGGTCGTCCAGCCCCTGCAACCAACCACAAGCTTCGAGTTTCCACTAGGGTAACCGCAGAGATCAAAGAGACGACAACGCCGATGTACTATTCTCCCAGAACGACCTCCTTCAACCTCCCTGACCAAATATTCTCGGTTCCAGACTCAGGACTTGTCCCTGTTGAGGTCAACATCCCCACAAATGCAACGCGTGTCTCTCTCGAGGTATATTCGTTTAGTTACTTGTGATTTAAATCCGTTAGTGTCAAAGAAAAATGTTTCTACTTTACTAAGAAAGTCCAATCTCAAATATACCATATCGTTATTTTTTGTACAAGGCATTGTCAATTCGTACCCTAAGCTGACTGAGTATTTTTTTGCAATAGAAGAACCTATATGGTAGAAACCACCATAGTGCAAAAATAGTCTGATCTTGTCATTGAGTGGTGCTTGGAATGAGTTTTATAATCATGTTCTTCTTTAGGCGTGGTATGGACCTGTAAGTGCTTACAAATCAATTGAAAAGAGCTACTCTCCAAGCGACAACTACATCCAGTTGATCCTGCAATCACAACAACTTTCAGTAAGTAGCCCACATTCAATAAAACGACAATTTTGTCAAAATAGGGCCGAGGGCGGTGGAGTAGCCTAGTGGTTAAAGCGTTCGCTCGTCACGCCGAAGACCCGGGTTCGATTCCCCACATGGGTACACTATGTGAAGCCCATTCTTGTGTCCCCCGCCGTGATATTGCTGAAATATTTCTAAAAGCCGCGTAAAACTCACTCACTCACCCACTCAAAATAGGGCCCCGATACCTGTTGCTCGGAACGGCTCGCCAAACACTGCCGATTGGCTGTTCGGTATCATCGAATTGAGTGAGTGAGTTTTATGTCGCTTTAGCAATATTCCAGCAATATCACGGTGAGGGACACCAGAATAGGCTTCACACATTCTACCCATATGGGGAATCGAACACAGGTCTTCGGCGTGACGAGCGAACGCTTTAACCAGATACCTCTACGAAACCCGTTCCCAGAAGACGTAGATAGCTGTTAATGCTTTCGGTAACTGGTATTAGTGACCAAGACTCGGTTATTTACAACTTCATAAAACTACATCATTCATGTCAGAGTCCCTTAACGGTCTACTAGCGTGTATCGAATTCCAAAACTGAGGGGCGTGTTCATTTAATTGCCTTTGCATGTATTTGGGATGCTTGCCACCGGCATGGTGGGATATGCTCATAGTTTTAGTAAACACCTGTTATCATTATTCTTCGATTGTGATTCATAAATGGTATGTCGGAATGGAACCATAGACTCAGTTTCCGCTTCAAGGTCTCGTTTACGTTTGCTTCCAAACTGAATATTTTGACTCAAATGTCCCACATGTTGCCTGTCTCCTAAACACAGTCAGATAAACAGGTACTCCAAAATGGAAAACGTTCAAAACGCCTTTGATAACTGTACTGCAAATAGGTTGTTATTGTGTGTGTATTTGTATTGCAGGCTGGCAACGACGCGGTGTTCGCTGTCAGAGTCACAGAGCCGATCAAGGAAATAGTATACCAGGTATGTTAGATTTAGAACCCTGAAGATGCAAATTTGATCGATTTTTTATCCAATGTAAATTAATTAATAATTATTATTAGTTAAATGAAAACTCTGTCTATAGTTTTAATTATATTTCATTTTCTCACGAGGAACAGAATAATATCTGATTAAACGAATTCTACCACGTTTTATCAGTCAGTTAAACCTCCATCAATGTAAAATATGTATATCTGGTAAAAGAAAATCTTCCAAAAACATTCATGTTGCCATGTTAAATATGTTCATAAACCTTTTCTGCGGTTAGTTATTTCTATTTCCATTCAGGAAATATTTTAAAATGTTCTTTTTGTCAGATAATATCTCGTGGTTCCATCGTGGCTACTGGCATCATGGGCGCAAACCAGCAGACTGATTTTCACATTTGCCATCCCGGTGACACCCAAGATGGCTCCAAATGCCCGGATAATTGTGTACTACGTCAGAGAAGATGGGGAAATCGTCACAGACAGCGTTAGCTATGACGTCGAAGGCGCATTCCAGAACAAGGTATAATTGATACGGAAGTCGAACAGAGCGAATAATAGAATATGTCAATATTTTGTTATCTCTAGTTTAAACATGATAAATGAAAATGAAAATGCCATTTTGGTCCTAATCCATAATTAATAACATATTGTTCGCTTGTGTATCGCGGCCTCGAACTTGCTAGACATAATAAAGTATACACTCCTGCTCCATGGCGGCTGACACAAAAAAGAAATGATCTTTCAGCGCTGATGCAATTGTTTTGGGTATACTATATGTGTTTTCTATCTTAGATTTGCACTGCTTCGATGACTGTTTTCAGGCTCGTATCGTTTTGATAACGTTTGTAATAATTTGGTCTCTTCCTATTTACAAGTATATAGACTACTTTTTCAGTCACTTGTTGTTTCAGTGACTTTGGGTGTGTAATAAAGCTTTTCGTAAAACACGAAACTTACGTGAAGGCTATCTGATCCATTTGACTGTTTATGTGAAATATACACAAGAAAAAAGTATCGCAACACCCATATTTTTCAAAGTAACAATGATATAATTAGCCATAGTAAGTAAACGTACCAAAACTGTATATATACTTTCTGTATAAATTGACCCGCAAGGAATAAACAAATATCAAATCTAAACACAAAAAGAACTAACAAATGTAGTGTATTCTAAGCAGCAAGCGTGTCAAAGGTATTGCTAAGTTTTAAGTGAAGATAGCTATGATTGTATGACGTTGCCAAATGCCACAAATAATCAATGAACGCCCGTCAAACGGACTTGCTCCAGGATAATCCGTTTTGCATAGAGAGTGTTTCTGCTGATTGGTCGTCATGCTCTTGCCGACTTTAGGCGATGCCTGACCACTAGGTTTGACAAACGACTATGTCGAAGCCATACTGTTTTTACCACGCCACTTGACATGAACGATTGAAGCCTTGTGTTTCTGTGAAATGATGTATCCCTCCTCGGAGTTGTGACCTCGGAGTCGTCACAACGCTGACGGCTCTTTACGTCATTGGTTTGATGATGTTTTCTGGTCAGTCTGCTGTGAGATGTTGGATTACAACCAACCAGTTCAAGGGGGATAAATATGTGCTTATCAAAATGAAATCGGTTCAATTTACAAATTATCGAGCTGTTTCCTGAAACTTGATATTTGCGAAATGACGTGAACACGTGTTGCACGTGATGCTCGCCTTTGTTCGCGGCTGGTGAATATTTTAAAACAATCATTTCAAAATAATTATAAAATGAAAGCTAACTATGATATATATGATATGATATTATGAAATGGCTATATCGGGGTTAAAATCATAGGTGTTGCTATACGTTTTTTTATGTGTAAAGATCACAGCAATCAAAGTTAGGCCACCGCCCTTGGGACTATGGATACTTACAGTACTTCCGCTATGTTCAAGTTTCTGGGTCTGGAACATTGTCTGCAGGATCTACATCATCACAATGGTTGTTGACGATTCTCAGTAAATTCAGCCAAATTAAAACCAACATCGATTTTAAATATACCTAGGTGTCTATCTCTATGGACAAGACCTCTGCCCAGCCTGGTGACAGTGTCAATGTACAGGTCACCGCTGACCCTCAGTCCCTGGTCAACCTCCTGGCCGTAGACCAGAGCGTCCTCCTCCTCAAATCCGGAAATGACATCACACAATCTGAGGTAAGTCAAGGTCCTACAAGCTAAAACCGAGATACTGATGGATACTCCTGGCTTTCGTCACGGTATTGAAAAGCATACATATTACATTTTGTAACCTCTCTCTCTCTCTCTCTCTCTCTCTCTCTCTCTCTCAAAATCTCTCTCTCTCTCAAAATCTCTCAAAATCGTCTTGAGTGTATATTTTCTGCTTGTAGGTTATCAGCGAACTCAAGTCCTATAACTCCATCAATAAAGGAATAGATGTTATTTTCCCTCACCGCGGCAAGAGGTCAGTTCTGCCTTGGGGATACCCTACGTACTACGGTGGATCTGATGCCAGAGAGGTCTTCGAGGCATGTATCCGAAGTCCCTTTGTCGTTATCATGCCCACACTCCATATATCTCATATGTAATCTCAGTGAACGCTGTCACCTCTGCATGCAGCACTTGAACTGCACGGGAAACTTGCTGGGGGTTGTGTTTTATTATTTGTGGATTCATCATATATATTGGACAGGGGTGAAACGGTACGCTCTTACCGCGATACAGTACGTATTGCGGTACAAGGCCTTCGGTTCGGTATATAAGAACTTACTTCCGGGAAAATAGCGGTCCTCAATCAAAGAAATGTACAAATTTTGGGAAAATTATTCGGTTTTTAGACATATTAGAACAGGTTTAAAAAGGTTAATAAAATGACGGTACTAAAACCTAAAATACCAAATGTTTGGACCGCATTTCAGTATACCGAACGAGGGCAAAATACCGCGGTTCTACTAATACCGCGGTATACCGTTTCACCCTTGATACTTGTATTGGATATATTGTGATCCTGTCACCACTCCATAGCATCTCCACAACAGAAAGATCGTTTTCTAACGAATGGAACATCAAATGTATCACAGAACAAATAAATGGCCCGTTGTCCCGTAGTGTACTCCGCATCGGCCATATCGCCTTGAGAAAGAGATAATTTTGCACAAAATGTCTGTCGACAGTAAAGGACAGTAAACAGTTAGATAAGTATCTTAATTGGGTGTAAAACAAAACAATTCAATGTTTAAAAAGTATTGTATCGGTGTATTATTTCTACAGACCATAAGCAGCCAACGGTAGACGACCTTACTGGGAATCATGGCTGCTTTGTTGTTGTTTTTTACCATTTTTTCACTTGTTTATAGGTACAGTACATGTGGTCAATGTATGACATTGATAGGTACAATTGTGTTGACATACAAGACTACAAAAGCAATCAATGATATTTCTATAGAAAATGCCCTCAGATACACCATAACTTCATAGTGTGTGTACGTGCGTGCGTGCGCGCATATGTATGTACGTATGTGTGTGTATTAATGTATGTATGTATGCATGCATGCAGGCATGTATGTGTATATGTATATGTGTGTACATATGTATATACAGGGGGGATATGCATTCAATTTGTATCTATATGAAATAAGGATAACATAGACAAAATCATTCATCCCTCTCCTTATAGTGCTAGAAGAGTGTATGTAGAGATGACTAAAAGGAGAAAAAATTGTCAACACCACAAGAGGAGGAATAAACATATTTTGTAATGTCATAATACTTAATTATCTCCCTTTTCACATGACTGATATAGGGTACAGTTGAATTTCTGCTGTGTATAAACATAACTTGCTTCACAACAAGTATTATGGCATTAATTGGACCTTATTTTTCCTTTAATTCCAAGTAAAACATTCTGTTTTGTGAAATATAACGGAATATTCAAGCCAGTTAAGAGCCATGACTGGAGGTTTTTCCAGATATCTTGAACAATTTCACAGTCCCAAAATAGATGGGTAATTGATTCAATGTTATATTTACAATCATGGCTGCTTTGGTAGCTTCTGCTTCCTTCATGATTCCTCAGCAGTACTAACACTTTGGCCACTTTGCTGTTTGTTTGTAAGACTAACCAATATTAAATGTTCAAACTGTAATCGAGGATTTCGATTAAGATGGACTCAGGTACCACCGTCAGGAGAACAATAATTGTACCTTTCTTTAACTCTTTTTAATGTAACTGCCGTCAATAACTGTAGTTGGACAATAATTTAATACACAATGCAGCCATTCACAATTTATCACATGTTTCTATTTTGTTTGCAACACCAAACATTAAATGAGCACTGTCAATATTACACATACCCTTTAAAGAATATGAATGGTGATATGTCTCCTTTATGAGAGAGAAATCTACACATACTCACCATAAGGGAGGATCCTCAGCTTTCTACAAATACCCATTAGTAAAGGATACCTATTCGTCTTCTTGCAACGTCAACGTGTGTAAATGACAACCCATGTTGGGGTAATCTAAAGCTTGTTACATTGTATGACGTCTGTTTAAACCTACTTTGGGTGTTCCAAGTTTGCATTAGTGGTCTGATTCACTCTGATGTGCTCTCGGATGTAGTGTTGGGACTGAGAGTGAGGTTTCATAAGTAGAAAAGCTAGGGTATTATCCATAGCTACTTTAGCCTACAGTGCAAAGGTGCTTGGCACCCTCAAAAGACGATGTCGAACTTAGTGAGATAGTAATAGTTGCTTCAAGTATCATCAGGTTTGCAGCCGAACTGCCAGTAGCGAGGTCACTGTACAATTTCATGATGCCAAGTTTAAATGTTTGAATGGATGTTTTGCAGATAAATCTCTACGCGCTTGAAGTGATGTATTAGAATCAGGAAATATTATGAATTGGTTAACAGAGCTACAGATAACGTTTTGGGTCATTGAGTTATCTACTCGCTTGTGCTCATCTGGTAGACAGAAGCCGTTATTGAGATATCAGCGTCGAAAATATGATACTTGATACAAATCTATGTGGCGGTACCGCCGTCACTACGACGGTTCCTTAGTACAGCACTTTGTCAAAGCGGATGATTTCTTGTAGACCGAAAACTTTTGAACATGAAATGGGAATAGGTATATATTTTCCCCAGATGCATTGGCCCTTGGACTTGTACACATTTTTACTTTATTCCAGAACTCGGGAGTTGCTGTGATGACAGACGCACTTGTATACCAACATGAAAGATACTGTAAGTCTTGCTGATGGGTTCGTTATCGTTTAGAGTATTATGATCTGAATTTTAAAGTATACCATAACCAAATTGAATACATAAATGTATCTCAGCTTAGCATGAGATAACGCTTTAGATAGCCGCTGGGGAACCAGTCCAGTCCAAACTAGGCAACAGTCTGGAAAGGAACAGTTTCTGCATATTGCAGAATAAACGCATTCACAATTCGGAGAAAACACGTTGCCAGCCTTGAGTCCATTTCAAACGGGTCAATTCATCATACAAAGCAATACCTGAAGCACTTGTATATTCAAACGTATCTGCATACCAACCTTTAACACGCATAGAACAGATAAATCAGCACACACGCGCGCGCGCACACACACGGGTGCATGCACACCAGCATAAATAACAGCACATTTAAATACAACCCAACAGGCATGCCAACAGGCCAACTAGCGAGTGAGTGACTGATTGAGTTTAGGTTTACGCCGTTTTTAGCAATATTCCAGCAATATCACGGCGGGGAACACCAGAAATGGGCTTCACACATTGTACCCATGTGGGGAGTCGAACCCGGGTTCGGCGTGAGGATCAAAGGCTTTAACCAGCCAACACGACAAGATACTAACATACGAACTTACGTGAAAACAAACATGTACGCGCCCACATGTATGCATGTGCGTTTGTATGCATATAGACATAAGCAACTGTAACGACTGGCCTTTCAGTTTTCATTTACATTTTTAAAAATCCATTTATTCTTCCCACTCTTCATCATCCAGATGGCTGTCGGTTTTGTGGAGGCAGAGGTGGTGGCGCTGGTAGCTTTGGTGGCTCTGGTGGCAATGCTGCAAGGGGTCCAAGAAGGGAACAACAAAGAAGACCTGCTTTTGCTGGACAGAACGCAGAAATTGCTTCAGCTGGGGGACTGAAAGAAGTGGAACGAATCAGGACAGAATTTCCGGAAACCTGGTTATGGCAAAACATGACAGTTAGGTACATGTTGGAAATGGAAGAACGAATAAACTTTTGTTTTTTTGTACTCGTTTAACCACTGCATATGAAAGATGTGTGGTTAGCCTTAAGCGGAACACCAGTAGAGAGGTATTATGTTTATGTTGCTATTGTTGCTATTTCCACAATTAATGTGGGCTTATCTGCTTATTTCTGCACAGTGGGAAAGTTTTCTTTGGTAGGCCTGTAATTAATACCGAGCGACTAAAGTTGCCAAAAAGTCGTCTGCTTCTCTCTCGCCCGCCAACGAAACCACAGAGAGGCTACGTAACTCTGTCGCCAGAGCACTGCAGCGAACCGGAAGTGACGTTACATGAGGAAGGATTTTCAGTTAGCTGTATATAAAATGTGCAACAAGCTCGTCATTTTGCTGAATTCTCGACGTCAGCGACCGAATCGCCGTAAATTGCTCCCAGGAGTCGTGTGATGGTGTCATCATGTACAGATTTCCACCCAACCCCGCAGTTCGTGCTAAATTGGTTATGTTTGTGAGTGCGGGGCGAGCGTTGTGGAAGCCTGGAACATATCTTACTTGTGTTCAGATCACTTCCCGGAAGTTAAAAAATCAAAAGTACTTACTAGTTGTAGTAAAATATGTATATGATTGATGACCAGAAGATTTTGCATGACAAAACTTGTAACATAACGATTTCTTCCTCGGAAGCGAGGTTGTGGTGCAAGTGACAATAATATTGTAAGTAGTATTATATTAACACCCGCCTAATATAATGCAAAATCCTATTGGCCATCGATGAAATACATAGTTTACTACCGGTAGAGAGTAGTTTTGATTTTGTAACTCTGTGAAAACAAACCTAAATAGCATTTATTCTCTGACTGGCGGATGTTCGCGACAGGGCCGCCATTTTTAAAAATCGTGACGTCACGGGCTAAAGTCTGGTCGAGAATCAATGAGATTATGGTTTGTTTTCATCAAGTTAGAAAATCAAAACTACTCTCTACTCGTTTCTTCCACGGAAGCGAGGTAGGGGTTGAAGTGACAATATTGTGCGATAAATTACCTGCCATATTCACGTGGTTAACGTCCACTCACCAGTATGTAGATACTAGTCGATCTTCTTCCTGTAACCGTAATGAGCGAGGCTGATCATCGTTTTAACTACCACTAGCGTCTGGCTCCAGCAAAAAAGGCCTAGCGACAACAAGCGATTTTGACAGAATCGTCTATGAAAACAAGTTGTAACTCGGAAGCTAGGCAAAGCAGGTGACAAGACTAAATGACAGTAGATTGTGAAAACAAAAAGCTTTCACTTTTCACAACAATTGTCACGATTTCAGATTTCGACAAATCTGTAAACAAGATAATTTATCCCCGGAAATGTACATGAATTCGTAAGCGAACCTCGTATGAATAACTCACATTACGTCACTGAGACGCGCCCCTCTAATTGGTTGAAATTTCGTTCGCGGGAGAGAATTGTGCACTGTTGTCACAATGAGTTAATTATTGGTCGAAATGAGTAGTTTTAATGACGGGGTTTCATTACATAACAATGTCAAAAAGGATTTATGTATTTGTACCCCCTAGAGTATATGGGCTCTTTAATGTTAATTAAGTGAATAGAGTACTGAACGGCAACAACAACTGAAGAAATAAATTCAATAAACCAACAGTTAATATCAATGTGTGGTCCAAGTGCCAAGTGGATGAAACCTTTGGTAGTCACGCCTACGACCAATGTTTTCAGTATAAGACAAGCTGTTTTCACCTGGACACTTCATGTTGATCATGAGGAAGCAGGGTTTTTTTGTTGAGAATGGTCGAAAGCTGATATCGTCTTAGTTGGTTATATTTTTCACTCTTCAATACCACAGTGCCGATGGCACAGCTGTCATCTCAACAACAGTGCCAGATACCATCACGTCTTGGGTGGCCAGCGCCTTCGCCGTCAACACTCAGAGCGGCCTTGGAATTGCACCAACCTCAGCCAAGGTAGGTCACTAATCTACGCCTCGACCTAGCTACCTCCGTAAGTAATTTTGTGTCTGGTCTCGAGGTTACTGGACCACGTCTAAATTTGTCGTTTTCTTAATACACCTAACGATTGCAGTTTGCTCCCCATCACGATGACACACAGCGATAGAACTAAATACAATCCAGACTCGGTTAAAGTGAAGCTGATTGTTTGGGTTTTGTGTCCCTGAGATGCAACATTGTGGAACTCTTTGTCCACCCAAAAAGTGATAATGTTCAGACCCTCATGTTCCGGCCTTTGTCGAATGTGTTTACTTAATAACATGTTTACCAGCCTACACTTGTCGTGTGTTCAGATCCGCGTGTTCCGCCCCTTCTTCGTGAGCCTCAGCCTGCCGTACTCCGTGACCCGAGGGGAACAGCTAGCTCTCCAGGCCATCGTCTTCAACTACCTTGCTCAAGACGTCGACGTGAGTAGTAGATACGACGTGGACAAGTAGTTATTTCCAGGTACCAGAGAATAATTGCTCTAAGCCTTTGGAGTTTTCAATGGTATCCTAGTTCATCGGGGAAGATGAGAGTCTCTTTTGTGATAGCCCTTTTTTGTTAATTTCTATACTGAAGGCCAGATTCCCGTAGTACAGGTAAACACGGTTATGCTATGCGAGTGATACATAACTCTGATACATGTGCATCAGTTTGAGGACCCAAACCAGTCTTTTGGCATTACCAGCGAACGCTTTTCCTACTTCGCTGACCGACTGCTTCGTGTACCGCCCAAAAGATTGCACCGGTTACTTCAAGCCTATGACTGTTTTAATATAACTTCACAAGTATATGTCGATTAAGATAACATCATACGAGTCCAGTGTTGATATTTTGCCAGTGTATGAAATAAGCCACAAACCCAGCCAGACATCAGGGCTGGTACCTTCAAAATGTTACCAGTCCGAAATGAATTTAACCAGATCAGACACCAAGATATATCGTGAGTTTACTCAGCTGTATGGAACATCTAAAATCTTTACCAGATCATCGGACTGGCTAGCTGTAAATTTAGACTGTCCTTCAGAAATCTAGCCCGTCTCGGGCTGTCGGACGGGCCTTATTTCATGCACTGATTTTGCTAAAAAGTTTGAAAAGCCACTGAGAAGCCGTCTTCAAGTTCCATACCCACATCTTTTAGGCTGTTGTGACTCTGCCCAAGTCTGTGGAATACAGGAATGTCGTTGTCCGTGGCAACAGACGTGAACGAACAGAATCGGAAGATCAGAGTCAGACAGTCCAGGTAAGCGGTTGATGTTATTATCAGGAGTAAGATCAATGAATCGCGGTATCATCAATGTATTAACTGAATCCCATCTACATGTTGAACATATGTACGATACACAGTTTCTTGCAAACAGTGCCGTGGGTGTAATATTGCAATGTATAAAAATATATTTTTAAAGGATGTAACAGTTTTATTACATTGGTGAATTATTTTACCACTTCACCAAATCCCGTTGACTATAATCATAAATCGAATGGTTAGCTAGTATTTTCTCACAACATTAAAGAATAACAATGCTTCAGTGTTAACGTTGTGTATATTACCCCAGGTGAAGGCAGGTGGCGCCACCTCTGTATATTTCCCCATTGTCCCAACCATCCTGGGGAAGATCGACCTGACCGTTTCCGCCCGATCCACCCTCGCTGCTGACGCCATCAAGAGACAGCTCCTGGTCGAGGTAAAGGAAACATTTTCATTCATTCTTCCGTTCTCCTTATGAGTACAATCCCACTTCTATTCCTATTGTTTTTCTCTTCTCATCCTGTAGGAACACCATGTGAGTACAATACAGTAATCACAATCTCTTTCCAGTTCGAAATAACCACTGAATAATAACATGTTCCTTTGAGTGCATACAATCTCTTCAGCCTGTATGTACACGAAAGAATATAGTGTTCTTTTATGTATTCACAATCTCTTCAGCCTGAAGGAACCCCCTGAAAGAGCACAATATTCCAGCACGTATATATAATCTCTCTTCAGCCTGAAGGAACCCCTAAAGAGTACAATGTTCCTGTCCTGATTGATCTGAGGGAAGCGCCCAGTTTTGTCAAGTCTGTTCCCCTCACTCTGCCCCAGAACGTGGTCCCAGGGTCACTGAGAGCTAGGGTCACCGCAGTTGGTTTGTAGCGTCGTTTCTTTACACAGGACATTTGTCATCTCCTAATTATTTCGTCCTTACGGTAACAGTTTGCATGATAATGACATGCATGCATAATGCATTCTAGTCACTGCATATTAAGTAAAAACATAAATGTAGTAGTTCTTGTGATTACTAACTTGTATTTATATGTCTTGGTTTGGTATTTCATAGTTTCAGAAAAATAGAAAGAAAAGGAAACAATTTGATTTCCTGAAGACAACCTGTGTCCCAACACGTATATATATATATATATATATATATATATATATATATATATATATATATATATATATATATATATTTTCGTCATCTAGGCGACCTAATGGGTCCAACAGTGAATGGTCTGGACAAACTTCTGCGCATGCCTACCGGATGTGGCGAGCAGACGATGCTGGGGTTGGCCCCGGATGTGTTTGTCACCAACTACCTGACAGCAACCAATCAGCTGACGGGAGACATAGAGGACAAGGCAATCAAGTACATGGAATCTGGTGCGTTACTGACACCATGGAGACTGGTTTTATAGTGCTATCCCACTGAGATACCATTCCGCAGTGAAGCATGAATACCCCACACAGACACATTATACTGACTCCGAGCCGACCAGTCCTTGTTGTACCCATTAATGCCGAGCGCCAGGCAGGGACCAACACGTACCATATTTTAACGTCTTTTGGTATGACGCGGTCGGGGATCGAACCCACGACCTTCCGCTCTCCCAAATTTAACAGATAATACTTATGTACAATGACTGAATAAAGTCTTGCATGTGTAATGTAATATTAAAGAACACACGCACCATCATACAAAAATATCAGATTCACGACGAAGTTCACACGTGGCATAACAATGTTTTCACATTTCGCGCACCGCATCAGCTCCCGACCGTACTGAATTACATGAATGTAGCGTAATCGGCGTAATACGATATAGATTTGAGTACAAATGCAAAAATACACTGCAGGCTTAAATGTGTGATATTCAGACATCTAGTGCCAGATTTGAATTACCGATTGCAAAAAGGGAACAAAATGACAAAATATGACCTGAAAACGATCAGCTGATTCCACTGCCTCGCTTCGAATGGCAATTTTGCGATTCATTAATGCAATATAAGCAGTCATGGCTATCCATCACATCACAAATATTTCAGGATATCACACTTGATATATCATCGGTCAAGGGAAAAGATATACTGTCCATATGCACCAGCGTGAACGTTAACGGTGATGGTGAAGGCTGTACTGGTTAACTGTCTCTAAGTGTTTAGTAACAAGAACAGATCCCATCGCGCATAAGACATGCTCTGTCAGTTTAAGGTTGGACCATCCGGACCAGCGCTCCAAGTGGATTAGTGAAGGGAAGATAAATTGAAAAAGATCGCCCATTTAGGTGCTTGAGAGACTTTTCAAAATATTATATTTTTTAAAGTTGACTTTAAAGACAAGTTTTTGGTTTGATCGGGCTGAAATAATTGCTGTCGGCGGCATTTTGTAAAATAAATAACAAATTGCTTGTTCCGTCGGAAGGAAACTTTGGGTCGGTCGGGAGATGAGAAACACAGAAATGAATACTGACGGCCTTAGCAGATGTCACAGATGTTGACAGTTGTAATAGTTAGCTAATTGGGATGGGATGCGTGTGTGTGTGTGTGTGTGTGTGTGTGTTTGTGAGTGTGTGTGTGTGTGTGTGTGTGTGTGTGTGTGTGTGTGTGTGTGTGTGTGTGTGTGTGTGTGTGTGTGTGTGTGTGTGTGTGTGTGTGTGTGTTTTTGTTTAGATCGGAAATCTGTTATTCCTGAAAAGATTATCGGTTCCTTACTGTCAGGTGACAACCATGAAACCATTCGAAAAGGCATGAAAGGTTGTTTGTCACCGGAAGTACTTAAGTCCCGCGTAGTGACTTACTTACGGGCCCTATTTGTGTATCGTATATCACGTTGTATCTCAGTCATTTCCCTCATCTCCTCCAGGATACCAGAGAGAGTTGACCTACCAGCACAAAGATGGTTCCTTCAGTGCTTTTGGCGAGAGTGATCCTTCCGGCAGCATGTGGTGAGTTCCGTAGGTTGAGATCCAATAACGTATGCAATAAGCAGAGTGGGTGAGTGATACGTTTATGCTAGCGTGCAGCTGAACCCAGCACTCTACTTCCAGGTTGACAGCGTTTGTTGTGAAGACGTTCCACCAAGCTAAACCATACACCTTCATCGACGATGAAGTTCTGACCAAAGCCATCGACTGGATGATACGGAGACAGAACGCTGACGGTTCCTTTCCGGAACCTGGAAAAGTCTTCCACAAATCCCTGACAGTGAGTGTAGAGGCAGTTAACCATTAGGGTTTAGGAAATGACTCTAATACTTTGGACCTACCAAGTTTAATCCGAAATATGCCTCTTAATTTTTTTAATCGGTGTGAATTCTTTTCTTGATGAAGAAATTACCTCATGTGCTCGTATCAAAATTAGTGAGTGGCCGTAGGTTTGGCAAGGTTGATACTACATAAAACATTCATAACCAGATACTGAAATTCATCCCCTTTCATCAGTATGCAGTCAGCGTTTCCTAAATACTTGCATTCGGCAATATATACTATTCCATAATAGAAACGCATAACCCAGAAATCTGTTGCGAAATTGTTGTAATTTCAAACATGTATAACTAGTCCACAACAAAGATTTTAGGAAATGAATTTTGTCAGTTTAGAAGAAGGAAATGTTTATACAACCAAGTGGATAATTTTAGATAACGGAGGCGTTGAGCGCCATGGTGACGACGTAGCACGGGCCCGACGTCAGATCTGGCTCTCAATCCAATTTCTCTCAACCTGCTCCGTACGGTTTGACCGGATATCCTCCGAAGTCCAGGCACCCTGGCTGCTGTGCTGTCACCCATGGCAGTACGATCACGCAAATGTAGTACCCGGATGTACCGATCTTGGGCTACAGTGGTGACTCGAGGTCTGCCTATATGGGGAGGGTCATTTGTTATACCTTTTCGGTTGTTACGAGCAGCAAGCCGTGATATCGTGCTCAGACTAATATTCAGACGCCTGGCAACAGAAGATTGGTAATCTCCAGCGTGCATTCTTTGGTAATCGCCAGACGTGGCGTAGTGGTTTGACCTTGAAACACCTTCACCCGTGAAGGTCCGGTTTAGAATGAGCCTTCCGTAACCCATGCTTGTCGTAAGAGGCGACTAACGGGATCGGGTGGTCAGGCTCGCTGGCTTGGTTGACACATGTCATCGGTTCCCAATTGCGCAGATCGATGTTCATGCTGTTGATCACTGGATTGTCTGGACAAGACTCGATTATTTACAGACCGCCGCCATTTTGCTGAGTGCGGCGTAAAACTTAACTCACTCACTCACTCATTGAAATACCTTCAAAACGAATGCCGATTTCCGAAAGTAATAGGCAGACAGTGCATGCTCTTTGCTGCACAATTTCAACTGGAAGGTGCTTTCTGTTGGGTTGTGGTGATGCCTTTTTAATCTTTGTAAGATTTATCATCAAAAACAACATTCTCTGGTTAAGTCAATCTTTTACTTGTGCAATTGTGTAAAATCATGTTATCAACATTTTGTTACATATTTTGACGATTGTTTGAACATAATAGGTAAGTGGTAGATTTTAAAAAGTACAAAACGCCTATGCGTTTCTTTTTTGGGATAGTATACTTTGTTTTATCAGCTAAAACCTACCGTATTCTCAAGTTAGCGAATATCTTACCCTTTGGTTCATACAGTTCAGAACAAACAATCACACTCACTGTCAAGACTCAAATGAATCCTGTATGGAATGCCTGATCATAGCCTCAGATGAAGTTTGACAAGGCCGGTCCAGCGCCAGTGTTGATACAAGTGGCGCACAGGTTACTACATTGTTGTCATCAGCAAGCACAGACTCAGTTGCATTCTCTATATTTTTATCCAGGGAGGAGCTGGAAAAGGAGCACCACTGACGGCTTATGTCCTCATCGCCCTTCTCGAGAACAACGACCTTCCACGGGTATGTCATGTGGCATTTGTCAAATCTTCTGAAGTCAGAGGTGTTCAAGGTATATAAGCTGGATGTTAATAGTCACATCAGGGCACGCCAGTAGCTGAAAACAGAATTGAAATAATCGTCTTTAGGTACCATAATTCACAGAGCCAGGCTATCAATTTATGTCAGTCTACTGTAACACTCATGCATTACTGAGGACCAGTTCGATCCTCTCTGGGGCAATCCTTAATATTTTCCATCCTTCAGAATATACTCCACTGTAAACAAACATCTTGTCTAACACATGTCATTTATGGAACTAATTTGTTTTATAAAACAGGATGTCCAACAGCGGATTCGTGAGGCAACAAATAAGGCAGTCCGGTTCCTTGAGAATCAGACTCCGACAGATGACTACGCTCTGGCCATTATGACGTATGCCCTGCAACTTGCTGGCAGCATCAAAGCTAACGATTTGTTTGACACACTGAACTCACATGCCATTGTCAAGGGTGAGGATCTCCATTATCCAGACCATAATTCGCCTCGGTTTACTTCCACTGGATTCGATCCTGATTCTTTTGAGTCCCAGATAGCATAATGATATTTGGTCTGTGCATGAACTTCAGTGTGGATTTTTCTTACACACTAAACAGTCGCCCCTCGATGTGGCTACACTAGTGTTGGGAATTGGTTTAAATCTCATAATTGATGATTGGTTCATTACAACCGATCAAACATCGAAACTAATTGGTTAGCGTCATTTATTAAGTTTTTCTGGTTATGTTTGTTAATGCACAAGAAATAAAGAAAAAACATGTAGTTCTTTCGTTTATTTGCAAATTGCACAAAATGCATTTGCAAATTTGACATCTTTAAAGGATGACAAGTATGTTAGGAACATGAACTTCATGGAGTCTTTATAATAAATTCAATCATGAATTGGAAGAGCTTGTAGTGCTAATGAAATGTAACAGACAAAACCAACCTTGTGAAAAATATCGTTATTGCAAACAAGTGTTCGAAAATTGTTTGTGTTCGATTATGAGAAAACATGATCGATTGATTGGTCGTTTTGTCATTGCGACCAATCTTCGGTTATTTCAATTAATCGGACCACCACTAGGCCACACAGTATTTCTATTATACGCCACAAGTCATTACGGTGAAACTTCTTGATAGTTGGTGTTTACTACGGCGGTAATTGTCTGTTTCACTTTGGCCTTGAGTCTATTTGAGCTGACTCTGTAATATTACTGAAAGGTCACTTACAAACCTTTGTAGATGGAATGAAACACTGGCACCGCCCCGAAACTACGTCGACAGCGTCCCGCGGTTACTGGACACCACCATCCCCCAAAAATGCCATCGACATCGAGATGACGTCATACGCCCTGCTGACATTCGCCGAGAGGGATGACTTTAATGGTGGTCTGAGCGTCATGAAGTGGTTGGCATCTCAGCGTAATCCTCATGGTGGCTTCTCATCCACTCAGGTACCTACTTAGTCACAAGTATAGTCATATACATGTATATTCTTCTTGTTCATAATGATGTTTATCACTTGATAACGGTGTTAGCGTCTACACCGAAACGCCTAATCTATTGCAATAAAGAAGTTGGCCATGCATTAAAAAAAGTTCCTGGTCATCATAACAGCTTCAAAAGTCAGCACTATCAGTTATAGGTCATTTTGGAATTATATATAGTGTCACTACATTTTAAAACACTGATACAAATGTATAACATACATGTGGGTTTGAGCTGCTATTTTAACAAATTATTTTAATACCAGACAACATATTGGTATTCTTTCAGGACAACTGTCAGGACATGGCCCTGCAGGCTCTGTCTGAATTCGCCAAGATGGCGTACTCCAACAACTTCGACATCCAGGTGACAGTGAACAGTGGCAGCTTCAGCCATCAGTTCTCTGTCAACCAGAACAACGCGCTGGTGCTCCAGAGTGTCGAGGTGAGAACAGGCACTCAAATGTACATCCGTACACGCAACCTGTAGGGGACAAACTCAGTTGGGTAAAACATAATACCGTCTTGAATTTCATTTTGTGTTATCCCTCATTTGAATTTGGGTACACCGGAGATACTCTTCCTTTGAATTACAAGTCGCTTGATTGATAGTTTCTTTTCTGTAACTATCAGTGTTTCTAATGCGTTCCTAGTTTTAAACACAAGGAATCGTCCGAGTACTTGCTTTGCGATGTCTGGGTGACTTATAGCGGGAGTACTTATTCGGTCTATATAAATATGTATCAGTCAATGTTAGACTAATGACAATGATACGAACACTGCTCATTGTTGAAGTACCTAGTTGTGTTGTTTCATAAGGTTTAGGCTGAAAACTCAGATTTACAGTTTTAGCTAAAATAAGAAAACTCTTCAGTGTTGAAGTGTTCACACGAGTACGTTAATGAACAATGAGTTTGAGTTATTTATAGTATATTGTTTATTCATTATTTTAAATTCATTTTATGTTTTGTGTTTAACAATGTGTTGAGCAGATCTTGGTTTGGTTCAACTTTTTCATAATAATTGAAGCACCCTTAAGGAGTCTCTCAGAAAGTGGCTTTCACAGCGGCAAGTCAAACCATACGCGTATCGACGTCGGTTTAAACATATCGTACAAGCGTCAGCATAAAGATTACAGTCAGTGTTCATCCGTACACACAGTATCCGCAGCGCTGTAAACGAACGCAGGTACAGATAAGCTGCGTATCTGCGTAAATTACGCAAATATTTATGTGAAAACTCAATTCCTATTAAGTCTATTGCGTACAAGTACTCTATAAATGTGATCGTGCATGCGTACACAAAAAAATGTCAAATCTGAGCTTGCGTACGGAGGGAGGGGGGGGGAGATTAAATAACTGAGGTATACTGAGAGGTTCTATTTTAACTTGACAACTTGCAGTTTTTCATAATACAGATAAATAATAGATACCAAACACTAACATTTAAACTGTAGTATATTTTTTAAATTAATTGAAAATGGCAAAATACCCAATTGAGTTTGAGTGAGGTGAGTACAATTTATCTGGTTACTCAAAGGAAAATTAGGATATCCGATTGAGATGAACACAAGCGAGTACATAACTCAATGACCCAAAAGTTATCTGTAGTTCTGGTGAACGCAACACACACCCCATCCGTAATAACAAATGACCAGTCCATGAACGCTACATGTAGATATTTCCAAACCATACACTGTTCAGAGTGTATACATGTACATGGTGTGTTGTATCAGGCACCTATTATGTATTTCGAGGTGGGGAAGAACCATGGCATATTCACTGCTACGATATATACAGATTTACTGTCCACAGTCTTGTCGTTATTGGCCATATATCCTTTTCATTTCCATGTTCTTTCAGATAGTTTCAGTTTGTCAGTTCTTCACATATTTCCAATTTTCTTGTTTTCTCCAGCTACCATCAGTTCCCGATAGCGTCAGTGTTGAAGCCACAGGGAATGGGATCGCTCTCGTTGAGGTATGCGTATCGTAGAATACAACATACAGTGTGTTTTATTGTTAAATGCTCACTACAATATTCAGGCCATATGACAACAGCGTCTAACCTGTCGAGTCCAGACCAGACCAACCAGTGATTGAAACAGTGTCTCATGTCTTCGAGACGATGGCACTGTCGTCGAGCCTATCCATAACATACCCTCGTTCACGACAGGAACAGGTTTCTGAGAGCTGGGCCCGGTATCCTGACGGAAGTATCAATGCTGAGAGCGCGCCATTGTAGCTAGGTGTGACAAAATGGTAGTTAAAGTTTATAAGCATAATTGTTATTGTAACGACTGCTCCATTAAGGCCTTGCGTCCCGAATGCGCGAAACATCAAATCATGATTTTTGGTTTTCTTGTTCCGTTCACATAACAGTATGTGTTATAGCATGGTAGTGAAAATGCCTTTATCCTCACATCGAAGGCCTGGCTACGATTATCCATGACATTATGATGTTGGCTGGTTCAGACTGTGAGTACAGGATATAACTGACTGCAACAACAACAAATAAAGCAACATTCAGAGTTCTCACTTGTCCTTCAGGTCGCCGTGTTCTTCAACGTTGATGCTGAGGTGGAGGAGCCATCTTTTGATGTGGCCGTGAAGCTGCTGAAGGAGGACATCAACTCCATCACAGTCCAGACCTGCACCAAGTGAGTGGGCACTTTGCGAGTGACCATGCCACATTGTGTTGGGAGGCGGGGGTTCTGGCATTTTGCATGATGTCGTGACAGCTTCAAAACCAGATACTCATTTCCTTTTGGAAAAATACCTTTTCAAATGTCACTTTTGTCGGCATGTGTGTAAATATGAGCCTTTACAGGGTAAACCAGTGCCATTATATATCTGTTAGTTGATGCCATGAATCACAGGATTGTCTAGTCCAGTCTCGATGTCTTTACAAACAACTTACAACATCGTCCAGCTGCAATACTGCAGAAACGAAAGAAAATACTCATGATATGGTCACACTTGTACAATCGACTCTGCTTTTAGCACAGATTTAATTTCTTATGAATGAAGAAAGGGTTTTGTCGCTTTTATTTGTATTTATTTTCAAGAGCGGGAGGGCCATTCTGATAGTTTGTCAGTGTGGTTTCGTTAAGTGAGACTAATGTTTGCATATCATCAGATGTACATACGTCTTGTTTCTTTCTTCACATCGTATTCACATGTACAAATACCTGCCTGCTTAAACATCTATCTTTTAGCACATGCGTTTTGCAATCAGGATTGCGTTTTATATTCTCACATTTGTCTCAGATGGCTGTTAAATGGTACCAGTGGAATGGCCATCCAAGAACTCGGACTTCCCTCAGGTTTCGAGGCAGACCTTGACACTCTTACCAAACTAAGAACTTTGAAGAGAGTCGAGACTGAAAATAAAAAAGTGGTGCTCTATTTTGATGAGGTGAGACATATTTTTCATATATAATGCATATCCCCACATAACCTCGTCCACTATCTCGCTGGAAAATATATATGGGGTATAATGAGAGCCCAATGTTCAAATTAAGATAAATGGATGGAGGTTCTAGTCGTGGACGATGGTGCTCATTACGTCCCGTTGACGTTCAGGTTGTGGAGCAATTTGAATATTCGAGTTATAATCATGATTGGCAAATCTTTGAAGGGCAGTTAGAAGTGTAATGTATAAGAAAAGCAAAATTGTGGATGTCACCCTCAACGTGTCGACGTGGGTGTATGCTTGCTCCTTCATCGGGTGACACGTCGTGTTATTCACAATAAAGAAGTTGACATCCATAAATCTTGCTTTCTTATGATTGTCAAGCTTTGCGAAAAATTCCTTCAGATGTCCTACTTCTTCAGGAAAAGGCGCATGTGTTGACGTTAAAAATGAAAGGTTGTGGGGTTAAGTTTTTAAAAATTTTTATGTGTTACTCCAGACCTAGAAACGAAATGCAAATCTCCTGAATGGTAAGGGTTTTGCACGCAGCAATTGGTACGGTAGATGAGTTTCTGGACACCATGATGAAGACTTTTACAGAGCATACCTGACAGAAACTAAACATCGTTGGAACAAATGGGTCGACGTCAAAGGAGATAATAATAAAAATATTCAGTGAACATTCTATGTCCAGGAACGTATATCCTCTAAAAATCCTCCAGCGTTTTGTTTTTATGTACTTTAAAAATATAAACTCAACTGCATAGAGGACATGTCTCTGGTGAATGTGACACTGCCAAAATGAGGTGAAAACGAAATGAAGCAAGACTTGCACGCTTTAATTCCACAACACATGTCGCAATGTCCAAGTGATCAACTGGGACACATATTAACCAGTTTGGTTTGTTGTTTGTTACTAACTCGACTCTGTCAATGTCACAGATCGGAACCACGCCCGTATGTCTGTCCGTCACCCTCCAGAGAACAGGTCTTGTAGCCAAGTCCCAGCCCGTCCCAGTCAGAGTCTACGACTACTATGAGCCAAGTAAGTGTTAACTGCTACTATCATCGGTGTGGCAGTCTATGATGTGGCTATGATATGTTCAGAGTTACGTCCCTTGGTCGTGCCAGGACTCATTGAACATCGGTTCGAATCACACAATTGGCGTCGAGTATGATTCGAGGTCTGTGAGCAGCATAGTCTTGCTCATAGGATTTGAAAGATTTAATCACGCCCTTTCTACTTTCTTTGATCATCTAGTTCAAAGAGGCCTTAATTACCACCACAGTTACCCACTACGAGAAGAAGAAGCTAGCAATATAGTGTGTCATACAAACCCAAAGAATTCTAAACTGTTTCAAGCTTTTGACTGTTAAAACACTGTGATTGTTGTCTTTTCAAACATAAAAGCCTGTCAGGTTGGCTGTGTTGCATGACAGACAACACGATGCTATTTGTCAGCCAATAGAATGTGCTCGTTTCCTTTTTCAGCCAATCAGGTGACAGCATTCTACCAGTCCAAGGTTCTCAAGAATTCCAACATCTGTAGGGTATGTGTGGAGTGTGAAAACTGCGTGGTGAGTTCTGCTGCTACTTTACTTGTGTACTTGAGGATAAGTCTACAACGTACATAATCAAAACAAAAGATGTATTAAACACCAACATACAAGTGGTATGTCAAACATATTTCTGTCGGCTACTCAAACACAAATTTTTCAATTCATATTTATTTTCGGAATCAGTTTGTTTGTTTGATGGATGCTAAAACTGATAACAGCTGTGCAACTTTGAGCATGTTCTTTTCAGTCTGTTCAGAAATATCGAAATCTCTTAGTATGTGTCTGTACAACGTAAATCGATTTCTCACGAAATAAATCTCCAATTGCGGTGTTTTGGAAACATATTGATAGGACAAAATTCATTTTGATTAAGTTTGGCTAGTTTTTATGTTATATTAAAACGACACACTCGAGCGTACATGACAACAACAAATCTTCAGAATGCAATGTATTTATTTCATTTCTGCATTGGATCTGTCCTTACAAATAACACATTTTGTTCTTCATACCGTCACATCTGTTACATACTTTCTCAGTAAAGTATAGATTCTAGTACTCTAGTGTGGATTGGAACCCACACCTTCAGACACCTAATCGCCAGCACACAAAATCAACGATCTAACCCCCTCAGCCAGCGAGGATTCCAAAAAAATGGAAGTCGGACAACTGGTAGATTTGACCACAGACTGTGTGTACCCATTTGCCATGTTGGCAGGACTCCCATGGTCGCAAGCTCTTAAAACACCCTCGTTGACCAGGGAGTGTAGAATCAGACAAATTAGGCCTTCATTTTCTTTTTCTTTTCAACATCTCCTAGGTGATGATTTCGCGTGAGTATAGTGCAAGTCGACTGTTACTGTTTCAGGCCAGGCGAGGGTGATCTCAGCGAAGATGGCAAAGATGAAGCGTAGACATATTCGTGCTATTTTCTTGCAATAAAAAACTTCAGAAATAGGAATGAATTTGTTGTTGAAAAGGAATTAATCTATATACAGTCAGGCCGCGTTCATCCGAACACTTCAGTTTTTCATCAAAAACGTTAGCATTGTGAAAAGTACGGACTACTGAAACGAACCATTATGTACATCACTAACAATAGAGTTACTTTCCTTTGACATACCGAGACAAGAACATAAGAACGTCTACATGTACATGTATCAAATGACTTTATTACATTTTGTATACACAACAACTTGGATATTAATATAACAAACAATCAATCAATGCATGCAATAATGTCTGGACACAGTATAGCAATCAAAACTCAGAAACTCAGTCGGGTTTAAAGACTGAATGACTGACTGAATTTAGTTTTACGCCGCTTTTAGCAATATTCCAGCAATATCACGGCGGGGGACACCAGAAATGGGCTTAACACATTGTGCCCATGTGGGGAATCGAACCCGGGTCTTCAGCGTGACGAGCCAACGCTTTAACCACTAGGCTACCCCACGGCCCGGGTTTAAAGAAATCGCAAATGACACGAAATAATTTGATCACAGAGTCCCTATAAGCTCTCATTTCGCTGACAGTATAGGGGGAGGTGTACGTTCTAGCTCATCGTCAGATTCGCCTAGGTCGCTGTTGTCGACAATTGTCACCATCGAAACAATCTCATCCGATGACAGCGAAGGGCTGGTTTCCGCATCATTGTCGACGTCAATGGAGTCATCTGTAGTTTCAACGTCACCGTTTGTAGTGGGGAAGCGTTGGAGAAACTGGCGTAGTTCTGACAAGGCCATGTCATCTTCATCGATGACAGCGTCAGATGGAGTGGGGATAATGTCAACATGTCGATTAACAGTTCTGAATGGTGGAGCCTTTTACTTTTGATGAAGCGAAGCGCTTCTCGGAGAATGAGCGTTCAGGGCAGGTCGTCTTCAGCACACTGGATGAAATGGTTGACGAGATATTTCTTGTAGTGGGCCTGGAAGGTTCTTATGATGCCAGCATCCGTTGGATGAATGTGCAATGTGGTGTTGGGAGGCAGGAAATGAACTTTTACCAGAGAGAGAGAGAGAGAGGTAGGTTACAAAATACATATGTATGCACCAAAGCCAAGGGTATCCAGCAATATATCGGTTTTAGCTTGCAGGACACTGAGAGAAACGTTGTGATGGTATGATGAAGAGAGAGGGGGGGAAACGTTGTAATGGTATGATGAAGAGAGAGAGGGAAACGTTGTGATGGTATGATGAAGAGAGAGGGAAACGTTGTGATGGTATGATGAAGAGAGAGGGAAACGTTGTGATGGTATGATGAAGAGAGAGAGGGAAACGTGATGGTATGATGAAGAGAGAGAGGGACACGTTGTGATGGTATGAACAAGAGAGAGGACACGTTGTGATGGTATGATCAAGAGAGAGAGAGAAACGTGATGGTATGATCAAGAAAGAGAGGGACACGTTGTGAACAAGCAGGACCATATATTGGCATGATAATGTTATGCGGGACGTTATGTGGTCGCGAAAAGACAAAAAAAACCGTGTTATACCGTTATGGTACAATCTAGCAGGACGTTATACCGTTATGGTACAATCTAGCAGGACGTTATACCGTTATGGTACAATCTAGCAGGACGTTATACCGTTATGGTACAATCTAGCAGGACGTTATACCGTTATGGTACAATCTAGCAGGACGTTATACCGTTATGGCACAATCTAGCAGGACGTTATACCGTTATGGCACAATCTAGCAGTTATGGTACAATCTAGCAGGACGTTATACCGTTATGGCACAATCTAGGAGGACGTTATACCGTTATGGTACAATCTAGGAGGACGTTATACCGTTATGGTACAATCTAGGAGGACGTTGTGTTGCAAAGGTACGATCAAGTAAGACGTTATACGACCATGGTACAATCTAGAAGGACGTTGTGTTGCAAAGGTACGATCAAGTAAGACGTTATACGACCATGGTACAATCTAGGAGGACGTTGTGTTGCAAAGGTACGATCAAGTAAGACGTTATTAGACCATGGTACAATCAGGTCGATTGAAATATAACTTATAGGTTAAAGGTATACCATAGGCTTTAGTACAGAATTGATACATGATGTATTTCAAACAAAATATTGATGTTAATACGATAACAAGAGTTACAAAGAGGGCTTAACACATTGTGCCCATGTGGGGAATCGAACCCGGGTCTTCGGCGTGACGAGCCAACGCTTTAACCACTAGGCTACCCCACGGCCCGGGTTTAAAGAAATTGCAAATGACACGAAATAATTTGATCACAGAGTCCCTATAAGCTCTCATTTCGCTGACAGTATAGGGGGAGGTGTACGTTCTAGCTCATCGTCAGATTCGCCTAGGTCGCTGTTGTCGACAATTGTCACCATCGAAACAATCTCATCCGATGACAGCGAAGGGCTGGTTTCCGCATCATTAATGGGTACAACAAGGACTGGTCGGCTCGGGAATTGTCGTTATGTTGGAATATTGATATATTTCTATTAGAATAGATCTCAAATGAAAGAGTAAGATTGTTTCCTGTTATTGTTTGGAGGTTAAATGAACATTTACATTTAGGTTTCTACTCTCCTATGATGTCATTTTAAAAACATTGAACTATATTCAGTTAAGGTACACCTGTTAGGTCAAAGTGTAAGTAACATTTTTAAACACTGGAGAATACAAATTTTGGAATAAACAGGTAAGTAGGGTGGTGTTTCTAAAAAACCTTAGATTCTGTTCTTCCTGTAAAAATATAGAAGATGAGTTATGTTAGCAGGACCCAAGTATAATATTTTGTAAGACACACATACTTTTCCAGAATACTAAAAAAAAATATTATTATGTAAAAACCTTACAGCAAACGTCTCACTTTGTCACTTTGTTCAACAATCCTCGTCGCAGTCCAAGAAGACCAGGACGCCGTCTGCTGTGAAGACTAAGCCGTCTTCAGACAATTCTACAGTCAAGTCGTCAGTGGGGGCAGCGAAGAAGTCGAGGTCCTTCGCCACAGATATCAACCCATCGGACGAAGCAGACGTTTACGATGAGTCGCCGATCCTCATCCCTGAAGTACCGGCGAGCAAGAAGATGAGGTCTTCTTCTACACTGACGTCTGCAACTATATCAACGCAGTCAGACGGCCCATCTACGCAGACTGCAACTACCAGAGAGGACAGACAGTCCTTAGATGACACCTCAGCACTGTCAGATGCGGCGTCATCTGTACAACAACAACAGTTATCAGCGCAGACCTTCAACCCGGGCATCTTTATGCAGCAGTTTACCCAGCAGATGATGGACCTGATGGAACGTAGGTTTGCTCAGGAGAAGACTGCAGAGAAGCAGACGAGTCTGCAAGGAGGACGAACATCGTCTACACCTAATCGGCATGAAGGACGCAACCTGCGTGAAGAAAACGTTCGTGAAGGGAACGCCCAGGAAGACAGCAACTCTTGTGACGAATCTCGTGAAGGCATTCACAGAAGAACCACTGCTGAAGATACTCATGGAAACAACAACCGAGACAGCACCTGCGAAGGCATTCACGAAGGAAGCAACAATTATGAAGAAACTCCTGCTATAGACGAGGAGCATTCGCGAAAGCATCGCAGATCATCTTCATCCTCGGACTCAGACAATCACCAGAGGTCTACGCGTACACGACCCAGAAGAGATTATACCCCTTCACGAAGGCATACAGCTTATAGAGACAGGTCACCGTCGCACAGATCCTCGGCAAGGTCTTCATGGTCGTCACCACACAGATACAGATCACCTAGTACATCTCCAATAAGGCACTCGCGAGTGCCTTCGCGCAGGCTTACACATAGATCTCCACCTAGAGATCAGGACCAACGGCAACGATCTTCGGAACGAGACACATCGAAACCGGAAGATGATGGAGGAGTAATCTTCTCCGACACAGAGATCAAATCCTGGATGGCTAATGGTCTGGAGCTTGCATCACCATCTAAAGAGAATAATGAAGCTTACACGTACATGATGTCTAACGACGATTTTGACACGCTAACGCTGCCACCCATAGAACCGGTATTGGACGTCCCAGACAACCTCAGCTCAGCCTTTAAGAAGGCAGCGAAGTATTCAGTCAGAGCATTCCACCGATTAATGCCTAGAGATTTTCACTACATCAAATGGAACCGTTCATGAAGGCCCCAGAAGTAGATGAAAACTATAAACTCATCAATGACGCTCGCATCAGGACTTATAAAGTGGAGGACAAGAAGCTAGCGCAACTAGACACAACCACTAGACGTACCTTCTTTGGTTTAGCCAGATCAAGGGCCATCAACGAAACCCTAATTGCGAAGTTTGCAAACTCTACATCTGAAGAAGATCGGATGATCTACTCAGCCTTACTGACCCAAAGGAAAGACCAACAGTTCATGTCAGAACATCTAGCGTCTACATCGGCGGGATTAACACTGCTACGAAGACAAGGTCTACTATCATCTTGTAAATGGAGTGAGAAGTTCACCAAACCGCTATTCAGAGCTCCATGGGCAGCAACGAATATCTTCGCAGGAGGAAATTGAGGACGTGGCTAAAGAAGTTACGAAGGAGTCCAGAGAGGTCATGATGATCAAGTCCATCGATACACTGGCCAGCGTTATCAGACAGACATCACAGCGCTACTCTGGCAAATCTAATTTTGCAGGAATCCAGAGAGCTAGAGACAAGAAATATGGCAACTCTACAATAACTTTTGTGTATTCAACACAATCGGTTATTTTAAGGCGCTTCATTGAGACTGATGACTACAGTCTACAAGTATCAACGTTAAGCAAGTATGGAACTTCAGCTGATCATCTGTATAAAATGACGACTGCATTATCTTCAGTGAAGAAGAGAAAAGTCACAACAGCCAGGGAAACAGTCTACCTACATCGGTATTACGTGGCGAAATCTTTCGCGCGTTTTCCACTCAGCCTGCTATACACGTGTTCACTCGTGTATTCCGGGAAGTTACGGACAAGGCCGAGTGTTGATGAGAGAAATCAACGACTGCACAAGATTTTACAAGGATCTTTTTCCTGCAACACCGGTGACGTCACATCGCTGGAATATGAGATGAATCAAATGCTGCAATCTGATTGGTCCATGAGAGACAACGCCCTGTGCAGAAGTCAGGCACAGCTGACGTGTCAGGACGTTATCTACAATCGTAAACAACTTTTCAACGTGGGAGGAAGGCTCCATTTACAGTCCAGTTAGCAGGGTACAGCGTGATTTGACCGTCTTCACGGGTCATAAGGACCTTCCCTGTCAGCAGTTTGAAGATTGGTAATCTGACGAATTGCAGCAACATACGTTTGACATTTCTGCTCGAGGCAGCCAGTCTACTATAATTAGACTTCACAGCGATGGCAATTCCAGTACATGTAGAGACGACGAATTATGCATAATCACTGCACTTGTGGCGATTCTGATGACAAGTCCTTTTAACATATTATCACTGCACTTGTCGGAAGATTGAAGAAATATACTTCAAGTCATGTTGCCAGAACCGGACATGTTGCTTCGCTGCCATTACGGACATGGCAAGGGTACCTACAACGTAGGATATGAGCAGATTTTTGGGAAGATGTTCATCTCACCGCAGAATCGCATTGTCGTCTCAAAGAATAGTTGGGTCTAGATACAAGCCATGGTATCTCAAGCACTACTCTCTCCGTTACCACTACGAAGTTGGCAGAGTCTACTCAGTTTTCTCACGTCAGCACAAGACATGACTCGCAGAGGAGGTCTACAATTGCGCCCACTACAAGTGTTTGTGAACGCCCATCTCAACCGTCTGGTCTCCTTAGGACTACCGGACGGATTGAAACCATATCTTCTATGGTGGACTAGGAAGTCGAATATTTGTGGAGGATCCTACTTATCAGAGCTGGAGTGCAACACTCATCTCTACGTAGATGCATCACTTCAAGGCTGGGAAGTTCACCTCGACAACGAAGTGGCAGCAGGGAAATGGTCGAATCAGGAGCAGAGTCTGCACATCAACATGCTCAAGATGAAAGCAATAATAAACGCCTTACTACACTGGTCCAGCATACTAAGGAACGCACAACTGATGATCCATACGGACAACTCAACAGTGGCGTTCTACATCAACAAACAAGGGTCAACAAGATCAAAGAATATGTTAGACCTTTAGCTTTCATCTATTCAGCATAGTAGACAACCTGAACATCGACATGAAAGCATCACACATTCCCGAAGCCAGAAATGTGACAGCAGACGCCCTATCCCGTCCAATGAATCCATTACCGACGAAGTGGATGTTATATCCAGAGGCGTTCAGAGACATCATTCAGACAGTAGGATCCCCGCTGGTAGATTTGTTCGCAACCAAGTGCAACAAACAACTACCAACATTCGTCATTCCGGTCCCAGATCCTCAAGCATGGGCAACGGACGCCTTGAGCATATCGTGGGAAGGACTTAACGCGTACGCGTTCCCTCCACCAGCATTAATACCGAAGGTATTACAGAAAATCAAAATGACGAACAAGTTACAACTGATTTTGGTCGCGCCTTACTGGCCAGCGAGAGAGTGGTTCCCCAACCTCATACAAGAAATAGGAAATCCAATCCTACAACTTCCAAAGTGGGCAAATCTACTGATTCATCCACACACTAAGCAAGCACACAGAAACCCAACTATGTTTCAACTACACGCATGAAGCGTATCACGACTTGCTTGAGGAGAAGAGGATATTCCACCAGAGCGGCCAAAGCAGTAACTTTAGCCCTACGTAGATCAACCCGTAACTTGTATGATGACAAGTGGCAAATGTTTGAGAAATACGCTCGGAATTGAGGCTTCACTGCAATGGAAGCAACACATCCTCAAGTGGCGGAATATCTTTGTCATCTTAGACAGACAAAACGATTGAAGGGATCTACACTCTCTACATACCTAGCGGCCTTGAGCTCAGTTATCACGATGAAAACGGGTATAAAACTGACCAAAGTACCAGAGATACTGGCACTACTACGCCTATTCAAGTTGGAAGACCAACAAAGAAAATTCAAGGCGCCCGCTTGGGATCTCAATGTGGTTCTACAACATCTTACCAGTGAAGATTACGAACCACTAGAAAGGACATCATATGAGAATTTAACTCATAAAACACTGTTTCTCGTAGACCTAGTTACAGCGGCAAGGATGTCAGAAATTCATGCTCTAGACTTCGAAAGAACAAGATTTGACACGCATCGTGACACAGTGCATCTGGGACTAAGATGGGATTTTATAGCAAAGAATCAACTGCCCGGTCAACCAGACAGACAATTCCATATCTCAGCACTTTCGTCGATATTAGGACCACAGGATACACAAGATCGATCCTTATGTCCAGTCAGAGCATTGAAAATATATCTACAGAGATCTAAATTGAGGAGACGAAAATTCAAGCGCCTTTTCATCCCTTTATCTACGGAGACACCTACAGAAGTCTCACGTACAACTATATCAATATGGATGAGAGCCGTCATATTGAAAGCCTATAAAGCAGCAGGACTTGATCCTCCACGAGCCTCCAATCCTCATGAAGTCAGAGCACTGGCATCCACACTAGCTCTGCATGGAAACTGCTCCATCTCAACAATAATGGAGGGCTGCTTTTGGAGATCGGAGACGGTATTTGCCAACCACTACCTCAGAGACATGGCTACAGAGGACGTCTCCGGCATACACCAGTTTGGGCCCCTTGTTGTAGCACAACAATTGACGGTACCTCAAAGACGCTGAGATAATCTCACCCCTTTGTCACGTGACTTGCAAAAGCCAACACTCAGCAGAGTACGGTTTTAAAGTCCATGCGTACGTCTAGGACAGACTAGCATGAGTGATGGACCCTGTACTTGTAAGGACTTACTTGTACACGAAGTAGGGTCACTTCTCCACTTGATGCAAGCATCAAGAGATGGAGTTGTATAAATCCACACAGAATGTCAGGAGAAGATTTCCAGGATAAATCTGACAAGTTGTGGTCCCCCCACTCATCAGAGGAAGCTGGAAGAAAGGACAAATGCCATTAGAAGTTCCCAAGGGGGGTATAAGGACGTAAATCAGCAGAGACTCCAGAGTGGTTTGAACCACCACCGGTTCCGTCGGATTCTACAAGCAATTAAGCATGAGTCAGGATAAGGAAAAATATGTAATTTTCTGATTAAAATTGATATTTTATACTTATCCTGACTCGTGAGGTTAACCCTCCCAACCTCCCCTCATGGCACTCTGGATTTCCCTGCAAATCCTCGAACATACGGAGAGAGTGACAAGCATGTGACCAATATGTGACCAACTTTCGCGCCAAAAGATAGGGGAAAGGGAGACAACTGGGGTGAGTGATTTTGCGTCCAATTTTTTTTAAGGGAGCTTCAAAAGGGGATTTAAGTGTTCCACTATAGTTCGCAAGAAGAAGAAGACTAGCAATTAAGCATGAGTCAGGATGAGTATAAAATATCAATTTTAATCAGAAAATTACGTTATCTTTCATATTTCTTTATTGCTTTCTTTCTTTTCTCCCCCCAGCGCGACCCTCCACACCTTCACAAGTCCAAGTGTTAGCAGTGGGTGACACGTCGGTGTCACTACAGTGGGTCTCAGGCTACAACGGTGGAGCAAACCAGACGTTCATGTTGAAGTACAACTCAGAGACACACCCAAATTGGTCAATATGGAGAGATGACATCAATGATCCTGGAAGAGGGACATTGGTCAAGGAAGACGTCCTTTCGCTGACACCGGCCATTACCTACCAGTTCCATTTATACGGAGTCAATGTCTACGGTGATGGGGAAGGCGTCACCATCATTACAACTACATCATGTAAGTATTGTTTAACTCTCCAAGTTCTAATTTGGAGATGGGTGTGGCGTGGGGTCTCACGGTGAAAGGTTGGTTCAGCACACCGACAAAATACCCAGATTCGATACAAGTAAAGTACATGACAAAATATTGTGGATGTCAACTTCTTCTGTATTGCATACACAACGTTTCTGGGCTTATACAAAAACGAAGTTGACATCCATAATATTTTGTCATGTATGCCTCTCAGGAACCTCATCGGATTCGATAGAGTCTTGAAGTTCAAGAGGGGCATGGATTGCGTGTGTGTGTGCGTGCGTGCATGTGTGGTTGTTGAGGTAGGGGTGGCAGTGGGGTCGCCGTTTCAAACCCAAGACCCGGATCTGGAAACCATATGTTTTCCCTGCCACGATATTAAATTCAGTTGAATACTGGTAAGGGCGACGCACAATCTAAACTCTCTGAAGTTCAGTTATCGGTATTTCTGAATATAATTACAATTTCAGATATGAATGTTACACTTGTATGGCTGGGAGGTTAATAGATGATTGACAATTAACGATTAAATTGCGGGAAATAAACAGAGTCCCTAAAATAAAACCTCTTTGACAATAAAATGGACGACACACGCCATAATAATCACACATATTCAAAAAAGCAAACCAAATTCGTTGGACTTACTTCAATGAGCATCTCGCCTGTGATGTCCAAGTCTAATACCTTGGTGCACGAGGGGGAACCTAAACATCCATAATTAGATCTACAATAGACTACGACATCACATCGTAAGCTGTAATAGCTGCGACTATCGATCACCTCAGCGCTCAGCTTTGTGGAACATAGTCCCTGTATCTATGCCATGAGCAGCTAACTATAACCTTCTGGGCATTCACACAAACAAACTGCTCAATCCAGCATAGAACAAACACCGTCAGGAGCCGAAACCTTCAAGCGCTTGCTCGTGAACAAGTCGGAAACAGCACGTAAAATCTCTAAATCATCGTCATAAACGCGTTGCCGATCATACTGTTTACTTAAAGGTCACATGCAACCACAAAATCAAACATAATTAAAACACTATTATCACTTATTCATGACATATAATATACATTGCTGGTTATGAAAAAACATATAAACAAAATTATAAGCGTACAATCGCAAATCAAAAGTGCAATATTTTGTACTTGGGTTTACTTCCCTAGAAACGAAGCAGCCGCGATACCGAACCCAGTCAGAGCGGGTGGGTGTGCACTCAAGTGTAATGGCTGGTTCATTTGCAGATTCACTCACGGCTCATTGTGTGTGTATATATAGAGATGTTGGGTTTTGTAAATACATGCTCATTTTTTTTGTGTATAACATTTTGCAATCAACAGACATCATAACATGTCATGTGTACAAGTATCACACCTGCCTGTCTGTGTAATTACATAATGTGACAGAGACCGAACTCGGGCCATAAATCAATGCGTTTTGTTTATGGTGTATAGCCTGATAGGTGTTAAGTTCAAATTGCATGTGGTCAGTGATTGAAATTGTGTATTGAATATTGTCATTAGCAGACGGGCAGGCAGACACACAGGTGTCAATAAAACAAGACATTGAGTTTTGTCTGTGACAACGACATATCTATATCACAGTTAGAAATTCTGTCGACGCTAAATAATGACATTGCTTTTAAGTATCGAACTGAGAAAGTGACTCGGTAAGAAGAACGTGTGGTGAAATAGACAAATGAAATTATATAAACAGTTAAATCGGTAATCTACTGTAATAACATATAAAAAAGCTCGCGCCTGTGAAATATCAACAAAACATTAGAAAAATAGCTCACACCAAAGCCTTCACCGAATATTCACCGGGCAACCCGCTTCCAAGCTCCGCGAACCTATTTCATTGCGCATGTGCTATGAGCGCAGCCCAGCTGTTGAAACCACTTCAATTCCCCAAGCGCTGGGGAAAGTTAGTGAATCGTTCGAACTACGATTTCGCGCGGTATTTTTCATCGCGTTATTTTTCAACTTTATGAGTTGAATTTGCATTTTTGATGATTTGTTTCGGTAAGTCCATACCGAAAGGTATCAGAATCTGCAAAGTTGTGTTTTACGTTGCATGTGACCTTTAACACACAACTGTATCACATGTTGTGTAATACCACCATATATGGTCGGGACTATTTTAATCATCGTCTGTTCATTTCAACTGAGCTGTTGGTAGCACATTGTAATCAGACAGATTTTCTACTTCCGATAGATTGCTGTAATTGGCAACGTAGAATTTGATTGCTGTTACAATCCACGAGTGTTGATTTTTACCCCCAAGCACCCACCAACCAGACAAGAGAAGGCTGTCTATGTAACAGCCCCAACATTGTTAACAGAAATGTTTCAGTATCGAAGGGGGTCATCATGAGGATCCTTTTGATGTGAAGTAATTTTTAATGCATTCATTGTAATGCACTGGACACAACGGGAACAGGATCGTTGCAACTGCGGGTAACAATGTTTCATATCTGTTTCGGGGCGGTGGGGTAACCTAGTGGTTGAAACGTCCGCTCGTCACGCCGAAGACCCGGGTTTGGTTCCCTACATGGGTACAATGTGTCAAGCCCATTTGTGGTGTCCCCCGCCGTGATATTGCTGGAATATTGCTACCATCGGCGTAAAACTAAACTCTCACACTCACTCGTATCTGTTTCTGTTCTCAGCGTCCGGTAAATTTAGACTAGCTGTAGGCCTTGGAACTGCTGCTGGAGCCATCGTAGTCAGCATCCTGGCCATCGGCTGCATCTTATTGAAACGGACTTCAGGTATCTCAAGACTTGTTTTCATTCCCTCAAATGTTACTTATTGTAAAAACAAAACAACTGAAATATCTGCGTGGGAAAATTATTCCCCTTAGAATGTTGCTGAGTGCGGCATTGAATTTATCAAAGAAATACATCATAATGAAAGGTCATATGTCCATTCTGTTATCATCATTCTTCCGAAATTCACCTTTCATTGTTTGAATGACATGAAACCGAGCGCCGACTGAGAAACGCCATGTGGCACTTACGGCGACGTCAACAACGAAGCAGCTATCTCGGAGCCCGTCCCCATACTGGCTGGCCTCGTGACATCTCGATGAGGGAGTGAGTGAGTGAGTTGAATTTTACGCCACAGTCAGCAATATTCCAGCTAAATGGCGGCGGTCTGTAAATAATCGAGTCTGAACCAGACAGTCCAGTGATCAACATCATGAGTATTGATCTACCCAATTATGATACATGAATTCAAACCTGTCATGTAGACACAGGTTCCAGACAGCAAGTCCCTAGCATGTCATGATAAAATTGCGTTTACACATTTATCAAATAAATATTGACGTCAAGTATTTTTTAAATTATTTATCTTTCTTTTTAAAGGAAAACGTGAGATAACCAACGCACCTGCAGGTGAGACATGTGACAATGTGTATACAGATTCAGTTCCACAGACGCATTGTCAGGATGCTGGTAAAAACACGTGTATCGCCCAATCATGTGTACTTGTGAAAAACAGTGTGAGATGTAATAGTGTTTGAAATAACATTTGTAGCTTGACACTAAAACTGAAGACATGCTCATTCCTCTCTTGTCCTGGATATTCCTACAAGGTGAGAGACAAAACAGGGTTAAGCAAATGTACAACCGCACTCCTATAATTAAGATTAACCACAATCAAGGAAACTCCATCCTTAGTCAACCTTCCCTTTATATCTTCAAATATCTCCGGTTTTTAGTGTTAAGTTTGCACACCCTTGACGTACAATCGAGCATCTTCTAAGAATATTTACCCGTGTAAGTCCGGGTTAGAATGAACCTTCAGTAACCCATGCTTGTCGTAAGAGGCGACTAACGGGATCGGGTGCTCAGCCTCGCTTACTTGGTTGACACATGTCATCGGTTCCCAATTGCGCAGATCGATGCTCATGCTGTTGATCACTGGATTCTCTGGACCGCCGCCATATAGCTGGAATATTGCTGAGTGCGGCGTAAAACTAAACTCACTCACTCACTCTCTAAGAATATTTCAAAGTACGTCCCATGATAGACACGTGGAGTCATTGTCAAATTCCAAGCATCAGTGAATTTTTTTGTGTCCGATCCAATTCTCTAATGTCATCGTACTGTATGTTCCTGTGGTGTTTGTTTTGTTTTTCATATCGGGACACACATGACTTGTTTTTATGTGTTTGTGGTGGGTGCCACCTGTTACCATCATTTAATGATAGTGATTCATGCTGTTGGCGTAGACGTAATTGAACCATGTATCTGTGATTTAGTATTACTGCTGGGCATTCATAGCTTTCGGCCATGACAGCCGTGCAAGTACACTTGTCAGATGGGTACGCGATCTAGACTACTAGTTGTCAGAATTTCATTTTTGTTGAAGCCGTGAAGGCTTAGTGGGTTAGATCGCGACTGTGTCTGCTGGTTATTAGCTGTCTGACTCGGGGAGTGTCAGTTCGAATCCTGGATTTATTTCGACATAGTATTAGAATCTGTTCTTTGCCGAGAAAGTGTAATTCCAAATGTTACTAAAGGGTTTTACCCGTGAGGTCCGGGTTAGAATATTGATATTCAGTAACCCATGCTTGCAGTAAGAGGCGACTAACAGGATCGGGTGGTCAGGCTCGCTGACTTGGTTGACACATGTCATCGGTTCCCAATTGCGCAGATCGATGCTCATGATGTTGATCACTGGATTGTCTGGTCCATACTCGATTATTTACATACCACCGCCATATAGCTGGAATATTGCTGAGTGCGGCGTAAAACTAAACTCACTCACTCTCTACTAAAGGGTTTATCGCTTTCAATGTATATGTAATAAAAGATTGTGTTGGAATTATGTATTGGCATTCTATTTCAATAAAACTTTAAGGAATCTTCTCAGAAGCTTCAAAATCAAAGCTGAATGAGGTAGTGAGTGAAGTGAAGAATAAAGAAGCTTGGAACAGTATATTGGTTTCAACACTGGTGTAAGATAAATCACTATTGTTGGAAGGGGCTATTGTTGGAAAAAGTCTGCATACATAAACATTCATTCTATCATGATTATCATTATTTTACTAGGGGCTATGGGGTTTAGTCAGTGATTTTAGGTTTACGTCGCACTCAGAAATATTCCAGCTATATGGCGGCAGTATGTAAATCGCGTTAGGACCAGACAATCCAGTGATCAACAGCATGGATACCGATCTACCAATCGGGAACCAATGACATGTGTCAACCAAGTCAGCGAGCCTGACCACCCAATCCGGTTAGTCGTCTCTTACGACTAGGATGGGTTACTGAAGATCAATATTCTAACCCGGTGGCTTGGGGTTGAGATTCTTTAACATCTTAGCTATTTTCCATTGCAAATTGTATCTATATATTTGCAGAATTGGAGCGTGTCTATGAACCAGTTGAAGCGGGTGATGCTGAAGAAGACCAGTACTGCAACACAGCTGGACTGAACAATGGTAACTATGTTAAAATGGCACAGACAGTTGGCTAGATGAGGCGTTTATCTCCATAAATGTGCGACACAATTGCCACTGGGATCTTTCAGCAGACCTTCTTTCGATAAATTCCCCAAGGTTGTGCAAACGTCTTTAATGCATGTTCCAAAGGCCCCTTGTACGTTTAGATAGGGCATTTCGTCTGTTTTGAGACAATGGCTAGTGTATTAAAGTAACCAACATTGATACTGTGGGAACTATTGAGTGTGAGTGAGTGAGTTTAGTATTACGCCGCACTCAGCAAATTCCAGCGGTCTGTAAATAATCGAGTCTGGACCAGACAATCCAGTGATCAACATCATGAGCATCGATCTGCGCAATTGTGAACCGATGACATGTGTCAGGGAACTATTGAATGTGGGTTGATTCTTGGTACAAAGACACCATTTTAGACAAAGTTGTAATTTTTCTAAATGGCATTTGCAAATGGTGTTTGTGTTATAAAAGTTACTACATGAATGGCCGTCAGATAACATTTGTCTTATTAACGAGTTACAATGATTTGTTTCAAGACTATATCAAGTTTATAACGAGTTTTATCAAGAAGGATAGGGGCCACTATCTCACCAGTTCAAGTTGGTCACCAACCAATATTGTTCATTTGTAGATTTGAACCAGGGAAAATATTTCTGAAAATGATAGAAAAAACGCTACCAATCACATGTCACTGGTTTGGCGAGGAGTTTTAAATGACGAATACTGGGATATATTCTTCCATATATTCCCTGTAAAATAGCCCATGAGAGGTCCTGTATGAACACTGGTTTCAAAGCAACCAATACTGGTAAGAGCTGACTAAATGGATCGGATGGTTAGGGTCGTGACTCGGTTGGTTGGTTGGTTGCATGGATCAACTTCAACTTCTTTATTCTCATAAAACCACCATCGGTGGTACAAGAGCAAAGAATATACAATATTTACAAATGTACATAAAACACAAACATGCGTCATGGTGATGAGTTATTTACGTAACACTTTATACAAGTGAGAGATAAAAAGTGATAAGCACTTGCTAAGTTTAAATTGACAGGCGACCTGACCTGTTAAGAGTTGATAAATTGGCCCAATTGTGATATTTTGGGGGATGAATGATTTTCTGAAAGAATTAAGTGATGTACATTTTAAAAGATAATGAAATTCGTCACCAACTAAAACATAGTTACATAGTTTGCATAATGTTCCTTCTCTCGGTATGTTCTGCCATCTGCCGGTTTCAATCGGAAGGTTTAGATTTGAGGTTCTAAATTTCAAAATTGGGATACATATAGATTTTGGAAATAACAGATATTTAACAAAAGCCAGTGTTTTAAAAGTTGATCATAAAGTCCCTTAGAACTGGAACGTTTCTCGATACACATGATGGCCATTGCTGGATTGTATGGTCCAAACTGTATTATTGAAAAGCGCCATCATACGTCTGGAATATTGCATCAAGCATTAAAAAGTGTGTTTTTTCAATCATTTTGTAAATATTAATTATTTTGGAAGGTGAGAGAACCAACACACAAACTGAAAAAACATGTAAGAATGGAACCACAGAACGACTTTCATGTCAAGGTTCTGGTAAGATTGTTTTCATGTCATATGTGAAAGAACCTCTATATCTATAGAGGGGCGGTGGGGTAGCCTAGTGGTTAAAGCGTTTGTTCGTCACGCCGAAGACCCGAGTTCGATTCCCCACATGGGTACAATGTGTGAAGCCCATTTCGGGTGTCCCCCGCCGTGATATTGCTGGAATATTGCTTAAAAGCGGCGTAAAACCATACTCACTCACTCACTATATCTATAGAAATGTGTTAGATGTTAAGTTAAAACACAATCGTGTATTTGAACGTGTTTTGGATAGTAGTGTTTAATCACCGCGTCAGAAACTTCAAGAGAAATGAATGTGTGAATAAGTGCGAATACACTGCTTCGTTTGTCTGTTGTTTTAGGCCGCACTCAGCAGTATTCCAGCTATATGGCGGCGGTCTGTAAATAATCCGAGGCTGGAAAAGACAATACGCTGCTTCGAAAAGTTACCAGTATTCAAATATAAACATAATATAGTACCTAATTTTCATCTTTACTAGTTGGCTAATTATGATTTATGCCGACTTACATATGCCATTTTTTGACATTTGTAGAATCGGGTCGTGTAGAAATGGGGAGAAAGCAATGGCCGGAAGATGCAGAAACAAACCTCTAGTGCAACACAGGAGAGCTGACCAGTGGTAACTACATCATTATAGAATGGAAAGCTGTAGCAGTAATATAGTATAGAACAAACTTTATGGATAACAACCTCTTTTATTTGTGAGTGCGACGTTTCGATACAGATTCTTGTACCGTTGTCAAGCATATGCTTGACAACGGTACAAGAATCTGTATCGAAACGTCGCATCGAAACGTCGCACTTAAATAAAAAAGAAGTATCCAAGAATCTGTATCCGGGGCGGTTGGGTGGCCGTCGCGTCACTCCGAAGACCGGATTCGAACAAACAAAATATGAAGCCCATTTCTGGTATCCATAAAGTGATGTTCTGGAATATTGCTAAAAGCGGCGTAAAACCAAACTCAGTCAGTCAGTCTAAAATGCCACTCAAAGAAGTTGTAGCAGTAATGTTGTTATACCATTGCGTGTCTGATAAATATGTTTTTGATACAGTCTCCATTGCGATGCATGCGTGATCAATAGAATATTGCTCAAGGCCCCCAATATGTTTAGATTATGAATTCCGTTTGTGTTTTCTGTCAACAATGGCAGCATCTGAAATATAGATTGATGTGCCATCAGCATTGATTATAATCACTACTGATAAACAAATACGTTGTTGACTAAATTGTAATTAATGACGATTGCCCTACAAATGTACTCACTGAAGTCCCCATGAGTACAGGAATTCGTAGCTGTACATATTTCATTTAATTGTCAGTGTCAGTAACTGTTTATGCGTTGTTTATGTTGACACAATCATTATAATCAAGTTGAACCACCACGTCTAGTTCAGGCGTAAAGAATGGCATTTGGTTCTGGTTTCATCCTGGTGATATCATTTGGATTTCCCAAGCTATGGCACTAGCTCCGTCGTAGAATGGTATCGCGCTGTATAGTTAAATTACTGATCATATTATACATATACGTGTTTCTTTAAGTATGTTTCTTTAAGTAATCAATAATCGAAATGCATTTCTGCTTCTGAGTCATCAAATCATTTGACCTTTATGTGATTAGTGATGCTTGCTGTAATGAGAAGGAAAATATTGCATTCATGCACAGTTTCAACGTCCTCAAAAGAGGTCAAGTGCTTGAACACAGACATAATTTTAGCTCGTGCGTATCCACATAATTATAAATATGATATAGACGAAATACCACCATAACAGACCCGAAAAATACCATTCCTTTCAGACATTTACTGCTCTTTTCTTTACAGAGTCCATTTACATGAACACCCTATGACAAAACAACGTGCAGATTACAGATCTAAGCTGCTGTTGATTTCATTAGATTTATATTGCATGAACTCATAATATGATAGTTTAGGTGCTTTTGTATATTCCCTGTGATATATAGTTGTTGATACTGTTGATTCAGCAGATGTGTTGTTCATATACATGTACGTTAGAATTGGCGTTTCCATGGTGATGCCAAGAAACCATCTACTTGAGTCGGTTTTGCTTTGCTTGTAATGTATACAGTGCACTTTGTAGCATGAAATTTGAATATTAGCATGAGTCGTTAGCTATAAATATACCTGATGTATGTAATGATAGTAACAAAAAACAAATTAATCAAGTTTGAAATCATTTAAAGTCAAGTCACATATGGGGTAGCCATTGAGGTTCGCTTGTCGTGACGAATACCCGGGTTCGATTCCCCACATGGGTATAATGTGGGAAGCCCATTTCTGGTGTTCCCCGCCGTGATGTTGCTGGAAAATTGCTAAAAGAGGCGTAAAACAAACTCACTTACTACTCACTCTCAGCGGATTGACTACTATAGAAATATTCTGAATATATTGATTAACTCTCAACTGAAAGTTCAGTTGGATTCTACAACTGATTTTCCCCCAGTCATACATCCAAATCCAGCGGTCTTCATTGTTTATTCGAAAACTTTTGAACTTTTGATTCTGTCAATAGAATATATGGCATGTGTTATATCATCACGTTTATAAAGTTTAAAATGTAATTCAGGACAACAACAGCTGTTAAGATACTATAAGTAGGCTGGAAAACGTCCATGTGATGATATCGTACTGAAAACCTAACATGCTACTGACCACTGATGGAATGATATTATCTTTAAGTATGATCAAAATCAACTCAAATACTTATTCGCAAAGCTAGAATTCACTTTGTCCTAAACAACCGTTGCAGAGTTTCTGTTCCACCTTTCTCTTTAAATGTGTGATTCTCAGATAAAACCTGTATTTCATGTAGAATATTGTAATGGCGTTGGCAAATCCTCTACTGCTGCAGCCAGCTTTAGTTAATGTGTCGGTGTAACCTGTGTTGTTATTTCCTAAACACAAGAATTGTATATTTATGCTAACGTACGTGTGTGTGTGTGTTATTTTATTTTATTTTATTTTATTTTATTTTATTTTATTTTATTTTATTTTATTTTATTTTATTTTATTTTATTTATTTTATTTTATTTTATTTTATTTTATTTTATTTTATGAGTTTGGTAGATTAACGTGGGTTTCAAGTATAAAATATAAATCTATTAATATGCTTTTAATTATAAGGGGAATAAAATGTTGGAAATATATATCTATTCATTTTGGTGATGTAAAGATGTGTGTTCAATCAATATTTGTTAAGTTAAATGAGCATTCAAATGTTTAATCTCCTATGAAATCAACTTTTTCAAATGAACCATTTTCGGCTCATGCACAAAACCAAAGCAGGGGATTACAAATTTAGATGAACACAGGTAGGTAGGATGACGTTGTTGGAAACCTAACTTCTTGTTTTCCTTGTAAAAATATTCTGGAAGATGAGTTACTCTTTATGTTAGTAAGGACCAATTATGATATTTTGTATCTAACCACTTTATTGATAACTTCTAACATTGTCAGTATACGCTAAATACATTATACATGTATATGCTAAATCATTATGTTATTGCAATTACAATTGTACTTCAACTTCATTATTTAACTCTTGTTATTATATTAACATTTTGTTTGTAAAAATCATGTATCTGTACTGTACTCGGGCCTACGGCCTGTATACCGAAATAAACTTAACTTATCTGTTATATCCCTATCGACTTGATTGTACCATGGTCGTATAAGGTCTGACTTGATGGTACCTTTGCAATATCAGGTCCTTCTAGACTGTACCATGTCACCATAACGTCTTTCCACCGCCACATTACGTCCCCATTGGCAATACCATGGCAATACATTGTCCGTCTTCATCAGACCATCGCAACGTTTGTGTTGACCGTATCATTGCATCACACGTTTGTGTTGACTGTATCATTGCATCACAACGTTTGTATTGACCGTATCATTGCATCACAACGTTTGTGTTGACCGTATCATTGCATCACAACGTATCATCTACACATCACAACGTTGTGTTGACCGTATCATTGCATCATTTGTGTTGACATCATTGCATCACAACGTTTGTGTTGACCGTATCATTGCATCACAACGTTTGTGTTGACTGTATCATTGCATCACATCACGTTTGTATTGACCATCATACGTTTCTGTTGACCGTATCTATCACAACGTTTGCCTGTTTGTGCTGACCGTATCATTGCATCACAACGTTTGTGTTGACCGTATCATTGCATCACAACGTTTGTGTTGACCGTATCATCACAACGCATCATTGCATCATCGTTTGTGTTGACCGTATCATTGCATCATTGCATGCATTGCATCAACGTTTGTGTTGACCGTATCATTGCATCACAACGTTTGTATTGACCGTATCATTGCATCACAACGTTTGTGCTGGACCGTAACGTTTGTGCTGACCGTATCATATCCATCACAACGTTTCTGTTGACCGTATCATTGCATCATAACGTTTGTGTTGACCGTATCATTGCATCACAACGTTTGTGTTGACCGTATCATGCATCACAACGTTTGTGTTGACCGTATCATTGCATCACAACGTTTGTCACAACAACGTTTGTGTTGACCGCATCATTGCATCCATCAACGTTTCTGTTGGCTGACCGTATACCGCATCACATCACACACGTTTGCTGGTGACCGTTTGTGTTGACCGTATCATTGCATCTACACGTTTGTGTTGACCGTATCATTGCATCACAACGTTTCTGTATCATTGCATCCGCCATCGTATTGTGTTGACCGTTTGCATCAGAACGTTTATTGATGACCGTATCATTTGCATCACAAGAGTTTGTGTTGACCGTATCGTTGCATCACACCGTATCATTGCATCAAACGTTTGTGTTGACCGTATCGATTGCATCGTTTGTGCTGACCATTATCATTGCATCACAACGTTTCTGTTGACCGTTGGCCGTATCATTGCATCACATCACAACGTTTGTGTTGACCGTTTGTGTTGATCATTGCATCAACGTATATCATTGCATCACACGTTTGTGTTGACCGTATCATTGCATCAAGGTATCATTGCATCACAACGTTTGTGTTGACCGCATCATTGCACCACACGTTTGTGTTGACCGTATCATTTCATCACACGTTTGTGTTGACCGTATCATTGCATCACACGTTTCTGTTGACCGTATCATATCATCACACGTTTCTGTTGACCGTATCATACCATCACACGTTTCTGTTGACCGTATCATACCATCACAACGTTTCTGTTCATCGTACCATAACTCCATAACCTCTTTCTTTATATATTACACACCTTTCTTTATGATCGAACCACGACAACATATCCTAGAGGGTTTTGTATCACATCTCTATATAGTTTCCTGCATAGGGGCTTGTCTCGCTTAGAAACGGCGTTAGAAAGAGACAGATAGGCAAAGATCCTTTTATATAGTAATAGGGTAGGGTCTATATACCTATATGTCTTTCTAACGCTGTTTCTAAGCGAGGCACGCCCCTACGGTTTCCTGGTTCAGTCTCGTACCTTGGCGACTTCAACATCTGGGTCCTTGTACCAGGTAACATAGTATTCTATATATCTGTATACTAGCCACATAAAGAAACTGTGCATTGTCAAAATATTATCCCAGTTGATAAGTACGATAACAATGACAAAGGTACATATAAACTTTAATGGAGGGATCATGAGACCATAACACGTCGGGAGAATTTCCATTGAAAAGTCAATCACAATGACGTCACGAGTCCACAAGCGGGACAGGGGTCAAACGACCATGTCACAAGCTCAATGACGGGTATGCCCACCATCGGCATTGAGAACAGCAGTGCATTGACAACGCATAGAGCCTATCAAACGTGCAAGGAAGGCTTGTGGGATGTCACGCCATATTCTCTCAAGTTCTGTTGCAAGGTCAAGGACGTTATCTGGCGGATGAGGAAGACGGCGTAGACGTCGATCCATCTCGCCCCAAACATGCTCTATCGGGAAGAGATCCGGTGAATTCGCAGGCCAAGGCAGTAAGTCAACGTTGTGGTGTTGCAAGAATGTATGTTGGGATGTTAACCCAGGGCCATGACGTTGCAGAAAAGGAATTGCCACAGGTCGAAGAATCTGATCCCTGTAGCCCACACCAGTTAACTTGCCCTGAACAATCACCAAAGGAGTTCTTTGGCGTGCTGATATTCCAAAGCGATTCCTCTCCAAGACACAGGCCTGTGCATAACGTTCTCCCACGCGTGTATAGGCACGATGGGAAATGTTAAACCTGGACTCATCTGTAAAAACAACATATCTCCACCAAAACAAGGGTCTGCGGACATGATTTCGGCACCACATTCGGCGAGCTTGTCGATGACGTTGTGTCAGGATAGGCCGTATGGAGGGACGTCGTGGTCTGATCCCGTGATGACGTAAACGTTGTCGAACTGTGTTGGGGTGGATACGGCGAAGTCCTGGGGTGGTTCGGGCAGTCATCACTGCAGTCTGAAACCTGTGGCGAAGATGGGTCACCCTTATCCATCTGTCCTGTCTTGGCGTTGTTAAACGTGGACGTCCAGAACGTGGCCGATCGATGACGTCATTTGTGTTCTGATAGTGTCTCACCAGTGCAGAAATGGTGTTCCGGTGGCAGTGGAAATGTGCAGCCACTTGTCGTTGAGACATTCCCCCACGGACCATCCCAATGGCCTCATGACGTTGTGCAGACATGAGCCTTGGCATGCTATGCGTTTCAATAGCCGTTTAATTTTTTGAACAATCACAAGGGCAGGGGTTGAGCTTTCCAAAGTGACAGTATTGTGTGGCATTCATTTGCTCTGTTTCTCTTTCCCGGAATGCACGTGCAACAACGTATTGCACGTCTCAAGGACGAACCCACAGACGTCACGGAACGTGGCACGTGCATGCATGTTGGATACATGTCACTAATCTCTGAGTTTAAATCCTTATGTGTCTACACAGGTTTGATAAATTTAGATTTTAAATTTTTGTATGCACAGTTTCTTTAAGTGCCTAGTATATTTGCGTCGTTACGGTCTTATATACGGGTAAATACATATAGTACATGTGTGTTTACGTGTACTTGAATGAAATCAGTTTGGTTTTACGCCGCACTCAGCAATATTCCAGCTATATGGCGGCGGTATGTAAATAATCGAGTCTGGACCAGACAATCCAGTGATCAACAACATGAGCATCGATCTGCGCAATTGGGATGCGATGACATGGTCAACCAAGTCAGCGAGCCTGACCACCCGATCCTGTTAGTCGCCCCTTGCGACAAACATAGGTTAAGATCAATATTCTAACCCGGACCTTCACGGGTTACGTGTACTTGATATGCCACCAGATGGATATTCTAAACTTTGTTATGGTATGTTAGCCAGATTATACAAATGGGTAAGGAAACGTAATATAAAGAATATCATATTTTCATTTGACTTGGCAGTCGTAAAATGCTTAGTAGAAAGTGCTTAACTTGATAAGAATCGCCGAATTAGACATTGTCAACAATACAGGGGATTGACAAGACTCTTTGTTCATTTTGTAAGTCCAAACAGGTCGAAAATTAAATTCGTTTTGTGTTCTAATGTCCAATATATAAGTGATACGTTTAAACTTTCGCTCACACGCTACTACCTTAATAAATTATCAACATACTCTGAAAAATATGCTCCAATCAACTGATGTGACTCTCCTGTATAATCTTGTAATGGTTATCAAGTATCATGGGACCTTCTATTATCGCGGTAGTTAATGTTGTCGCCATCGGGGTTATGAACGGCTACTGACATTTAGCATTTTATATATATTTTCAGTTGACTGATCTTTAATCTTCATTTCTGTCACAAATAATGTGACACATGTTCGCAACTCGTTTAATACCATTGCGGCAATTCCGATTGTCTCGTTTGACCCAGAAATTGAAGCAACTCTCTATTATCGCGGTATTGCTGCTTTCTTACTATGGCATGCGGTACAAGCAGATGACACTGTGAAACGTTTACTAAG